AACTACTGCGAAAGCATTTGCCGCTGACTGTTCTATCGGCTAAGAAGTTGCGAGACCAAAAGTTTGATCTATGAGCTGTCGCTTGATATACAGGCACGATGCAACAAAATTTAGACTATCGACAGCATAAGAGACGATGTCTTTTCAAGATCTTTGTATAAGTTTAGACCATCTTGTTTTTGTTCAAGCTGGGATTGTCTCGACCTACCTAATCAATTGAGACAGTAAGAATGCGGCGACTGTCAATGATTTAATTATTAGACCGCCTCCCTGTATGGATCGTAGCACGGATATGAGCTGCCGCTGTAATGACGTTGTCTGACTGTTGCTGTAGGTCTGACGAGCCAATTAGATCGTATCGCTGTGCACCCAGGCCGCGAAAGCTGAGGGGCTCTGACCGACTTCTATAGTGACGAAGACTCTATTCTCGGGCATCAACATGAGCTACATCACTTCCTACCACTTTTGATATTTTTTTAGTCTTGCTGTTATCTTACTGGCGACATCGCGACAAACATTTTGGCATGCGCCACACCCAAAACTCTTCCGCGCATTTGCTGTAGGCCTGCGGCCTTAACCGACCATGCCAGACCGCAGCCCCTCATATGATTCTCGCGATAGCTCTCCAGAGCCAGAGCGCAACCGCGACCGCGATCGCCCCGTCGAACGCGAAAAGGGTCGAGATAAGGAAAAAGAAAAGGACCGAGATCGCGCAAGGGATCGGGAAAGAGATCGAGAGAGAGATAAGGAAAGAGATCATTACCGCGACATGGAGAGAGACCTGGACAGAGACATAGATCGCGACATCGATCGCGATGTTGACCGCGATATTGAAAGAGACCATGATCGCGACTATGAGCGAGACAAAGAGAGGGAAAGGGAGCGAGAAAAGGAGAAACCCCGCGACAGACCTTTAACGGACAAGAAAGAGCGAGAACGCGAAAAGCCTGTGGATGATAGAAGAGAAAAGGAACGCAGCAAACCGATAGACGACAGAAACGACAGTCGTGATAGTTCCCCAGACGACAGGAGAGATCGAGACCGCTTCAAACCGTTAAATGGCGGGAAGAATAGCCGTGATAAGTTATCAGATGATAGAAGAGACCGGGATCGCAACAAGCCGCTCAATGACCGGATGGATAGCCGTGATGTGTCACCGGATGACAGGAGGGATCGCAACAAGCCACTCAATGACCGAAGGGATAGCCGCGAAGTATCGCCTGATGACAGGAGGGATCGCAACAAGCCACTCAATGACCGAAGGGATAGCCGCGATGTATCGCCTGATGACAGGAGGGATCGCAACAAGCCGCTCAATGACCGAAGGGATAGCCGCGACGTATCTCCGGACGACCGAAGTTATCGAAGGCCACTGGATGATAGAAGAGACAGTCGTGACATATCACCAGATGATAGAAGGGACCGAGAGCGTAATCGACCACTCGACGACAGAAGAGACAGTCGTGACAAATCACTCGACGGAAGAAGAGATAGTCGCGACTTTGGAAAAGACAGAGACTATGATGACCCCAGAGACAGAGATTACGACACTGGTAGGGACCGAGATTATGATATCGGAAGGGACAGAGATCCTGTCAATGGGAGAGATCGAGATAGGCTTAGAGACCGGGACATCGACAGAGATAGGCGTCGCGACAGCCGTATCCCTCCACGCGTGGCACGAGAACCGCGAGAGCATCCTCCACCTGCTAGCAAGCGAAATAGCATTACAGGCCGCCTACTTGGATCTTTCAGAGCAGCTCGTGGTGGCGGGGACAAGGATAAAGAGATCCCTATACCATCAGTAGCAGCCTCGGTTCAACGTCGTGCCTCTGCAGCTGTCAGCAAAGGCAGTCCAGTCACCCGCATCCGCGAATGGCTCGATGCTTGCAACGCTGAGCATCACCATCACTGCGCTGTCTCATCGGAGACTGATATCAAGACCTGGCGACCTACCTGGCTCATTGATGTCGTCGATCGTCGCCTGGTTAAAGCGACTCCCAAAGATCGTTATCTGGCTCTCAGTTATGTTAATGGATCTCACCGCAACGAACCGCTGGAATATATGCAGCTGCTCAAGTCAAACCTGGCGGCTTTCGAGGATCGCTTACCCAACCTTGATATGCCTCAGACCTATTTAGATGCTATGTGGCTTGCAAAGAAGCTAGGAATTCGACACATCTGGATTGATCGCATCTGTATCACTCAGGATAATCGAGAGGAAATGGACGATCACATCAAACACATGGCATACACCTTCGCCAATGCTTACCTCGTGATCGTGGCAGCTTCTGGCGACATTCACAGTGGACTGCCTTCCCTTGACCCAAAGCGAACATCATCACGAGGCATTCGAACCACTGGTCGTACTCACCAAGAGCTAGTCGCAGCTTCGACGTGGTACACCAGAGGCTGGACTCTTGTCGAGCGCATCTATTCTCGACGCTCGGTCTTCTTTTTCGAGGACTCGATGACTTGGGAGTGCCACTGCGAGACCTGGCAGGGAAGTCCAAACAGTGTTATGAAGAAGCTTCGAGGAGGTCGTCAAGAGTGTATTGGCAGTATTCCTGATGCTGCCTTTGCATTTCAACACCCACCTTGGCCTGACCTGGACGAGTACGCTCGATATGTTATGGAATACAGTGCACGGAAATTGACGCTTGTCGACGATACACTCCCTGCGTTTGCTGGAATTACTCACGTACTCTCTCGATCTTTCCCCGGCGGTTTCATCTATGGCATGCCTATTATGTTCTTAGACATTGCTCTGCTTTGGCGACCTCATGCTTCCATTCGCAGAAGGGCGCTCTCTCGGCCACCCTTCCTTCCCTCGTGGTCTTGGATGGGTTGGTGGTTTGATAATATTCCAGTCGATTTAACCTTATGGAGAGCTGCTGCAGACTATGTCGAAGAAGCCCGAACTGGAAAACGTGGCCAAGAATCGAAACGGTACCGTTCCGCCCACCCTTTCAGGATCAGACCAACCGTTTCTTGGAGCTTGACAGATCGTGCTGCGACTGTTCCAGTCATGAACACCGGTCTACAGTATCAACATCTCAGAGGTCGTCGCACCCCTAACGCGGACCTTCCTCCGGACTGGGTCCGTAGTGGCTCACACTATATTCATGAAAGCGATGAGACTGCGACGTTCAAGTACCCCATCCCTGTCGAAGATCCTGTGGAGTCTGGTGGCTATGAGCCTGCAGTGGGCGAACAAGCCTATCCAGGGCCGTTGCTTTCGTTTCGAACAACTTCCGGTTTCTTCGAGGTCGAATTCCATACTACCCTGGCCCATCGCGAACGACCTAACCCACCGCTCGCTGTGGGTAAAATCTGGAGCAAGGGCAATAAGTGGGCAGGTCAGTTCCGTGCTCACGATGCATGGCTAGGCATTCAATCTTCCAACTACGACGGTGAAGAACGTCTTGAGTTCATCGCCATATCAACGGCCACAGAGCGTCGTGGTTCTCACGTCTTCGACACAGACAAATTCGAAGAGCACATGGACGCAGATGATATGGTCGACTTTGTCAACGTTCTGTGGATCGAGCGTATTGGAGATATTGCATATCGACGAGGTGTTGGGCAGATCTTGCTCAAGGTTTGGGAGACACAAGCTAAGGATGAGGTCGCAATTCTACTTGGTTAAGAGAACAAGACACTCGGTTAGCGTGGTGTAGGCGTTTATGTGACAATGAATTGTACAAAATGTATCTAGTATTTGGGATAGGAAATATTGCTGGTGCGAGCCAGATATGACATTTTATGGATTCAAGGGTTGAATTCACGGATTTAGATAGGTAGCTAAAGAATATTACTGTATGTTGGTCTGAGACTACTAGTTGCATCTTCCTGTCTCACTGTCGATACCACGTATGAGGTTTACAAAGATCATCTCTCTCTTGTCTCAACTTTCGGGCTGGTGCAGTAATGTCTCCGAGTCAGCCGAGCGAGTTACCGCATTCCTAGTTGCTTATGGGGACACAGCATCAACAAGGCCCGAGGTCGGTCATCCTAATAGCCACAGTTCAAGGACTGGACCCGTCTCTGACCATGTGGGTTTCCATAGATGTCTCGGCATTTTTCTGAAGAATGGCTGGAGCCGAACAAGCCGAGCGTTGTGGGACGAAAGTGTGGGAACTTGAAACTTACATGATCAGTTGTGAATAGCCTCACTAGGCAGGTGTCACAAGAATTGTCTTCTGAGACTTAGGACGCCAAAATAAAGTAGCCTAGGTGGTAGTCTAAGCTTGCATAAGGTGACCAAATCATTTCATCTCTTGTCCTTGGCGGCCGATTCTTCTGACACCTGACGCTGGGGTATATGTCTTTGATAAGCAGATAGAGCTTTACTCATACATTGATTACATTGTGGCTGAGAATGTAATCAGTCTGATTGACATCTATAAATTATGCAATTTGATACTTTGAGAGTCTTGGGATGAGGGTTTAGTTACGAGTGTATGTACCCAATCTGCTGTACTCACATCCGTCCAGGCAACTTAACTTGGCATCTTAAGAAAGACTGCTCTTAGTTAGAGTAACAACAGCCTCGAAGAGTTATCCCGAATATATGACAAGTTCTCTTACCACCCACAACTGTAAATGGTTGCAGGGAGACACTTACTGAACCCCCATCTTTTACTCGACAGCCCTATGTTGACCACCTGATGCAATAAGAAAGATGAGACGATATAACATTTCTCACTTCTCACAACCCCTGGTCTTTGAAATGCCCTTTACTTGATACCAACATAATGAATATCCTACTCCTGTGACATAGCCCTCAAGCAGTTCATCGTCATCTCTCACTGCCAGACTCTCAGACCAAGAGAAAACAGCTCATTTCTTTTTTCGTGTTTCATTCTAATCGTCCGGTACAAAAGCACCAAAAACCAATAAAGATGCTTTCCCATATTCCCAGCATCTTGGCACATCGACTGAGGCACATGGGGCTGATCCTTGGTTGCATACAGCGATGTTACCCATCAGTATCATGTTAACAATTCATAGTCTCTGATTGGACGATCGAAGTATATTCTCATCGGCGGTTTTTTGTATTGACGATCTTCGGGAGTAAGCTTATTTGGTCTTCAACTCCGACTCTCAATGCCGATTCTCAAGACCACGGTTCGATTGAAATTGCACAGTTGTCTATGACGCAATATTGACATCGCTAAGAAGATGATTCCATTTCAATGTTCCATCGAAACCCACTAAACTTCCCCGTAACGATCGATATCCTCAACAAAAGCTGTGCTTGTCAAAACTTTCGGAAGAGTTTGGTTGCACAAGAGACTCATGTGCTCTCCCAGAGTATCCTGTCTGGGAAGCATTCCCCGATAGATCACAGTGATCTTTCCTCTTATGTCAATGGCTTGCTTCGGTCCCTGGCTCACAAAAACACAGGACAACTACAGGGATGTGATGCACCGTTATCCTATCTATCACATCCATACCAGCAGATATGCCCAGGCCCTAGCAGAGCAGCTATCATCTCACCAGGGATAACGACTTCCACAGCAAAGCCTCAACCTTGAAAGCTTACGACACCCTGCTCGATGACTGCAGAACCATGTCCGGATATCCGGTTTATGTTACTCGCTTGTGTTGTAGTCTCCATGGCCCCTCTAATCAAGCTACAGTAAGTAATGTGAAGTGATTCCAAATCGATCGTTCATCGGCTCCAGTTCAGTGAATACTACAAGTATAAAAGAATACAAATCCCGTCATGTCCGCAATTATGTCCGACCAACCCAAAGAGACCTTTGGTAGATCGACAACTTGTGTCACTCGAAAATGGTGTCTTCTAAGCTTCTTGTCACCCTTGGCCTTGCTAGCCTAACTGCTGCGCAATGCCCTTTTGCTGACCCAGGCAGATTGGCAGCTAGAGCCGAGGGAAGCTCTCGTGAGCATCTGGAAGACTATGAAGTTGATGACAGTAAGGGGTACATGAGTTCCGATGCCGGTGGCCCTTTTGAGGAACAAGAGAGCTTGAAGGCTGGAGAACGAGGTCCTACTCTGTTGGAAGACTTTATCTTTCGCCAAAAGATTATGCACTTTGACCATGAGCGAGTATGTTGTCTCTTAAACATCAGTTCTCTGTCGTGTAACTAACTAACATCTCTAAAGGTCCCCGAAAGAGCCGTCCACGCCCGAGGTGCAGGAGCTCACGGCCACTTCACCAGCTATGGAGTACTTAAGTCTGCTATACTTATCACCATTATGGAGATCACAGGTTGTAGTCTATGAGTGCATATGGAAACATGTCTGGTATCATCAAAAGAACACGGAATGGCATGCAAAGTAAGTGAGTGAAAGCTCAATTTTCTATATTAATTTGGGATACGTAAACCATCAAAACCGCATCCCAGCAACCCGACAATCTAATGGTAGGATGAGTGATGGCCCATGTCCTCCGATGCCATGGTTAAAGAAAGCAAAGCAAAGTCAAACTCCAAAAAGGTTCCCGTACTCCGTACAATACAATCAGTCGACTTGCAAGAAAGTGGTGGCGTGTAGGCCAGGGACCGGAATCCTTGATGTTGACCCTCGCAAGCATCGTGAACGTTCGCCATCGTTACTTCCTCCTTCGTTAGCACATAAAGATGTTGAGCCGCGCAATCAGTGAAGATCAGTTGGCTTCATGTTGTAATAAAGGATTAACCGCGCAATCAGTGAAGGTTAGTTGGTTCAGAATTGTCTTGGGTATTTGCCCTCGTTGACCTTAGTTCAGTTCTGTGCATAGTACTGCTAGGATAGCCATGAAGCTTTCCTCATCCTCACGATCCTTGGCTTCTCGCAGGTTTTTCAACAGATCAGTCAAACCCAAGTCGGCGGATGGGTCGAGCCCTTGCTCTTGTATACGCTTTGTGACCTCTGCGTACTTGCTTTGCATTTCGCTTTGCATTTCGCTTTGCATTTCGCTTTCGGGTTCGGCATGAGATTCGATGGATCGGGATCGTACGGGCATCTTGCCCAGTGCCTGTGATTCGTTAGTTATCTTTCGGCAATATCGTCTTGAATGTCCCATTACCTTGGATGAGAGACCGGTAGCCTCTGACTCCGGGAGAGCAGCATCGGTGGGTTCTTCATAGTCCTCAAGCTCTGCATCTTCATCTTCGGGCCAAGAGAGACCAGACTGAAAGATCTCCGTAGCGCCTTGGAGCAACTCATCCCCTACTTCTTCGCCGTTCCACGCGAGATCTTCAAGACTCTGCTCGGGAATGTCCTTGGGTTTGTGTGTCTTGTCATAGACTTCCTTTGGAAGGTCAATGTCCATGATTATTTCCTTCAGCTTGGGATAGACAGAGGAATCGTAGTCTGACTTAAGGTAGTTTTCAGTGCGTGGTTCAATCAACATGTTATTCTCGCCATCCCCATTGAGGCGGTCTTTGAGACTGACTGGCTGGACAGGCCAGCCTGAGAACATTCCCTTGCCGTGTTCGCGATGACCAATAGCGAATTTTAGTCCATCATGTTTAGCAAGGGCAATCGGTAGTCCAAGGATAGACTTATACTTCTCTTTGAGTTGCTTTTTCTGCTCGTAGTGAACATCGCTGCGGTCGAGGATGCATTTCGCAATGCATGTTTGGAAAATACACTCAAGTAAAATAGTCTCAGTTGTGTCATACGTCGGCCAGAAGCGATTGCAGGCCTTTCTCATGCTTGTAAGCCTCTCGATAGCTAGACGAAATGCGAGGTTCCAACTCCAGGTCTCAGGAAAGCTCTCTGGGTGAGCAAAAAATGGACACCCGTCGTCACCTCTGGGTAAGCTCACCCCAAAGAAGTCTATGATTTCCTCGGCGACTCTTCGAACTCGAGCCAGGTCATCCTCTGGCCAGTTAGTAAGACGACCAGAAGATCTCATGAAGTTGAGATGAGTATCAAGACGCTCGATCGAACGTTGAAGCCCAGGGTGTGGCCGACCTGAGATGACAGGGGCAATATCGAAATCGAACTCTTCTTGTGTGACGCCTTTCAGGCTTTTTTGAGTACGACTGTACGTGGTGAAGCCGAATGTCAACCGGATGATTCGCAGGCGTTTGGAAATCTTGATCATTTTGGTCTCGAGACTATCGAGCTCTATCCTGGCTTCGGGACCGTGGATTTCGTCCTGATATTTGTGCTCCAGCCGAGCCCGTTCCTGTGTAAACCAGCATACCATGGCCAAGAAAGCCGGGATTTGGATCTGCTTTGCGAAGTTTAAGCACTGAAGGGTGAGGCTGATGTTTTGTGGACAGTGGATTCGGTATCCGTTCTCAGTGAGCCAAACTGGGAATGTTGCATCAATGCTGACCCTGTCATGTTGTACTCGTGATGCCGAAAGGCCTGGGGATAACGAGTACATGTTACCCGAATATCGATCCCTCCACGCAGAGCCGCTTGGGATATTTGCCTTGGCAGCCTCGTCGCTACTTGGCCATGCCGCCTCGATACTTCGCATGCACTCTGCAAGATTCAAAGCACTCTCAGCCTCAGTAATCGTATCCTGACTCTTCAACCTCTCGTGTCGCAAACTGCTCTTGAGATTTATCATGATGCATTGCCTCACATGGTTGTTGATGGGACGCTGAAGGAGGATAGTGTTGCAGGACTGGCATACGCGTTGTGAGTTGAAACTACTCACTACAAGCAAATTGCAGATGAAAGATTTACCACAGCGCGAGCAAGGATGGCTCTGGATGGCAGACATTTCAGGCGTACATAAACATGCTGAGGGAGGCTTCTCTTGGTCTCGAATGGCTTGGTTGACCTGATCAGCAACTTCTGCCCCGCGAGTCCATGCTTTAAGAATGTCGGCCTCTGTCAGCCAAGTATCACAGATAGCCTGCTCAACAGCTAAACACCAGGCACGGTCTGTAGATCGAATGATAAGTAAGGGCAGTTCCAGGTCGTGGTCGTCATGAAGCTTTTGCGCCAGTCGGTCACCAGGCTTGATGCTGGTGCAGAATGTTGCATAGCGAGGATCTATACGCAGAAGATTGGATCCATCGAATAGTTTCCGACCGTAGCCCTTTTCGGTGCGAAGCCGGCCCCCATACTTCTCCAGTAAGTTTGTCCAAATGTTGTAGGCTGCAGCGGTATCGAGCATAGCATGGTTCATAATGGAAGCAGAGTATAGTCGAAGAAGCCGTTCAGCTCTTTGAAGTGATTCTCTTTCTGATTGACTAATCAGTAGATCCTCCTCACTTGGCAACACTGATTCAAACGTAGGAGGTTGGCCTGGTCCTGGTGACTGCTTGATGATAGACATGGTGAAACCGCCATAAGAATCGTTTTTGACAAACTGATACCTATCGGATAGTTCGGGGATAGGGGCTGAATCTTGAAGTAGCCGAGGACCAGCACTTCTGGTTTCACTCTGGAGCTTGTAGGTGGTAGGATGTAAGAAATACTGTTGAACGCTGAAGCGATTCTCTCGAAGCCAGTTCTCCTTAGCTCCAGGGTTGGCCTTTGTGAACCATGGAGTTTGACAGATGATACGCTTCTGGGGCAACTCCTTATGACGACAGGCAATTAACAACAACCGAGCTTGTCGAGTGCTAGTTTTGAAATTTGCAACAGGCTTTGTAACGTCGTCCAGATTGCCCTCCCAACGGTTGATGATCTCAACCATTGCGTTGCACAGAATATTCGCTTCTTGTTGTGTATATTCTCCCTGTGAAACCCTCGCCACCATGAGCACATCAGCTCGTGTTGGATCTCTGGCCATCATGCTCCATTGATCGGTATCCCGTACAGGAAAGTTACTTCCCCGTCGGTCTTTCTTCCGGTAAGGCTCAACCTGAGGCTGAAAGTTGTGCTTCTTGGGTAGACTGAGAAGGACGTCGAGTGACCGTCGAATGCCATCGGTTCGCGGCGAAACCAGATCATTCCCAAGTTCGACGGTCATGCCTTGGAATGCCATCTGAACTTTGTCCCGGTTGAATGTCTCATAGTTTTGGAATACCATCGGATTGGACCTAGGGGAGATTTCCTCCTCCAGATCTTCAGGATAAGGAACATAAGCGTCAAAGTCGACGTCGGCCGAAGAAACTTGGCCACGCCAGGGGACAGCGGAAGAGGGCTTAGGTCTCTTCGCCGGACGACTTGAAGGTCCGGCTTCAGGTTCATCTGACTCAAGGTCTGGTGGGTCAGAGAGATCAATTGTGACTTGGGGTCGCTTGGCTGGTAGACGACTGCTACGACGCAAGGAAATTGGGCGAGAGGTTTCAGTAGCATGGGAAGAAGTGGCGCCTCCAGTCGTTCCAACTGAATCGCCTCGCGATGAGAACGCTCTGGACGTAGCTCTTGATGTTACCCGTCGACCAGCACGTCTCTGAGCAGGAGCTATGAGTCGTCCAGACCTAGTCACTCTGGGCTGTGTGAAGCAAGGATATCAGCATATGCTCGAAGGCCATATATTCAAGGTAATAACACATACAGCGTCAGAAGACATATCGATATCTTCGTCATCATTACTAAAGGACTTTTTCCCTCCTGGTTTCTTACCAGGTGGCTCACGGTCGTGGCCTCCGGGTTTGTCGCTCGCGGCCATGTTCGCGATAGCGAAGAGATTGAAGATTCGATAGTTTGATGAAGATCTATAAGCTGAGAGTGCTTTCTCTGGGCCTAGGGAAGGTGTTTGGGGGGAATGGGTTGTTGTAGAGGAAAGGGATGGAGGGGAGTGACGAAGAGAGGAAGAGTAAAAAAGAGAAATGATTAGGAATTTCTCTTAGTGAGATCAAAAAAGTTACAGTCTGTAAAAGTTTATGTTTGCAGTGCATGGCACTGCCAGGTTATCTACCTAGATATTGTAAGGATAAGAGATTGTTTGACAGTGACAGGGCACTGATGGCAAATGCAGTAACATTAGCTACAACGATTACCTAGTGAATAAGTCTTTAGAGTGTAAACAAACAGGCTTGTATTGACTCTCTTCACTAGCTACTGCTGCGCTGTTTTCTTCACTGGGAGAATAGCATCGATATGCGTATATGAATCTCTAGATGGCTTCACCAGGAGGTTTTTCAGGAGATCACGCTAACATAAACCACGAATTACGAGTGAACGCTATTAGTATCAAAGACTCATAAGCTCAGCTTTTCTCTCTATTATTGAGTTGATTCAGAAATCCGACCTAAAGTATTACGGAAGTGTTGCAGAAAGCATTCCCTCCACTCTTCACTCATAGTTACAGTTCGTTTCTAGTCTTCCCATTCATCAAAATCCCTGGCCCCAAAACGGGTTCTCTCTAGCGTAAGCTCCTTATAGTAGTGGTTGAAGACACAGATGAGTCAAAACGCAATGTGCGATCGTAACTGAAGAATCGGCCACTTAAAGCTCATCGGTACCTTTCTTCTGGCCAGTCCCAAAGTTGTATCTCACAATGTCAGGGAGAGGATCATCGTCATCAAGATCCATTTCAATCACAACATTCTGAGGATCGGTACGTTGGGACTCGGTACGCTGGGACTCGGTACGCTGGGATTCAGTTTGCTGGGAATCATCGGTCACCCCAGGAATATCCTGGTTGTCAGGAATAGTCTGGCTGCGAGATCCGGAGTCTTCTTCAGGGTCTTCGCCCGAATCCATGTCGGTGAGGGTTTCTTCAGCTTCGAAGCGCTTGTGCATTTCATCGATCTGGGCTTGGTGAAGCTCATCCATTGTCATCCCGGCGTCTCTAACGCATAGTATTAGTAGAGGTCAAGTTTTGGTGATAGGTATCCTACAGTTTCTTCTGGATTTCGCGATCGATTCGAGTTTGATCGCGACGAGCCCTGTTCAGCATCTTGTTGGCATCACGGAGGCATGTAGTGATACCCTCCCTCGCTTTGTCAGTGAGATCCTGGCGTGCAGAGATCTCAGTAAAGAGACGGACAGCCTCCAGAGCATGCTCTACATAGTAGTCAGAAGCAGTGGAAAGAAGCAGATGCATTCCGGCCTGGTGAAATCGGCCAAGACGAGGTTCCTGGAGTAGATCACGCGCCTTGGCCTCCGCGGCGTCGTTGTTGCCATCGCGCCAGATTCTCCAAGCCTCTTTGTAGCGCAGCTCAAACATAGCTATTATATCAAATTAGACACATGCTATAGGTACTTAACTGTGGACATTAGTCCAAAGACCTCAAACTTACCTGCGAGTGGATTGCGCTCCTCAGCCATGGTGTAGACGATGGCGGATAGATAGTCGGAAGAATGGAAGGAAGAGAAGAGGAGTCTTGGAGTGTGGCGATGAAAACGGTTGATGCCACTATTTCGTGATGCGATCCTAGGGAGATTGTAAAGAGAGAAAGTTTTGTCAAGAAGACGGCATCAGCCAACCAAAGAAAATCAACGGTCGAGGCCGATAGACCAGCAAGAGGCAGGCATCCATTGTCCGCTGGCAGGCACTGGCAGGAAAGAGGATTGTGCACACAATGTAAATCAAACGATATTAGAAAACAAATAAATATATGTTTGTATGACTACCCAGTACCTATTCTACAATCTATTATTTCCCAAGAGCTATAGGCACATGGATGGGTTCGGGGTTCACACATTCCGCTTTGTGACTGATGATGGCGACTCCAAGTTCGTCAAGTTCCACTGGAAGTCCAAGCAGGGTAAAGCCAGCCTGGTCTGGGATGAGGCGCAGCACTTAGCTGGAAAGAATCCCGATTACCACCGAAAGGATCTCTGGGACGCTATCGAGTCCGGTAACGGCCCTGAGTGGGAGCTCAATGCTCAGATCTTTGACGAAGACCAGGCCCTCTCTTTTGGCTTCGATGTTCTGGATGCTACCAAGATTGTTCCCGAAGAGTTGGTTCCTCTTCAACCTCTTGGTGTTATGAAACTGGATGCGAACCCAGTCAACTACTTCGCCGAGACTGAGCAGATTATGGTGAGTAGACACGTATTAAACAGACCAAGATAAGTTGACTAACTTGAGCAGTTCCAACCTGGACACATTGTTCGTGGTATCGACTTCACCAACGACCCTCTGCTGCAGGGACGTATCTTCTCTTACCTTGATACTCAACTCAACCGTCACGGCGGTCCCAACTTTGAGCAACTTCCTATCAACCGTCCCCTGTCTCCTATTCACAACAATAACCGGGATGGAGCTGGCCAGAACTTCATCCACAAGAACACTGCTGCCTGTAAGTTCATCGCCAGTGAATTTATATATGTCGGACTAACTCTTACAGACACTCCCAACACTCTGAACAATGGCTACCCAGCTCAGGCAAACCAGACCCAGGGCAAGGGCTTCTTCACTGCCCCAGGCCGCAAGGTTTCTGGGAACCTCGTCCGTGCCAGATCTTCCACCTTCTCTGACCACTGGAGCCAACCACGTCTCTTCTACAACTCTTTGACAAAGGCTGAGCAGCAGTTCCTCATCAACGCCATTCGTTTCGAGACAAGTCAGCTCAAGTCGGAAACTGTCAAGAAGAACGTTCTCTTCCAGCTGAACAAGATCAGCCACGACATTGCTGTCAGAGTTGGAAAGGCTCTGGGTATGGAGGCCCCTGAAGCTGACGACAAGTACTACCACGACAACACCACAGCTGGAATCTCCAACTTTGGGACCAAGCTGCCTAGCATTGCGACTCTGTCCGTTGGTGTCCTTGCTTCCATCAACTCGGATAACTCCATTCAGCAGGCCAAGGCTATCAAGAAGGCTCTTGGTGAAGAGAAGGTGACAGTGTCAATCGTGGGCGAGGTTCTCGGAGACGATGTCGAAGTTACCTACAGCGCTGCAACTGCCGCTCAGTTCGACGGTATTGTCGTTGCCGGTGGTACCGAGTCTCTTTTCAACGGTACCGGAAAGTCAACTCTCTTTCCTCCTGGTCGTCCTACCCAGCTTATTGTGGATGGTTACCACTGGGGCAAGCCTGTTGGATTCATCGGAGGCGCAAAGGCGGCTGCTCAGGCTGCCAGAGTTGGCACTGGAAAGGGCGTCTACCTCTCCAAGGACGTTGATTCTCTTGTCGAGGACTTGAAGGATGGTTTGGCTACCTTTAAGTTCACTGACCGATTCCCTCTTGACAACTAGGTATGTAAGATTCAGTGTAGGACATAGTAGTTATCTTTTCACAAGTACATAATTCAAGTTTGTTAAACATGTCGTTTACTATTATGTCTCACTGTGATACTTTTTCACATACACCTATGAGTGTACAGGATCTGCACGTTGCTTTGCTCTACAGCTTCTCATACAGAGTTACCTAAATGAATGTTGAAATAAAACTTTATGAAAGAGGGTCCAAGATCGTCAATTTAAATATTCTCAACCAAATAAGCTGGTATTGGTCTTTGTTAATAACCAGAGAGCCCTGTTATTCGTTGAACGTTATACAACATTGGTTACCCGAGACCAGATACAAGGGAATCTCAGCTCATCATGACACATCCTCTGTGCTCTCATCTAATAATTTCGGAACCCCAAATTCAGATAAACAATTACCCCTGTATTTATCATCTGATATTGTGTTTCTCGTCAGGAACAAGACTTCCGCCTTGAGTTGTTGACGACCTCGAGACTCATCATGATTGGATCAAAAACTTCCGCCTGACTCTGGCACATGGACTGAACCTGACCCCTACCGCTATCGTCCCGCCCGGTCCCCCGTTGAGATCCATTAGATCTTATCTATGGAACTTCCCAGGGTCAATGTCATTATCTGCCTGCTCCCCCACAATCCGCATCCTTCATTCATTCACTACGAGTCACGTTCTTGTTCTATTCACTGTGACTCGCGACGACGTATAATCAGACGAGCACATAAACCACGCGATACAAAAGTCTCATTCATCAACACTTGATAGGCCGGACTGCGCGGGAGCTCTTCAACCTGCGCGCACGCGCTCCCTTGATGGCTCAACAGTCTTGAAGAAGCTATACATACATCTGGCTCGCAGCCACATTGAACGATAAGACAATTGAGTCAACGGTTGACTTATCAGTACGAACGACCGATATCGCAACGACTATACGCAGCCATCATGGACCGCGTGCGAAAGGCCCTGGGTCGTCAACACTCGTCAACCTCAACGTCCGAATATGAGCCTCTTACAGGCAACGAGGAAGCCACTCCCCTAGAGGGCTCAACCCAACTCGAAGGCCAACATGAACTACCCTTCTCATGGGCCGAGTATAGTATCTTCGCCCTATTGGGCGTTGCCATGCTCTGGGCTTGGTGAGCTCTTCAATCTATTGTGACATGCACCGTAGTTAACGCGTTCTAGGAACATGTTCCTCGCCGCAGCTCCGTACTTTACAGCTCGCTTCGCCGGTGATGCTTGGATCCAGGCCAACTTCCAATCTGCGATCCTGACTGTCTCTACTGTTACCAACCTCGGTGCCATGCTTGTCCTTACCAGTATCCAGTACTCAGCGTCGTACCCCTTCCGAATCAACCTGGCACTCATTATCAACGTTATCACTTTTGGCCTCCTGACAGCCTCCACTGTCATCGGCCTCAGCGCATCGCCTACCGTCTATCTCGCATTTCTACTTGCTACAGTAGCTGCTGCTGCTTGGGCTGCAGGTCTTATCCAGAATGGCGCATTTGCTTTTGCGGCCAGTTTCGGACGCCCAGAGTACATGCAGGCAATTATGGCAGGACAAGGCATCGCTGGTGTGCTACCTCCTCTCGCGCAAGTCTTCACTGTTCTAGTCTTCCCTCCAGACAAGGACAACGCATCGACCGGAGCATCCGCAGAAGACGGCCAAACATCAGCATTCGTCTACTTCCTCACCGCTGTAATTGTATCGGTAATTGCCCTGGTATCTTTCATCCCATTGGTCCGCCGCCACAATCACATTATTGAGAACCGCATGGTTGAGCAAATGAACGAGTCCATGCATAGCATCGAGGAGGCCGAACGCGCCGCTCGCAAGGTTACATCCCTTTGGCGGCTGTTTACCAAGCTTCACTGGCTTGCTATTGGTGTGGCCCTCACTTTCACCGCAACTATGTTTATGCCCGTTTTCACAGCAAAGATCCATTCTGTAAAGGAGACCTCTGGCGCCATTTATCAGCCTGCAGCATTTATCCCCCTTGGGTTTTTCTTCTGGAACCTGGGCGATTTGGGTGGACGTATAGCCACCATACTACCTTTCTCCCTGCGACACCGCCCCTTTGCCCTTTTTGTTCTCGCAGTTATTCGCTTTGGTTGGTTGCCCCTTTATCTACTTTGTAACATCGATGGCCGTGGCGCCACTGTTTCCAGCGACTTCTTTTACCTCTTTATTGTTCAGTTAATATTTGGCCTCACCAACGGGTGGCTTGGTTCTAGTTTCATGATGGCATCGGGTGAGTGGGTGGACGAGGGCGAACGTGAGGCTGCGGGCGGCTTTATGGGATTATGCCTTGTCGCAGGATTATCTGTTGGTAGTCTTTTGAGTTTTACAGTGGCAGACATCTAGACTGGGTTACACGAGCCTGCATTAGATATGGAGTTTGGGGGCGTTTTTATATGAATCGTCATTTGACAACCGATAGAGTCTGAACATTTAGCTACTGTACTGTAATCCTATGCCCTGAGTGTTGGATGCAGCCAATCATGAATACATGTCACATATCAAACCGGGGATTGTACCCTTAGAATAATCTATATCCAACCAACGCCGCGTCCCTTGACTGATGCAACCAACCATGCCCGTACCCATGCCATGCTATGCGAACCCTCCGTCTCTGAGATGCACCGATGCAACCATATAATGCAAAAAATAGAAAGAACACTGCAATTCCTGATCGCAGATTTGCGCGAGGCATCTCCGGGATGCCTGCTTATGCTTTTTTTGACAGCCATTTCAGTAGATTCCTGCAGCATGTTAGCATGGATGACGAGGTTGACATCTGGATGCAACGTGTAAGACTTACGGAGGCTCATTCCGAAATGGGCAGACTTCGGTCCTTGGCTTATCCTTCCTGTCGGGCTTGAGTAGTCCCGTGAGCTTGACAGGGCTACTTGTCATCCAGTGCACGAGAGCTTGCTTGGTCATGACCTCGATAGGGAAATGTGTTGCCTTATTGGGATGAGAACCTTTGGCCTTGATGCCAATGATTCTCACTGATTGATCCTGTCGACGGCTCCACTCGAGAAGACATTTGGTGGGAGGATGGTAGTACTGGCCGTTACACATGATCCAGTCAGCAGTGTAGCAACCCGACTCGATTAGGTCCTTCTCGGCCGAAGTCCATCGTTTGAACTTGATGTCGGTATCCTTTAGATCGAAGTCGCCAAGCCTGACACGAAGTCTTTGTTCGGGAGGTACATCGGGTCCTAGGTTCATCTGGACGAAACACGTACAATCGCGGACAGTCATGGCCAGACTGAACATGGGGTCGTTCTTTTCGGCGTATAGCGGACCTTTGGTATCCGCAAGATTCTGAAGCCACCTAAGATCACGAATAACCTGGTGGTCGGCCGTCTTCGCAAGTAGTTCCCGCACCATTGGGTCATTGCACTTGGAAGCAAGCTTGGGAGCGAAACGAAACGGTGAACTGATCTCAGGGGGAGCGCCAGGGTTGGCAAGCGTGAGAGGACAAGGCTTCTGCTCTGGCGTATGTCTTGAAGGGCTCGGATCCCGAATATAGTTGAATAGTTCCATGGCACATTGTCGACACCGTATAGCGCCCTGAGGAGCACTTGGCGATTGATTCAACCACTTTGGCTTGAATTCGATAAGTTTGCTGTTAGGGTCTAGCGGCAGTCAGTAAGTATGCAAACATTGAATGATGCTAAAATTAACCCACCAGAGATACGCATGTCTTCGACAAGAAGACCCCAGTTAGATTCAGACACGAAGGAGCCCCTGAACTTCTCCTTGCGCTGATGATCAGTTGACCGTAGATATGCGTTTAGCTGAGAGATAATATTCGTGTTACGTAGGACGACAAGCTGTTGTTGAATGGCGTGAGTTTTGAGAAATGGCGTGATTTGCTTTGCGTAGAATTCTTGCTGTTTTAAATAATTGAATCTGGCGGGCTGGCCACTTGCAGGGGCTTTGGCAACACGAAGAAGCCAACCTGATATACATCAGCACACATTGTTAACACAAACGAAAGAGGAAGCATACCTTTGAACTCTTTGGCCTTGATATTTCCTTCTGGAATGCCCAGCTCGAAGACAACGTTGGCAGCACCTTCGCCAATCATCTTTATAGGACGAGTTCCCATTGGTAGTCTCTTTAGAGTTTCACGAGACCACGACAAAGGAAGAGCACTTCCATTGAGCATAATTGACATTTCGACGACATCCTGGGCAGTTGGCCATATATGATCATCTTCTGATGAGGAGAAGCAAAGATCTGGGTCGGTATCAGTTGGCGTAAGCTGCCCATCAGACAGAGATGGAGTCGACATGGTGGTGGTTGTTGTTGGAGACCGGGATTGTGCAGATAGTCTGCAAGGCACGTCAAGCCACTTATGTCGCGCGTTCTGCGGTGGGGAATTGGTATGGAGGATGTTGTGAGAGGAGGGTTGGATCTCAAATGGAGATGATGAGAGACGAGATTCGACAAGAGATGAATGGGGAGCAGATATGAGTGATATGTATAAGAAGAGTAAGAGTAAGAGGAGGGAGTAGAGGAGGGGCGTGTGAATATGTATAAGATGGACACCGGACTAGAAGGTAGTCTAAAGTAAGGCAAGGCAGGTAGCTCGGAATTGCTGCTGGCTGAGAGGGCAAGAACCAGGAACCGGATCACAGACTCGCACTTGCAGTTGCAGTTGCAGTTGCGCCAGTGTTGGAACTGCAAGCCTGCCTGTTAATGACGGTCACGCTCTGTAATGCGCCTGCATCTGCATCTGCATCGCTGTTTTTCCCCTTCCGGCCGTATTGTTGTAGTGAATACCTCGAGTTGCCTTGTTTGTCGCCGATATAAGTGTAACAACAAAAGAGCCACTCAAATCCTCTGGACTTGATTGTGCAAGACTCGAGAAGGACAAAGTCAGAACAAAAACTGACTTGTTTCCCAAGTCAGGTTCGTTTAAACCTTCTCGGACAAAGCCTAACAAGGCAACACGGCTGTTTCAGTCGCCTTGTATACCATGCAAATGCGCGAGATGATAAGCTCAGCCGAGCTGGACTGGACTGGGCTGAATAGCGAGTTCGATAATACAATAAGGACGATGTATGTATGAGATGTGATGGCTCAGGTTACACAGAAATAGAAGCCGGGCCAACGTCATGTATGTATGTACGGCCCAGGACTGAATTGACAATGGATGGCGTGGGTGGAAAGGGGTGCGGTTGGACAAAGATCGAGTAGGGTATGTCTGGGGTTTATGCTGTAGCTGTCAGACTGAGGTGTCTTTCCTTGTCTTTCCTGTTCCTATCAGAACGACATCACCATGCTGATGATTTGTGGTAGGCCAAGAGTTGGATGGACGGAAATAATGAATGAGCCGACTTTTGATATGGAGTTGGCAATGGATCAGGATGTCTACCCAATGACATTAGGTATGATATGACGAATCTGTTGAAGCCCTTTCTCCTCTTTCAATCAATTCTATTATGAAAGAACCGCCGTTGGCATGGTTCTTGTTGGCATCCGCCTCTCCACACCGGGACAAGACCATCTACAGTACAACCAAGGTTAAGTACGATCGATCAAGCAGGAAAGTGGATTTGGCCGGCGGCACAACTGAGACCCAATAACCGAATGCCGAATAGAGAAGAAAAAGCAACGACAAGACAAAATAAATTAAGAATCAGCAAGAAAACCCCGCGAGAGAGACACGACACGAAGAAGGGAATAGAATAGAAACTAAAGGGAAAAAACAAAGGGTCTTTTGGTCGCCAGCGGCGGTGCAAGTGGGCGCTCGCCCACCGTCGAGGTAACTAAACAGCCTTGGTGTCGCCTAAAAAAAAAAGAGCCCAGGCCTTGGAGGTCGACGATCCAATCATCCAATTCGATCTGATGGTGACGCACAGGTTTTTAGGGCCCCTCCATTCTGAACCGGACCCGGACTAGAGTGAGCGCCAATGCCAGTCATCTTCTCTGGCAGCAACCATGACCACCTTCTTCAAGCCAATTATCGCTCGCCATTCCATCAGAGCCAAGCCATTGATTCAGTCCCTTTCGCACCGCCTGCATCTTTCTTCTGCATCTGCGCATGCACCTGCACCCGGTGAGAGGGGGAGAGTCCAAGCCCAGGGGACCTTGTGAGGGGACTTCGTGGCGCCGCATGGCCCATCTTTCTCTCCTCCGGACTAACTCACAGTAGACCTTGCGATATTTCAACGCCGAGGTTTTCGATGAGGCCTGCCAGCATCAATGAAAGAATGAATGCATGGCATAATATGACCGCACATTTGACTCGACTCGATCAACGGCGCCTGGACCATTCTATGATCTATCCCTGCAATTCAGGGCTGTCATGACTACGGTAGCGGCCAAACAAGGAACACACGTCCAGATACTGTCCATTTTAGTCAAAGTGGGATCGTACTCTTTCTCAACCCCAGCCGCACAAGACCACGATGTGCGCTCTAGTCACAGTGCACGGTACAGAGCAGGCCCAGCACTCCAGGTCCCTTGCACCCTGACCCTGGTTGCCCGTGAATAGAAGCAGTGAAACCCTGGACTTCCATTCGCACGAGCACTGACAGCAGCGCTGACAAGGTCTTCGAACAGCACAGAACAAATGGAGATTTCCCAGCAGCGTGGCATATCAATAACTACGCTGAGCCGCCGCCACAGATTACTATGACTCAAAATGCGCTGTTCAGGCCTCCGTCTTCGCAACTCGTAGTTACTGGCTCATGCCCCTGAACGGTTTTGGGGCTCAAGCCGCACGAGATCATCCAGCTTGTCGGTCTCGCCGGCGTATGATGTCACCCAAGCCGGCGGTGATGCACTCTCACCCCAGATTGTGAGCTGTCGTTGGCGGTTAAGAAATTGTTTCAAGACACTGCTGGTGACGATCACGGGACCCTGGGCATGCAGAATGACTGCATTCCTCTCCTTCTGCTGTGTTTCTTCTCAGCCGTGTCGCGAATGAGCGTCTGTCTCCGAGAGCAATGCCGGGCTACTGGGATCATCCAACGTGGAGTCTACTAGCGCATACCCTAAGGGATCGCCTAACGTTTCAATCCACGCTGCTTAACTTGCACGTGGAGATCAAACATGTTCATTGCTAGACCTCTGATCCTATCACAGGCTTTAAAGAAACGAGTCTCGCCAAGATGCAGACAGAGACCTCAAAGCGCTGCAGAAAAGCCTTGCAATTGGACCTCGTGACTTGCCCGACCGCAAGTGTTTTGACGCAAAGACGGGATGATTCTGATTCAGTATGTCGGCGTGTTTCAATTCAGGCATCCAATGATCTCACCCATCTACAAATACGGAGGGAACGCATCGGAGATTATTTTGAATGTGGAGGTTGGGGTCGCACAAAGGCCTCAGCTTGTGAAACCCCAAGGATGCAATACCGGCTATCTCAGTTCCTGAGTTACAGCACCTCCATAGCTAAGTGCCATTTTGAGCTGGTTGACACAAGAACAACCAATATACATCCTGGTCAACTGTCAGGTGGTGAGATTTATCGTCTCACCAAGCTGGTGCCTTACATGTCCGTTTACAGACGAGCCGTTGTGGTCTGCTAATTCGCCAAGATAGTGCGGGGAGCGGAGAAGGAACTCTTCTCGAAGTGGGAAAGAAGATAACGCGAGAGACATTCAGATATGTGCTTCAGCCACTTGTGACAGCTACCAGGACCAATTGCTTCGATCAGCATCACGATCTTGATGGCAGTCGCAGACTCGAAGATATGCGGACGCACAAAAAGGCAAAGATAAGCATCTCACCAATTGAAGCAAACATCAAATGATACTGAACCCCTCATTTTGGTGAAGAGGAATGCTTGGTTGGAGGTTTGAGACATTCTCGACAGATTCGTTTCGAGAATTTCCAAGCTGCTCCTAGCTTGCGAGCATCCATCGCGGGGTAAAGTTTGTTTGCTGCTTGTACAGCATTGCGCATGATCAGATCACGCATACAGCCTACAGACAGCAAAGGTCCTTGATGGCTATTCATCTCTCAGCATGCATTGCAGATGCAAATGTACTCCATGCCACTCTTTTCTACCACTTCCGGCCCTACCCGGTCTTTCTCTTATCGGACACTGGCCGTTGGTGGGAAGTGCTTGCATGGAGATCAAAGTGCGAGACAAAGTGAGGAGATGTCGGCCTCAAGGTCGGTGACCGGCCGGAGAAGCCCGGGATGAGCCGTTGGTCCGTGGCTTCGCTTGAAGAAACAGGATGCAACGGACGAACGCTTTAGGCGATACCCTAAGGCACAGTATTACCAGAAGGAGATATCTCTGAGCTTTATAAGGTTCTTGGGTCAGTAAGATGCTCTCTTCCCCAGAAAATATGGACGAAATCGAACCACCTGATGCAGAAATCATTCCACGAGGCAATGGCGCTCTGGCTTTATCATAATCAAGGGTGCAATCATCTGATACTGATGACGCCTCTTTGAGGGAAGGATGCGAGGAAGGAAAAGTTCTTTGCTGCACGTTCGCATCAAGAACACGGGGTTGCAGGGAACTTGGGATTGTCACGAATTATACAAAGTTGGCGCATCTGCACGTTTCTCATGATGGTCGTGTAAATTCGACCCAAGCCAACCCAACCTGCCAGTTTGATGCTGCGTCCCCGCATAACGCATTGCGTCTCTGGGGTCTAGACTGAAACGTCGTCTTGCTTTATGAGTTATATTGTTATGTATTAACACTATAATCTTCTTTATTCGCATTACATCGTACACTGAAATTCGTCTACGGAGATCACGCGACTTCCCCGGCATTGATTTTGTCATTGTGGACCTTGTACTCAGTCGATCAACTCTCTACCTCCGGACTTCGGGCACGGGGGTACGGACGAGTCTTGTCCTCTCTGATTCACAGGCCAGACAGCTCAGACCATCTGAAACCTTCGACCTACAGTAGTCTCGAATGCTCCTGCATTAACAACTCACAACCTATGCTACGCATATAGACTCCCTCCATTAATATCGCACATACACCTACGCACCAAAGGTTGGATCTCACCGCCAGAATATTTTTATAAACAAGACCCCGGCCACCTACATATTTTCATCACAACTAAACTGCCTGATTTATTGCACATTTTCGCTCACTCTTCATCCCCCCGTACGGCCGGTCCATAATAGAATCCCGGGTTGAAACGGTCCATGTTTTTCTCCCACAGCCGATTAACGAACCAACCAGATCGCGCTCAATTCTCGGTTGTTTTACCGTCGCGCTTCAGCTCCTCCAGGACCAGGCTCAGGCGTCTCAGAGCCTTTTTTTCAGTGGTGTTGTTCTCGTTACCCACTATAAATCCCTCCCTTGGACACCAGTCAAATTCGCTGTTTTAAGCCCTGAGAGGGAAAAAATTGTTGCAGTGCTGGTCCGAGCTCTCCACTTCCGACCTCAGTTCTCCCAATCATCCTTGAGCTGTTTGGCCGGGGAATCTTGTAGCGTCATCCCCACGATCCGCACTCTTGGGAAATCCTATCCTCTTCTATCCTATCCTACCTAAACCAGCCGTCTTGATTCTTTTTCTCCTCTCTTACCATCATCACCAAATTTCCTTTAATCCTGTTACGTCGTCCATTGTCGAGCCCGTCACTCTCGACAATTCCTCCTACGCGTCCCTACTTCTCTTAATCACCTATCGACGTCGACACCTTCCGACCGACGACACCCGAGACTTTCCTACATTCGCTCGCTCACTCGTTTTTTCGCCTCCGAGCTCCGACAAGCACGCGCCTCATTTCGAGCTCCCGCCCGCTTCGAGCTTTCGTCATAGCCGCCGATTTCAACGGCACCTTTTTGCTTCCTCCATGACCGTGAGAAGGTGAACGCCATTTCAACATGGCCTTCAACTTTAACTGGTCGCCGCTAACAGCGGATGCCGACTTCTATGCTCGAGCGCGCGACCTCTTGACCAAGGCTCTCAATAAGAGTCCGAAGCCGCCCATCATCGTCGATGATATTCTGGTCAGCGAGTTCAATCTCGGAACTGTTCCTCCTGATCTGGAAATTCTGGAAATTGGTGACCTTGCAGAGGATCGATTCCGGGGCATCTTCAAAATGACTTATTCTGGTGATGCTTTCCTGACACTCAAAACAAGAGTTCAAGTAAGTTTACACTTTTTCAATTGCTTTACAATACTCTTTCACAGCCAACCTGAACTTTCCCTCGTCACATATACCTTTTTGAAGCTTTCCGAAGCTCCAGAGGGAATTACAGCATTGTCCCTATGTCTTGGCAATTCGCAGTGCGGAGATTGTGACGCGAATGTCTACCAAGCTCCCATCACATCAACAACTTCCTATCTTCCTTCTCCTCAAGTTCGACATGCCTGTTGAAACATTGCATTATACCGATGCAACATCGTTTGATTAGGACAATGCATTCAAAACCCCTCCTACCCCCTGCTGTAACATATTTACGTCTTTGGCGCCCGCACCTATGATTTCATTCATGCAATCCTCTTAGTGCAACCACTAACAGTTAACCCAGGCAAATCCCTTGAACACATACCTATACTCTAAACCGACATTCACATCTCCTCAACCATTAGCTGCCGCTTCTGGACTGACCATTCCACTCTCGATCACATTGTCGGATTTCAAGCTTTCGGCGTTTATCATCCTTGTCTTTTCGAAGCAAAAAGGTCTTACCCTCGTCTTCCGAAATGACCCACTCGAATCCCTCAAGGTATCTTCTACCTTCGACTCGATACAATTCGTACGCGACTATTTGCAACGAACCATTGAGCAGCAATTGCGGAACTTGATGATGGACGAGCTGCCAGCAATTATTCACAGACTATCCCTTCAGCTATGGTGTCCTGATCAAGCGAACAAGGGCACCGAAACTCCTACAGAAACAGAAGACGAGACAGGCGTAGACCCTCTGGCTAGCCCACCATTGGATCCAGTAGACGCCAATGGAAACCTTCTGGACCCTAATGCTATTTCTGAACTTACATTGAACGGGAGCGGCGAAGTTCAGTCACTCTTTTCTCAGAAGAATCTGTTGCGACTTGCCGCCTTGACTGACTCACACCGCACGTTATCCCTCTTCACTCCTGGCATTCGTGATGTCGTCTTCCGGGCGTGGACAGGCTATGGCGATCGATCGGAAACATCAACGCCTCTAGCTTCAACACCTAGTCTCACCAAGACAATGTCATTTCATGCAGGCAATTCGACAACATACACCTTTTCGGATACTGCAAGCAATGCCCACGGATCACTACCGTCTCGCCCCTCGCTTGTCAGTATGAATTCTGGAACGAATGGACGAGCTCTTGGGGCTGGACGATCACGAGCAGGACGAAAGAAGAAGACACGCGTAGTAAACTTGAGGCGCACCAAGTCTGAAGCAGCTACTCCTGAGGAAGGAAGTGAAGTCTCAGACACAGCATCTCTCGACAACCCTCTATCCGACCCTATCGTTGAGGAGTCCATTCCTGAAGAAACCGAATCGTCTGTCATCGCTGAGGCGGCCACCCCTAGTAAGGTTCGCTTCAGAAACGGGGAAGAGGCAGGTCGTCCTCCTGTTATGGCCAACTTACAAAATGCTCAACAAGTTGGTTCTCCGCTCAAGCAGGCGGTTCAATCCCCTGATCGCCAAGAATATACATCTATCGCCGCTGCCACTTCTGGATTTAAATCCGAGAAGGGCAAGCCTCCGGGCATGGAAAACCAAAGCGTTAGCTCGGAGAATTCTTCCGTCATCCTTGAACAGGCGTGGATCATGAAGATGGCTGGCGAGATTGCCAAGCGCGTCTACGACGAGAAGAACAGACAACGCAGCCCCTGGGACGAGGAGCGTGAAGATGCCCCGCCACCAGCATACGAGGCTGCTACTCGATAACAGTGCACTGTTAAGTCAGTCATAAATATTGGTATCACATTAGAAGCCAAGGGCACATCCGCCTTTAGCCTAATGGTATACTATCACAGATCGCCCAAAGTAGGGCATACAAAACCATCCCACTCGCTCAAATCTCATCTTTTTCATTCTTTTTAAAATGGCGCTGGAGTTTGGAAAGCTTTCGGCCATGGATACGGCCTGAACAAGTCTATTTTTTATGTTGTGATTTTCCCGGCGTTACAAGAAGCAGGCATCAAGGGAAAACGGTGTGTCCGGTTGTGGTTACGGTATTTCGGAGTGCTGGTTCTGTCGTTCAGCCATCTATTTCTACGTCACGACACAGTTGTCTGTTTGAAGTGGTCGATAGACCCCAGGAGGGTGACTCATGACAATGTCATAGGAGTCTTTATCAATGTTTTATAAAAAGGTTGGCGAGACAGACCGGGTAAGGACGATCAAGTGGATCGTCGCGATATCTGCTAGGTATCATGGGAATAGGCTTGAAGGAATAGGCTATCATGGGTTTGCGGAGCACCCTTATAGTACTCTAGAGAAAAACTCCAATTCACAATGATGAACAAGATATGGACCATTTTAAAAGTGATTTGTTCTGATCATCTATTCATAAGCTGTTAGGTGTCTTTGATCTAACGTCGGCTAGCTATCGGGAGGAATTGCCCTTGACAATATGCCTTCATATTCTCGACCAAGACTGATTATCCTCGGCCACACTTCCACAACTTGCCTCGCCTTTCTTGGCTCAGCGCTTCTCGGCATGTTTGTCACTATATCAGAGCCAATACGCTTCAAATCGTTGACTGGTGCCGAGTTTGTGTCCAGCGGTTCTGTAATAACCAACGAGGCATCATAGCATGTCGTATATCGTACTCGAGACACAAGAATGCCCTTTGCATCCCGACAAGTGTTGATATTTGGTGCTCGGAAGCGCGCATCGCGCGTGATAGATGAAGCTCATTTTTTTTGTTTAGGTTTCTTGGGCTTTACTTGGCCAGCACTCTATGACTTGGCAGCGGCAGCGGCAGCCTGGTTTTCCCCCTTGAGCTTAGCAAGCAGGTCCTCTTTGGCCTTAAGCTCAGCGAGGATCTTCTTAGCCATATCCTCAGCTTGCGCTTGTGCCTCTGCTAGCTTGCGTATTTCAGCTGCCTCCGTCTCGAGACTGAATGGTTGTCCAGGTCGATTATGCGCTGGTATCATTGCCGAGTGTTCCCAAACTTCGTTGTTGTCCGTCGGGAAAGGTGGTGGTGCGCGTGTTTTGCCCTTGCCCTTACCGCCGCTAGGCTTCCATCCTTTCGGTACAGCGCCTTGGGTAAGGAGGTTGTAGAAGACTTCGTAAGGTTCGTTGAAGAGCTGTTCTTCGTAAGACCAAGACCGGATCTCTCCGTTAGAAGCGATCATAGCTTGCTTCTCTTCTTCGTTCCGGCCGTATGGATGTAGACGGAGGTAATGGTATAATGTTTGGGGCTTCTCCCCCGAATCGTTGACATAATAGAGCTTGATCGTGATGTCGAACTCTCCCCAGCCCGTTTCTTCGACTATGAAAGGCTTTCCAGGTTCACCCTCCACCACTATTTTTTGTCAGCATCAGTTTGCGCAAAGGTGTGCAGCGGTCCCATACTTCGCACATAGTTCGGGATAGATTCGTGAAGCTTGAATTGCACTCGGCGCAGCCAGTATGTGATATCAGTGTCATCGAGACCTTTCACAAAAACCTGCCAGGAATGCGTGTGGTTATCAGGTATTCCTGCCGGTCGCGGATTCGTCTCGGAGAATGGTTTCGCTGTACTTCCTACGATAAAAGGTCGGCGAACCTGCGTAAGTTTCACGCGTTTCCCTAATTGATTTTGAGGCGCCATTTTGTTTAGGTGAGTGTTTTCGCTATTCGGGTTGGATGATGCATCGGCGCATCTAGATCAGAATAATATCGATGGTGCGGTTGTGAAGTGTGATGGTTAAAGATCCAAGTAGAAACATCTATAGTCAGCCTCGTAGACCAAATGTTTTGCGCCCCAGTGGCGCGACCAATAATCGTAGCGCAGCCACAAATTCATGCAGCCTTGACAGGTACCGATGATGATTTCATTGATTTTGCTCTCCCATCGAAAGCTCCAATGCCACGCCGGTACTTGTACTAGATACTCAATTGTCACGTCACAACTTTTATTTCTTAATCTTCTTTTGTTCTGAAAAGCTATTCTCTGAGAGTGATTTGTTTCAATTGCACCAACATCGCTAAAGAGACTCTGAAGCTCCAAGCTCTCTAAGATCGCACCACTTTTATACCACCACCATGTCAGCTTCAAAGAAGCTTGTTGTTTGTGGAGGAACAGGCTTTCTGGGCTCGCGTATTTGTAAATATGCTGTAGCTCGAGGCTGGGATGTGACATCTATCAGGTAAAGCTCACAAATACATTAATGTCTACAAGACAAGAACAGGAACTCACACATTATACAGCCGCTCGGGTGACCCTCGGTGGGATACTATCAGTGCTTCTCCTTCACCTCCGCCTTGGGCGCACAAAGTGAGCTGGGAGCGTGGTGATATCCTTCGCCCAGCTACATATGCACCGCTACTTAATGGTGCCGATTTCGTTGTTCACAGCATGGGTATCCTTCTGGAGGCTGATTACAAGGGTGCTATTTCTGGCAAGGAGTCACCCATTGCTGGTCTTCAAAAAGCCTTCGCTCCCGTCAAGGATCGTGGCGTGGATCCTCTAGCTAGAGGACAAGGCGAGGACATTAACCCCCCGAACCCTAAGGATCAGTTCACATACGAGATTATGAATCGCGACAGCGCAGTCACGCTGGCTAAGCATGCCGTTGCAGCCAAGGTCAACTCTTTCTGCTATATTTCTGCTGCAGCTGGCGCTCCCGTTCTTCCTCAGCGCTACATCACAACCAAGCGAGAGGCCGAAATCACCATTGCCAACAAGTTCCCAGAGCTTAGAAGCCTCTTCGTCCGTCCTTCTTTCTTGTTCGATAGCTCACGTCCAATTACAATGCCCCTGGCTGCCATGGTAGGCGTTGGCACTGCCTTCAACGGGTTGACAGGTAATTACTTCAAGAACTTCATTGGCGCCGCCGGTGTCAAGCCCCTGAAGGTTGAGAATGTCGCCGAGGCGGTTGTTGAGGCACTGAGCGACGAGAGTGTCAAGGGAGCTATTGAGGTGCCACAGATTGAGGAGCTCGCAAGCAAGGCTTGGAGAAAAACTATGTTGTAGATGGTTCTGATGATTATGTATTAAAAGCAAAACGCTAGACTGAATAATACCCGAATGAACCCAAGACGTTAACGATATTTCCTTTCTCAAATCATTGTTCCTCGTTCGAAGCTGTCCCTGATCTCCGCGGTGTATTTGTTGTAGAACCTGGACAGCTTTTGGTTGAACTGCTTGTTCTTCTCGTTGATGTATGTGACGTCGCCATCGTCTCCGTTCTGTGCCATTCTTTCCTTTCTCTTCTTTAGTCGTTGTTCCTCTGCTCTCTGAAGGTCCGCCACCAAGCGGTCGACAGCTGCCTTGTCTGGCTTGTTCTGGGCGAATGTCGTGGAATCGGCAGTTGAGTAGAAAGAACCGTCCTTGTCCACCGCGATAAGCTCGCCATCCTCAGTCTCAACAATATCCAATCCGCCGGATGCTGCTGCCTTTTCGATCATGGCCTGCTTATCCTTCTCGTATTGATCCATGTTCATATCAATGTTCTTGAGCTGTCGCTTGTATATCTTATTCGCTTCTTGTGTATGGTCGGCGAAGGCGTTGTTGTCGCGACGAGCCGACTTCTTCTTGAGTCGCTTGTCCCATTTCTCACTTTCGTCGACGGTCCAATCCCACGCGCGCTTTCGCTCGAAATCGCCGCCGGCTTCTTCGACATCCGCCTTGAGGAGTTTGTGAGACGCGATCGCGTGCTTGCGATGTATGGCGGTGAGTTGGCTGGGATCTGTGGCTAATCTTTGCGATTCAAGGGTCGCCTCTTGTAGGTTTTTCTCTGATGACGTTTTTGCTCGAGCCTGAAGTGCCTTGAAACGAGCCATGCGGTCTTGTGCTTTTGATGCATTATCGGCGGTGGTTTGTTGAGTCTCCGTCTTTTCGACGGGGGATTCCTTCGTTGGTGTACCTGGAGCCATGATGTGCTGTGATATGTTGTGTTATTGTTGTTTGGGCTTGCTGGTTTGGTTGAAGGAGTAAAGTGGTGCCGAGAGTCTAATAGACTGTGGTTTGTGGGGGGATTTCTATGTGGGTCTGAAAAGACAAAGAAGATCGTAGGGACTGGCTTGAGGGAACCAGGTGGGGGCATAGAGACTTCTTTATACAACCCAAGAAGTTGAAGGTTTATTAAGAAGCCACCTTCCAGATGTTTCACTTACCTACATATATGAGAGAGTCTATTATTATCAAACCTAAAAGAAGAAGAAAAGAAAAAGAAGAAAAGGGAGAGGGTCTAAGACATAAAATTATTTGGCTTTCTTATGCTAACTTAGATGAGGACTTAGGCTACTTTATATGTATAGGGAGCCTGAACCCGAGAGGACAAATTTTATATTGCCCATATCCTTATTAGACGATCTATGGAATGTTAAACACTTAGATCACAGTACCATTATTCGTCATCAACTTCTGCTTATACTCACTGCTTCCGATAGAATAGTAGCTTGCCTGTGACTCGAAATTCAAGATTTCAAGAAGTCAGGTGTAAAAGTTATACTCCCAGGTGTACCAGGTTTTCTGCTACAACGAGGAGATACGAAAAGGGATACTCAACAAAACAACACATTTATAAAGGTTGTATATCGTGACTCATGAAGTTAACATCACAATGGGTACCGAAGAAAAAGCATATTTCTTCCAAGGTGTTGGCAGTCAACCTCTTCACCATCATCACAAGAACAGCACAACAAGATAGCGTCAGTCAAAACAACAACAACCCTTGTTCAAAACAGTGGTCCAGCCGTCGACAGGTTGTCGATAGGGGAGTTTTGAGTCCGTGAAGTACGACGGAGAGATTCGGTGTTGATTCATAGTGTGTGGTTGCTGTGCGTTCATGAATAGAATTCTGTTGGTCCTACTTGGCCTTCGATAGGCAGCTTCAATGAGAGAAGACAACCGAGGCTTGTCCTTTCTCAATTTTCAAGAAATAGAGGTATTTGGCCACAGTAACTATCCAGTTGAAAACACTGCCCAGAATAGTGCATGAATATGTTGACAGCATAGGTTGACTAGCTGGGAACTGCTTCTTTTTTTATCTGCTGGATTATTCCTTATTACCTTATGGAGTACATGACGACGGAAGACAGATGCAGTGCTAGTCCTGACCAGGGCTAGTGCTTCTTGGTGTAAGTCCCCATGGAGGCTTTCACAAAAAGGTTCTGATATGCGCAGGAAATACCCCTTCAAATAGAGGCAACTATTACAAAGGATATGAATGGAGGTGAATCTTTAGTTTGGTGGTAAGATCAATCTGCTGGTTGAGAAATAAAAAGACCGCCACTGTATTGCCGCAAAACCCATAACATTAGACCAATTGGGCTTGGGATGTCTGAGAGGAAGATAGGTAAGGATGAATCTACAGAATATCAAGAAGTTCAGTTGTCTCTGTTCAGTGAAGTTCATATGCGAAAAGAACATAGCACTTCTCTCTCGACGCAAGAGAAGTGAAGTTCATATTGGATATAGCCACTTGTTTACGTCCAGGCTGCCGGCTCTTGACGCTAAAGTTTAACGATTTGATACCTGTAATTGGTCTTTGCGCCCTGACAGAGTCGGCAACTTGCCTCAGGCTGCTATTCAATGCCTAAGAATGGACGGTTGAGTCAATTCATTGGCTTAATCCGGTTAACTAACTGGCTGCTGCCCGATTGAAGTGCGGAGAGCGACCCACTTCCATGGATTATCTCCCGCTTTTTAGAGGCAGGACTAGGGCGAGCACCTGCCTGAAAGATCACTCTCTCGTTCAACAAACTGTCCACAATGAACCGTCAGTTGCAGGGGTCCATCTCACTTTGCGGGGGAAGGTGATTACGTAGCAGCATAGGTGCCGTCTCTTGTTCTCTTTCTTCGATAACAAACAATCCTTCTTCTTCTATTCACATTTCTTCAAGTCGCGACTCGGCGCTTGTCGTCCTTCTGGGCCACATCATCTCCAACATTGCCCACCACAATCACTCCCACTACTGCAGTGCAGTGTGTTCGCTAAGATGGGTCTTAGGAAGAACCCTCGCTTTCTCAAAGGAATGGCCAAGATGGTCGAACAGGCCAAGTCTCCCAAAATGTTTCGCTTTAGAATCGACGAGGAGGGGTTGGAATATTACGTTACCAACAAGTGGCCGACGTCGCCGAAACCCCCACCCGAACGCGAATACTTCCAGATCAACGACCTTTTGCTTGATCTTGACGATGTCACTAGCCAGCATGTTCGGCCGGTTACAGAAGAGGATGATGCACAGGCGCTTAGAGTGTGGTCCCGAAATCCGAAGAAGAAGGACATCCGAAGCGATCTTTACCAGCTACAGCAGACGTTGTATGAGACGCGGTCAAAAACATTTGAAGCATACTCGAACCCTTTGAGTTCCTGGCGACTCGGGATCTACGATGTCTTTTCCGCGGCTCTCCAAGCTCCCCCACCAAATGCTCCACTGATGGTCCCGCAAGGATCCATTCAATCTGCGACTACCGAGACACGACCCAGCCTGCTCCACCAACTATGTTTGAAGAACGGCATTGAAGAACAAGCATTGAAGGACGATTCAGTGCTTCTAGAGCGATTTCAGTCACGAATAAATACGTTCAGATCCGACCAAATGGCTCAGGTTTCTGCAACTCAGCTCTCAAAGGCGTTAGGAAGCCAGGACTCGCTCGAAGGCCTTCGCAGGCTGATATCACAATACTTATCGCGTGACCCTAGTGGCATCGCTTTCCATCCGACACCTAACACTCAACAAGGATCACAACCAGATCTCTCTTTGACTATCCGGGATTCGTGCGAGCGTTTTTGGCAACAAAACGTTCAAGAGAGCCCACGTGACCTCTTAACTTTTCTAGGTAATCTTAGTGAAAGATTATCGGCGAGGGAAGAGCATATGGGCGGGGCCTTGTGTGGCCTTGGACTGAAGCTCTCAGCGGAAGTGTACAATCCCGTGATTTCCACTAAATACTTCAATATGGGCTCTGAGATCGATCACTGGAGATCCAACGATCAAGGTCTAACAGACATCCTTTACCTATTGGGGACTTACTTGCGCCATTTCATCTCAAATCCTGAATCTCACGGTCTAAATGGGAAAAGCCGGACAAGTCTTTTGGAGCTACTAATTGGCTCAGAATACACAGCAACTCAGACTATTCGATCGGTAATCCTCGAATATCTGCAGGATAAACATCGAACGGATATGTTGCCAACAGCTTCAAACGCATATGCAGCCTACGTAGTCCTGCTCGGTCACTTGGGAGCGGCCGCTGCGCTCAAGCACGAAATGCAGTTATGTGGCGCTGGAGAAATTGAAGGATTAAGAGGCAATATGGACTTGGGAGATTCAGAACACCAGCCAGATGCGGTCGTTGCTGAGGCGTTCCAGGCTGCAGTAGACCTCTTGGCTGTGCCTCCAAACCAAGCTGCAGATTCGGCGAGTCTCAATGTCGCTACTGGATAATGCTAGATCTGAAGGATACAAGATAATGGTTGGATGGGAACTTCCGTCCAGAGTCGGAGCTTTCAAGCTCCATGATGATGGATAGATGGGATCCGGCTTGTGCCTCAGTAGGAGTCTTGATAATATGCACCGATGACTCGTTGGGGTGAGACGGAGGCAGGGGAAGCAGAAATGTAGGCCAATGAGGGATAGTGGTGGAACCACGATAATGGATGACTACTGATACCGAGCTGACGGGTCGGTTCGATATGCTTATTATCAGCCCATGACAGCCCCGCCTGAAACAAATTCGTCTTGAATATATCGGGGAACGTCTGGGAGACGATCGTCTTTGACCTTAATCTGGGTAGATCAGAAACCTAGGGAGCTTCAGAGAGGTGGATGCCAACCCGTTCAGCCCTGCAAGCTCGGTCGATTTGAGTTTATTCTACCTCGAGTGTCTAAGCTGAAATCCAAGCCCGTATGGCGATTGGAGATTTCTCATTCTGACTTCCCTAGCTGCGTTCGGATCCCTGGTCTGCGCGAATCATGATCAGCATGGGCTGGACTAGCAACGCCCGCTGGTGGCACCAGTAGTTTGGGCGCACCCGTCGTCTCACCACAATTGACCAGCTGGCCACCAGGAACGCCAAACTCCTGAGCGTTGACTGGTGTTTCGAGTTCAAGGTCCTCTCTTTATCCGCTGTAGGTGCAGTCCTTGACGCCGTGGAGTCGTTTTGGGCGTCGGGCTGGAGAGTCTAGACAATCTAGACCTCGCAACAAGGTCAGCCCCGGATATCGTCTCAGCCACTCCACTCTTCATCTACCGTCACGCTTATTTGGTAGTAGAAAGAAAAACAGGAGATTGCTTGGTAGCATTTCTCACCGCAATGGGTCTGAGCATTTCTGCCCCCCAGCGGATACCTCCTAGCCCCTGCTCATGATCAACATGCGTTGTAGTCTTTCTTATCCAGCGGCGCAGGGCTGCCTGGCTTTTCTCTCTTTCCATCACTCACACATACGGCCATTCTTCTAACAACGAAGATTGTTCGTGCCTGCGGTCTGTAATTGATAATCAGGCCCGGAGAGCATGTGTGCAGCATCACGGTTGCAGCCATGATGTGGATCTCAATCTCTCCAGCAAGCCAATTTCGCCAGGACCTGGTGGTTCTATCCTTATTACTGTTTTTCGTCAATTTCACAGTTCAACAACGGGATCCTATATCGAATTATTGCCGGAGATGGGGCCATCAAAGTGCAGTTGTCGACGACAAGCTATACATCGGCGGAGGACTGGTTACCTATGATGGAGGATCATCACAGAATGTGTCCAGTACGTGAAGAGTCTTGGCGTGGATTGTTTTCGTGACCATAACACTGAATATTTGTTAACAAGCGTGTTTCCAGATCCTTACTTTATCTACCATGATTTGAGTAGTGTCACCAGTTCAGGCATGCCACAGCCATACGCGAATTTGAGTAAGAACTCGACTGTGCCAGATGTTAGTGGTGGGGTATTTTGGCCCGATACGGTCAACAAGAAGATATATCTTTTCGGGGGCGAATATAATGGTATCCCGCCTTGGGACTTTGATCTATACGCCTACGACATTATCAACGATGAATGGGACAACCTCGGGGTTTCCAGGACCGACAACATCATCGGACTCAGCTATGGCGCTGGTGTCTCTATTCCAGATCGTGGAGAGGCTTACTACTATGGTGGATGGATGAACAATGCGACAGTTCCGGATTGGGGCGACGCTCCTCAGATACCAACGTCTTATCTGCTGCGATATGAGATGGATACGAACAATTGGTCCAACGACACCGGTCCCGATAACACAGGTCGTGCAGAAGGCGTGATGGTCCACATCCCAGCCGGAGATGGTGGAATGCTTGTCTACTTTGGAGGAATCCGTGCCACCGACGATGGCGGCTGGGAAGGTCAGCCGATGGATCAGATTATCTTATATGATGTTCTGAGTGGTAAGAGCTATTTCCAAAATGCAACAGGCGATGTTCCAGAGTCACGTCGACGATTCTGTGCAGGTGCTACGTGGGTGGAGGACCAGTCTTCCTACAACATGTGAGTTCATCTACTTTGGATGAAAGAGAGACCTTCTGACATGAATGTTTAGTTACCTTTATGGAGGCGCTGGTGAAGAGGAAGGAAGCCTTGGATTCGACGACATTTATATCTTGACACTGCCCACCTTTACTTGGATCAAAATGTACCCCGACGGCAATAGTACTGGCAGCTATCCTCATCATAGCTTCAGCTGCAACGTGGTAAACGACGCCCAGATGTTTATTCATGGAGGTTTCTTCCCTCTCAACGACGACTGCGACGTTCCCGATCAATGGGGTCTACACGACATGTCCTTGGGCAGACAAAACAAGGATAAAGCTCCGTGGATGCTGTACGATCCTGATTTGACCACATATGCCGTCCCGACAGATATTATCTCCGTTGTAGGAGGAAACTCAAAGGGTGGTGCTACCAAAACAGCACCATCGGGTGGTTTTGACCACCGAGATCTCACAGCCCTCATGACACGAACAGCTTCAGCAGGAACTCGAACGGCAACACGAAATGTATCGGGCGCGACTGCAACAGGGGATTCTGATTCGGATAACAAACTGCCCACCGGCGCCATAGTGGGTATTGCAGTCGGAGGAGCAGTTGTCCTTCTAGGTGTGCTTTTGGCTGGTTTCTGCCTCATACGAAGACGTCGAGCTCGACGGGAACGAGTTGGATCCCAACAACCAATGGCCCAGCCTTACGATTATCACCACCCTGCTCACCCATCTATCGCCTCGAACCAGTACTCGCCTGGTCCCTGGAGCCCACAATCAGCAAGCTTCAATCCTTCAAGCCCAACTGGATTGACTATGCAGCAGACTGCTCAGTCTTATACGGGACCGCCAGTTGAACTTCCATCAGGAGGCCCCGAGGACACTTCACGTGATTCTCCATATGCACAACCGGGCTCAGCAGTTGAGCCAAAGTACGATGCACAGGGCAATCTTTGGATTCCCCAAGTGAGTACTGTACAAATCCCGGACCAAAATCATTCTCCGGGAAGCCCTCCCTACTACGAAGGGACGATGGGCTCTAATTCATCCAAGAACGGGACAGGATATTTTACATCAGATACTCCCCAGCCCCAGGAACTTGCGACAGAAAGACGCACCTCCTATGTTCCAGGGCAGCCAGTCCACCAGACATATTACCACCCATAAATGCCCTGGCATACAATCATTTTCTCTCATTAGGCCTGTTAGTTCAGGGTTGACGTTTTAGCTTTTCTTTTAATATCGGTATCATGAGGAAGGGGTTTACGGAGTACTTGGGATGGGAACAAACTTCACACGGGCAAGCGGGATATTTCAAGGGATACCAACTTCTATAATCATGGCTCATATTCACTCCCTTTTGAGCCAGTATTTTATCAACTATGATATCGTCCACCGCGGACTCTTGTCTTGCTTCGAGCATGGCTTCGTTATGGCAGGGTATAAGAGTCCAGGCATCAGACGAACAAAAGTTTACGAATATTAAACCAACATTGTGCTGGACACTTCAAATAATGTGTTTCGTGCTCACCAGTGACTTGTTTGTTGTATTATCTCTGAAGCCTGTGAATCCTATACTGCAAAGAATTCCGGTCGACGTAGTTATCCATTCGCCGTAGTTACGTCCGACATACGGTCCGAAGGACAACGAGAGCTTTCAACACGATACGAATTTATGGTAGCAAAGTTGCATGGAAGTTTACTTACGTTCAGATTCAAGCAAGGAGAATCAGGCAGAACTGCAGCTGCATAGTTCGGTAGCCCCATACTTACAATCGCCGCGGTTTCTCTTCTGCGACTTACCCTGCGTTGATTGTTCGTAGTTCTCTACCTTTTTCTGTTCCAAACTTCACGTAAACACCCCTAGCTGAAAATTCGAACCAAGTCTTGAGTGTCTCCCAATTCCATATAATGGCGGTGTGGTGTCATATGAGATCATCTTCATCATGATATCCCGTCATTCAAGCCATAAGGCATTCCATCGTACAGAAACTACCGATGATTGACACTTATTAGGCCATCCAAGTATTTCCTCAGTTTACTGAGCTCACCGTAACTCAACATCAAAGTTCGGTTCCCGAGCTAGTGAAGCTGCATGTTCCAATTGACGCGCATAAAGTCTGAGCATGTGCCCATAAAGTGACGAGGAGGCTTTCTTTTCCGGATGAAAAGATGCAATTAAAGAGAAAGAACACCTGAGTCATTCTGCAACTTACATGAAGGAGAGATCGAGATCTATGGTTATAGTTATAGAATAGGTGGTTTACCTAGTCTTGGTTCACCGCTTCATTAGCAACGTTCTATACCAAGGCAATTGCCGCTCTAACAAGCTAATTCTTTTGTGCATGATGCGCCGGCATTCTCTGGTCAAATTAGCAGTGGATGTTGTACATGAACTTTATTAGAGTATATTGTTATTAGGACGGAAATTCGGAACTAGAAAAAAAAGTTCATCTTTTCAAGACCATAGTCAGGGTCTTTTGATGGATCAACGGGCTGACACTAATGTTACAAGCCCTCGAGATTTGGACGCTATATCGACTTAGCTTTCGTCCAGAAACTAATTATGTGGATTTTTTCGATATTTTGCCTGAGCAGCGGATACTGAGTCAAGGTTAAGATGGAGTCGATGGCGGGCGTTACGGGAGATGTCGTGACACTATACAGATGGCATGGCTTCATTTAATGAACTAATTACGAGGTGGCCGGTTGTACTACGGAAACAGTCTAAACTATGAGACCCTTATTTGGATCGGATCAAGACTGACTGACTCAAAGTTTGGATCGTCTTTGTCTATGCAGCTCTCAAATTGTGTCATGAAATCGCGACATGAAGGACTAGAATTACTCGGGCTCCTCATCGGCAGTTGAGTACGGGCACTTGCTCGAATGCAATCGGTTTGACATTTGACACAATTAGTCCCTTGACGACTTGCGCAATGGTAAGTCTTATGGCGTCGATCCTCTAGCACTTGTTAATCTGATGAGGACCTCTGCCAACCCTCTAGTCTATGGGAGTTGAGGCCTCACCGGTTAATAGTTAACTACGTACTCCTGGAGGCTGAAGCAGCCACATACAAACGACATTGTGGCGTGATATGGCATGACATGACATGATAACGCGTACTGTTCTTATTCAGGGTTCCAGGAATGAAGATTGATGATGCCGTTTGACCGAAGATGCGTAGATCAGGATCTACCTCAACTGCCGAATCTCAAGATATTGGCTGCAACGTGGTCTGTGTTGTACTGTACGTAGGCAGTCCTCGGTGCAAGACCGAGATGAAATGACGATAGACTGAAGTACTGATCAACCTTGAAGATCCCGAGTATAGTCTCTAGTCTGCAACAGAAGGACCATGGAATAGTGTTATCTATTGGTTGGATTTATTCTGGGTTTCGTGGCGCGTGCTCACATTTTGGTCCCTTGATCGCCGAGTATGTAAGTGAGCGTGGGGTAGTGTAGTCTAAGACAGTAGCTATCGGGAACTTGTTGGTGTAGAGGAGCATCATTACTTTACTGAATATAGCGACTTTATCATTCCTCACCCACATGTTTGAGGTTGAGGTAGACAAGATGGCTGGCTGACTTGATTAGGCATGCAACGAGGGAGCAGCGAGACCCAGATAAGCGATCACGAGGATGTTCACATGAGGGGAAGTGGTATAGAGCATGTAACCAAGGAAGATGGAGGATGGGGGTGGTTAGATAAAGACCATCACTAGGTATCGAACGCAAGATAAGGACTGTAGCTGATAGTGATAGCGATAAGACTTTACCCGAAGATAGAGGTTTTGCTCCATCAATCAACAACTCCTTGATGATCTGTTATGCTTCACTTAGAAGCAGGCGTATATATTAGGCTCATTTCAAGAAACAATCAGACGGGAATACACCCAACAATCTACAAACTCTTGGTATGACGACGATTATAACGCTACGTCTCAGATGTGGGTGTCCTAACCCTCAGCAAATGATCCTTCTCGGAAGCAGAACCTCTTGTGTCTTAGAGTCGCATTGGTGGACAAAAGGTGTGAGGCGATTCGTAACGTGCATCAACATGGAAGGAATATCAAAGCATAGAGCCGCAAATGGCGGCTTCTGTCGAGTTGATGTTTGCATGTATCCGAACGGATGAAGTCGACCGCCAATAGCAGACACAAACATCAGGCGAGAATATCTGCATGGAATGTCATTGCTGCAATAACACAAAAGAGATTGACTCGGACACCACACGAAACATTAGAGGACGGACAGACGCTGTTTACATACTGACGAAATGTAGTCATTTCTGAATATTGGCTATACAATGCTGATCTTGGGTTTCTTACATTCTTGGCGGATAAAAACATGTCCGCCACTTCTTCTCGATAATGATATGCCAATATCTGACTGACTTATCTCACTGCCTCGGTTCAAAGATAGCAGACCCCATATATTCAGAAGAGAATGAATGTCTTGTCGGCCGACGAGAATTAGGGTTTTCATATTAACCCAACCAGAAATACCTATCTGATAAAGAGAAAAGCCTTGACCAACGTCAAAATACCATGTAAAAGCTGGGCAAAGGCCGGGCCGGTCCAGGTCTCGACTGAAGTCGGTACCCCAGGCCTGCTGTCAGCTCAGAGTTCAAATTGGGAAAGAAGGTGAGGCCCCTAACTCTACACGGTAGTTGATCTCCGTTAGTTAGCTGAAAAGAACGAATCCTAAGTGCTGTAACTGTACTTCCCCATCTTTACGGACTCGTGGTATCCATTCGGAGTTGTAAGGCTTGACTGATTGATGTCAGATTAAGAAAGATTTTTTTTTTTTTTTTTACTTGGTCTTGCGCCGAAGTTATCCGCCCGCCTTCTTCCGTCTCAATCTAATTAAGCGAATTCCTAGCCAGCGGCGTGGGAGAACGACTGGCCCGTGGTGTTGTTGGTTGAAGAGACCTTGTCCTTAGACTTATACAGGGATCATGGATGAAGACAAGGTGAGACTGCGGCTCATTCGAGAACGTGAACAACAGACAAGACAAGACAAGACAATGAAAATTCTTTCTCTTTCACCTCAACCTTGACCTTGACAGCCCAAGGGGCGACTAAGACGACTCCGCAACAACTCAAGGGTCAATGTCAATGCTTGCTGGCGAGCCTCAAGTGGAACCGGCTTCTCTTCTTTGACTCAAGTCTCTTTACCTTGAAGGTGAAAAAAATTGAGCCCAAGAGGGTCCCTCGTTTAAGATAGCGAGACAGCGGAACTGTCAACCGAGATAGAGAAGCGCTTGGTCACTACAGCGCGGCAGTGTTCCTACTCTAACCTAATGCACAGGCTTGAGGCCCCGGATGGAGTATTATGGTCAACCCTTGTGGACATTGTATGCGACCTCTACAGAGTACAGGTACAGACCTTTGTGGTTACAGTTTCTGATATAATACTGTAGTGAGCATCTAAGCTTGAATCAGAATCCACTGCATTGCACATTACGTTTCATAGGTTCTCCCCAAAACTGATAGCCATTTTCTCGACGGGCGTCAAATTTGACTGAGAGAAAAACAATTCCTTATCATGCCATCCCATCCCCCAGTCAGACCGGATTGGCGGAGAGCGGAGGATGGAAGGCGGAAAAGCATCAAAAACGGAGCCGGCAAACGGAAGCATTTTCCTAGGTCAAGACGAAACGCACGATGTAAGGTCAATGGAGCCCCCAGACATGCTGGCATTCAAGTTTCCCCCACAGTCATACAAAGTACCCTAGTCCATCTCCATAGTCTAGGTAGTCTAGTGTATCCCATGCACTGGATACTGTATGTACTCGCTTCCGTTCCGAGAATTTTGATGTGTAGGGCAAGGCAAGTCTCTGATCATGTTTCAATGCGGCGGTCAAGATGCATCGTATCAATGTAACAGAATGTCCACGCGTATTGGACCACGAGGTCGTCCTCGCTTTGCCCAGACAAGGTGAGGCAAATGGACCCAGTCGATCAACGGGAATAGAAAATGGAGTCTTCCAAAGTGTCAAGAAAGTTCCATAGCACGTCAAATTAATTGTCAAGTTAGCCCCACTACCTGACTCAGCTGAATCGCTCATACCCCCAGATACTGGGACAGAACAGTACAAGTGATGCCCAGATACCGCAACTATGGCTCTGGTACCTGTAGTCAAAAGCAGCCCAGACCAAGAACCCCCGCAGACTAAACCAATTCCCAACTTCTCCATCCCGGGGAACCAGCTTGCAATACGAAAACACTTTACCTATCTTGTGGGAAGGTCCTCAGTTTTGTCAGTTAAAGAGGGGGATTTATGGGTAGCCGATGGCGGAGGCGGAGAGTCAAGACCCTTCCTTAGCCTTGGCCTTTACCATGGGATAAAGATGATGGATGATACAGAAACAAACGATATTATTATCAGGAGCGGGGTTACGGCATCCGACTCGGTCATCTCAGAGCATAAATGAATACACATCAACAGTACGACTTCAATGTCGTCTTTTTATGTAAGTTGTTTATGCGTTTCATGTGCAATGATGTAACCCTTGGTCGATACTGTAGAACAAATCGAACAAATCGACACATGTTCCCTAAAACTTTACAGCACTCCTATTCCTCAGGACTGGTAACTTTCGGCATTATTCTGATACTAACAACTCAAATGGTGGTGGGCTCCGTTACGTTAGGTCAGTATAGTACTAGCTAACCATCACGGAACTTCCCTGTTGTCTGATACAATCCTCCAACATTCATCAATAAACCGTTGAGAACTACGTAATCAGTTATGTGTCACGAAACAATCCAAGCGCTCCATTTATTTGCCATGGTATCTCACAAGGTTTGGTTGACCACATGGTGAGGCTGATAGGTTGCCTCTTGCAGGACTCTTTGGTGCTTGCTCGGGGACTTTTTCCTAACCCTTCGCGTGCATCAGTCATTGGACGTCAAAGCAAGAACTGCAGATCATTCAAGATGTCCGTTCTGTAGCCAGAAACTCGAGCCCATCCTTGGCTTAGCGGCCTTGTTCCCGCACACACAAGATGTGCCGGGCCGCGAAGCTTTCGGAAGAATGACATCGAATAGTCCAGGGTACGTAATGTACGAATACGTAGAACTGGTTAATAGCAAGACCGAGAGCGTTTCTGTGGTTGCGTAATGTGTGAGTCGACGTCAACAATACACGCATCGCAACGACGAAACGTGCTTTGTATGGTGGATGAGACGAGCTTTATCGTTAGTAGGTACATAATCCATTTGAGCGAGTTTAGTGCTTCTAGTGGCTATCGTAGGCTGTGCCTGGCTCTGGCTCCGGCGCTGCACCAGAAGAAGCGGGGAATAACCCCCATCATGGAAGGGAAGTTGATTCCAGGAAAGGCAAGTGCAGGTGAACAGACACCCCCCCATCTTTAGGTAGGTTCCTTCCACTGATTTAATTGACTTAAGTCTTTTTACTGGTTTTCAGGTCCATTTCTCAGTAGGAAGGCACTTGGGGCATGACATGGCGACGGCGGCCCCTTCTACTCCTGCATTGCATCGTCGCCGTGAACTATTGTACTGTAGACTGCAGTCGCGTATTGATCATTGTCACCTGCCCACCATCATACTTCCTTCACTCTGCCTAGCAACGGAACAAAACCACCATGATCATCAAGTCTAAGCGTGGTGAGCGAAAGCCCACTCCACTCTTTCACCTGAACCCTTGAACCCTTGGAAGAGTTGGAGTCCCTTTTTGGTCGCGCCAAGCTACACATACACCCCCCTCTTTACAGCAGTGTCACCCTTCAGTGGTATCCACCCCCGGCCGGCTTCACATCTCCAGCGCAAGTCCCTGTGCTTCGTTCGCTGTATGTATGGAATATCGTGCCTGGCATCGCCCATCCCTCCATGATCCAATGCAACTTAGCGCCGATTGGGATGAGGACAGTTAGTATGCAGCATATGTGAGCTATCGGTGTTTTGCTCTATCTACACTATTCGCTAACGTGATGCCACGGCGCAGCAGGACTCCATGCCTTCTTTATTTAGGACTCGAGCTGCGGCATGGCTTCTCGACGGTTGCGATGACGAGATATGTCTGGCCGTTCCCTCACAGGCGACGCAACGCAACGCAACGCTACCAGTTGCCGCTCTTGCGCTAGATACGCTACAATGGTGAATAGCCTACGGACGCTGCACTTATGTCGGTCGATTATTGCCAATGCACATCGATATGTCCCTGGTTCGCACCTGATAATGTAACCCCAATGCCGTTCCCGCATCAGATGGCCAGTGACAGTGTTCCCGCAGATGGATGGATGGATGGATGTTTATCTAAGGCAACTGCCTAAGCACTGGAATCAGATACAAGAGACCTCGCTTCCCCAGGACTGCCCATATCAAACGTGGCCAGTTCGTGGTTACCCATTTCACCCCAACATATCTACCTGTTGAATCTGAACGTACCACCGGTTACTATAATCTGACCAAGACTGCCCTTCAACAGGTTGGTCAGCACCAATCTATCTATATACTGTACACAGCTCTCTTCCTCTCTTCTCCGCATTCTTACTCGTTGCTTCCGGTCACAACTATCACGTCTACTGATAGTGTGACAACGTCTGCGGATATTGTATCAGTCAGCCTGAGACAGTCTCTGCATCAACCGACACCTTTGCTGAATACGCTTGCTTGCGCTCTGCCTCACAACGTACGCATACGTCCAGACCACTCGAGTCCAACAAGTCATCAGAGGGTCCCGGAATACAAGGGCTTTGATATCCGGCATCCTGACGAACCCATAATTGCAGTCTTTCGGCCTGTTGCTGGAACCGTTTGCTTGTCGGTGTCGGTCAGTCCCTGTCTTTTGTCACTAGTAAGGTATACGACGGGGTACCCTGAGAGGATCCTCTATCCGTCCTGCCTTAATCCCAGTTGCTCTGCCCTGCCCTGTGCTGTCGCGCAATCCGATAGTCGCAACTCGCAAAGTTGATAGCGGCGGGCCATTGGTTCACTCACTGCGGGCGCTGTATCTCCGCTTTCGGCTTCTCACTCACTCACCTTTTCGATCACGACAACCAAGGCCCGAGTCACCAGGTGCCTCCAACCCAGTACTTAAGACTCGCGTGCCCCGACTTCGCCCGTTCGCAAGTTATCAGCATTGTTTCAACCTGCCTGTCTAGTCGGTCTCGTCAGATACTCAACACGTTCGCTCGAGGAAAACATCAACGGCACCATCTGTCACTATTGCTCTTTTCAGTCCCCAGCGGATCAGCCAACGCTAACAAAGCGGCTCTTTTTGGCTACTGTACCTACCTATCAAAGACCTACCCACTCGGCTAAATTTGACTTACACGACACTTACACTACTATCGCGAGTCGACACTCGATTTATTCATACCGCCTTCATCCTGCGGCCGAATAAGACATAGCACAGCATCGTCTCCACGCTGCGGATCTATTGTCACCGTTCCGGTCCCTGAGCGGTAACACATCATTGAATCTACTTTGCTCAGTGGATTTTTTTCTGGAAGGAATTTTCATCTCATCGAGATCTGAAAATAAAATTGCTTGGACTTCCCCAACTCGATCTTGAGTCTAAAAGAAGGATCACTAAACCGATCTCATTTCTTATTCATTTAGCCGGACATTTTTGTCGATTAGCTTTGCCCTACTCTGTCGGTTACAGCACGTTAGTTATTGTGCTCGAGTCGGTCACAGTTTGTTCGACGGTTGTTCTGGTCGCTTCGTCTCCAGTTGCGACACAACTCACCACTCGGGGAATTTATCGTCCTGTCGTCCCTGCACATGCCCATGCGCAATTCAGACCACAGTTTGCCACTCTGTTATACCCTGCTATCACACAATTCTCGAATTTCTCCTGAGACGGTCAAGCTTGAGAAAAAATTTGCAACCGTTGCTTCTGTCACCCTTTGTTACGGTACCCCCTTGTTGATCGAATCAGGGAGTAAGGAGATCTTTGGAGCCTAGGCTTAGTTCCCCGATAAGGCCCCCCGCAGTCGAACCACACTGAACGGGCGGTTTGCTACCTTACCGTACCTGACCACAGGCGGCCCCAACTGCTCTAAATATCTGCATACTCCACTGATTTACAGTGGTACCGAGTACTTACGGTCTGTACTGTACCTACTGCCCTGTACTTTGGTGCACCTTGTCGACCTCCAGGTTCATAACTTATCATATCACCTGGCCCCCCTTCTCTCAAATCCTTTGAGGTCTACCTTTTTTTTTATTCTTATTACCAGTCTCTCATCCATTCCCTTCCTTTCAATTGTCTTTCGTTCAGTCCCATACAATGCACCACACTCGCAGAAAGTCAGGTCACGGCCTGTCTAACAACTCCTCGACCGACGTTCGAAAAACCAGTACTACAACGGATTCCTCAAAGTACAAGCGACCCGTCATGACTCGAAGGCACACACCACAAAAACTCGGCCGCAGTCAACGTGAACGTGAGCGCGAATGTTCAGCATCTTGGGAAGACGAGAGGGAGAGTTTCCCACAGTTCTGGTAAGTCTCACGTCATCCCATGGTGTTTTAATTCCCCTTTTCTGTTCGTATCATGAGACTTCCCTGCCTGCAGCCCTGGTCACGGAGACGGCGATGCCGTCATGTTCAGGTACCATGCAGCTAGGGGGTTCATTGGCTTGTAAGCCCATTGTTATGGAATTCTAGCGGACAAGAGAAGAACTTGAAGAACTTTTTTTGCTAACAAAATTCAACAGCATGACGTGCGAGAAGCAATTCATTCCTCATGATGACATGTTCCTTTACTGTTCCGACAAGTAAGTACCAATTCCGCTTAGCGGTGGACCTTGTTGTCCTCGCTTGAATGACAGCTCCAAGGATGATGCTAATTATACATTGCAGCTGCCGAAGAGTTGACCAAACCACATCATCGCAACCGGCCTCTTCGGTGAATCATTACGCGTCTTCAAACTATCCTTTCTATTCTGCGGGACATCCGGAGCCTAAAGACATCATCCCGCGAGCCTCTCCGTCACGGCCCAGCTCAATACTTTTGAATTCTCCACCAGGCACGCCGGGAACCGGAGCACCGGCTTACCAACACACTTCGGCCATTTCGGCCCTCCGTTCCCTCAATGTCCGGCCTCCGAGCCCTCCGTCGCCCACAGGTAGCTCCAGCAACTTGTGGCCCTTTAGCCGCAGTGCCGCAACCAGCCCCTACAACTCGTACAGTCGGCCTTCTGCGCCGTATCTGTCATCGACGTATGACGGAGGGTACTACGGCGCGGGCGGTAGCGCATACAACTACGAAGTGACTTCTGGCGGAATGGACCGTCCGCTGCCTTCTCGCCAACCCAGCACCTACTCTCGACCCAAGAGCATTGAGCTTGTGACACCTATGGTCGGCAGATGATATGGGTGTACTGTGCTCAGCTCTTTGGCGATGAACGACACATGCCCTACGAGACTGCGCATACACCGGTTGGTTGTGAATTCCACAACGGATTGGACAGGCTGGTAGTACAAGCGAAGCTGAAGTGCAGAAGACGTGGTGGGTGTTCTCCTGTTGGTGTCTCACAACACAACCGGGGGCCTCGGCCACAACCCCGCTGCCTTGGCTAAGATTGGTCTACCAACATGATCACAAACCCATGGTTTTGCGGGGTTGGCAAGTTACGTTCGCAAGGATCATCCAATGCCCTTGCGCTGCGCTGCCATGGACGCTTCGTGGAAGCTCTTTGCTACGCCCCCAAAACAAGTTTCCGCTTCTTCATGTCCACCTGGCACTGAAGGAAGCACAGCACGCGGTGCTTGTGGGCTTGTTGTCCCGCTATCGGGATTTTTCTTTATTTTATTGTTTGCCTCATAATGCATCTGCGGGGGTGCTGGTTGGCAGCTCCCTGGCGCTCAAAAGTTTTTCTATTTTATATTGCATCAACAGCATTTCATCGATCTCAGAACGAACGGCGTTTTACCATTTTGTTTTTATTCCTGTCGCACTTATTCCTGTTTTTTTATGGCTCCGACAATCCCCTGCCTCGTCAATCCATTCTGGAATCTGGATACAATACATCCTCCAATGGTCTGTCAGCCCCCGACTAATAGCAAGACATGGGTCAACACCCAAATGCTTGCAACAAGTTCGGTGGGAGTCAATAGCCAGACTGCCGGGGTCAGTTTTGTTTGAGCTTTTCCTACATGGACCTGTCTTGCATGAAAGCTGGATTCACTCCCTGGCAAGGCATGGCACGATATCGAACGGCGTGGAAATGACACTATTAGCATTAGCATCAACAATAGCATTTGGCGAGCGGTAGTTTTGGACGGGTGTATAATTGGTTTGGTTCCTACTGGGTTTCTGTCTAATGAGGGACGCATAAGTCTTTTCATACCACGCATGTACAAAAGCTATATATCACTCATATCTTTATTTGGCGGATCGTTCTTGAGCATTTTACTACATATATCTTGTACATCTATCTATCTAGAAGCACAACGAATATTATTCTACTGTACTGCACTATTCAGTACAGTAATGAAACCTCAACCCATGCAGCAATGCATTCTTTCATTTCACCCTTACTTTCCTATAACGAGATTAGTCTACCACGGCTCATCAAACCGAGGCCGTCCCCGGATTTCCTTTCTCCACGCTTGGCTCCCCCGGATTTTCATTCCTTTCCCCACCCCATCCCACGGGGAATGATACCAACCCAGCGTTAGGTACTGCATCAATCGGGCTCATCTCCGATGTGTTATGGAATACAATCGAAAGAATTTGTCAAGGGCTCGCGTAACAAGCGGGCACAGCTGAAAACAGTGCGTCATGTGAAAGAGCACGCGTGCAACAATTCACTCCCTTCGGAGTATACGCCGAAGAGGTCAGCAAGAGAGAGGTAGAATGAGCCAGGGCAGAGAATAAGTGCCAACTGCCCTTGTCTATTTGACATGGTACTGAGTAATGTCCTTCCTCAAGCCTGTCATTCCATGGCTTGGGACCCATGAACGCAAGATTGTTTGTCTCTAATCTTAACGAATGCAGCCGTGGTGATGTTTCTGGGTTTGAAGTACCTACTTCTGAACATACCTATATGCATTCCACGACTTGCTCTCAAGGACGGGAATACGCTTGATCCCCCATGTTTTATCTTATGCGTCCGTCGCCTTCACTTCTTCATTACTATTGGCCTCCAAGACAACCAAATGGCTAAACTAGTCGATCATTCTACCATCCCTCTGGATACATTTTGACAACGCATCAGAATAAGGTACGTAGCGGCCTCTTTTGCAGATCATGCTCACAATGTCAGCTATCATGCAGCCATGTCTCAGATCCCAGTTCAGCCATCTGAATGTGACAGCTCCTAGGCCTGTAAACTTATTGAGCTTTCGTTGTAAGGGTTCTTCACCTTGCAGTAGCTTGGTTTCTACTCTTCGTTGGGTTTAGGTCTCACGATGCTGTCACATTTTCGACACTAGCTTTGCACATGTCCCTGAATACATGGTACGTCCTGACCATCATTCAAGGCGAGGAAGAATGCTGTGCGTCTCGGTCTCATCGAGAGGGCTTGTGTTTCATGACATCATCCTCTCTGAGACAGACACACCGAATTATGCTGCTATGTGCAGCCACCGTTGAGATTCCAGATCTCAGATAGGCATGTATTTCGTAGAGACGGTCCAAGCGACAGTACCCTGGCTATTGTCAACGTACTCTTATCTCATAAGCGATATTCGTCTCATCGACAAAGTCGGTGTGACGAACATGTGTAAGCGCCGACAAGAGAACCTCTTTGTCTAGAGGATACTGTAAGAACAGACAGTTGATAGGTTAAGTGAGTTGTGATGATAGGCCATACCTCTTGCTGATCTTGTCAAGGGCTGTGGACAGCACATCCCAGAGCATCAACACGCACCCCCGTTCTTCATCACGAAGAATTGATTGATAGTGTTGAGGTGTGTCTAGCACATCCATTCGCTGGCCCCCTCTCCATCAATCATACTGATGGCTAAGATAAAGTCGGACCTGCTAAAAGATCAGAGAGAAGATATCATATCGCGAATGCTTTCAGGCATCGTTACCTTTCGCATCAAGAACAGCAGACTTGAGATACTTCAATTCCTGTAATACCAGAAGTCGGCATTCCCCGTTATGTTTAGACACATACATGATACAATGAACACCAATACTATTTCGTACAACTCCATATGCCTACATCCCATTCATGTTCTCATAGTCGCTTGGTCTAAGAAAGGACAGCCGCCTCATCTTGGACGAACAAAAGCAGAGCATTATCAGTTGAAGAATGGCGTCGTCAAATAATTTCAGTCTATCGAGCCGATGATGCGCAGCTCTCGACATCGACAGATGGATGGTACAGAAAAAGCAAAATGGAGCAGAACGACCGCCCAGTAGTTTGAGACAAATGGCATCCAACTCCAGTGTTAATAAACCTCCCTCGAGTTTCTTCTTTTTATGATCGTAACGCAGTAACCACGCAAGCATTTTCAAAACACCCACGTATAATTTTCTTTCTCCTCCGCTTCTTCCACCACTGGTTACCTGCCCGCTGGCCTTGAACTGGCCATCTCACCATATCTTCCACGATGCTTAGTAGTGTCGTATGCCTGAAGCACACGTGTTTGACTCTCGTCCGCTTGCGAGAAGGCATATCCACGTTGCTTGCGCATACGCTGCACTTGTCGTACCTTTCGGATTGCTTTTTGGAACTGCTCCATTCTGTGGTATGTTAGCTAAGTGATCTAGATAGGATTGGTGACAAAACTGACCTGGGTCGATAATCTTGGATATTGTATTTTTGGATTTCCTGGATGTGGTGGTATGTCTGCGGGCGGTACATGCGCTTGACATACTTCCAAACGAAATCACGCAACAAGCACATGATGGCAAGGCAGACCGTCTGTAGCCAGAAGACGGGGCTCTCGTAAATCCTAGGAATGGTACCTTGGTACTCCTTGGACACGCCGGCCATTGGCGCGACGATACCGTAGACGGCAGTCAGGACATACCAGATGGCCATGCTTCCGGGAATAGCGATAACGTGGTACTTTGTCCAGTTGTTGGTGACAAGGGCGGCCTTTCCGAGAACAGTAAGAAGAGTAGCACCGTAAAGCGCCGTGCCCCAAACCCAATGACCAGCAATTTTACCATCTCCTTGAATGAGATCGCCGTACCAGAATAGTTGACCCCAAATGTAGAGTACAATTGAATGGTAAATGGCGTTGGCGATCCACTCAAGGAAGACCTTCAGTCTGAAGAAGTAGTTCTGCTGGCCCATCATGTAAAGCTGAGGGTAACGATCAAGTAGGCGGGCCGAGATGAACTGATCCAAAATACCGAGTGCCAGGGGAGGTAAAACGGTGTAGAAGACGTTGTAGAATGACAGTGTCCATGATTCGTAAATAACTTGACCGGAGAAGACGTTTTGGAATGTGTACTGTGCAATGTTAGCAATGGGTGGCTGCGCATTCGATGTTCATATTGTACTCACCCAGAATTGTGTCATATACAAGGCAATGTTCTTGTAGAAAGAGAACAGGATCGTCTTTGTGACACGCTGATAACTCCATGCGCCATGAACCAGCAATAGCTTTCGTAGGAACCTGAACTGAGCGATAGCCACATCGGCACTTCGTGCTGCTTGGAGACCTTCTTCACCACTGATACCGATACCAATATGGGCTGCTTGAATCATAGAAACGTCATTTGCTCCGTCACCAATAGCGAGGAGAATCGACTCCTTCTGATACTTCTTGACAAGCTTAACAACGAGGGCCTTTTGAAGGGGAGACACACGACAGCAAATGACAGCTTTGCACATAATCGCTAGGTCGAGGAACATCTTTTCCAGGTCCTTCTCAAGTGCGTACGTCAAAGATTTTCCGTCGATAATCAAAGCCAAAGTTTCCGTTTCTATTGTGCCATCACCCTGTGTTCTGATAGCGTCGATCTTCTTTTGAATGTTGTCTCGTGTAGCGGCTGCCGATTCCTCGTTGACGATCAAAAGCATCATATCTTCGCTGAGAAGCTTGCAACTCATTCCAATGTTGATGGCAGTCTCTTGTCGATCTCCTGTAAGAACCCAAACCTTGATGTTGGCCTGCTGCAAAGTGTGAATTGTCTCAGGAACACCATCTTGAAGACGATCCTCAATAGCAGTTGCGCCGAGCAAGAAAAAGTCCTTCTCGATGATTTCCGAAGCCTTGTCCACTTCATCAGCACGGTTACCACCGACGGTCATCTGAGCAGTATCGTAGATCTTGTACCATGCTTGGAACTCGTCCTCGGGGATTTCTCGCATAGCCAAACACAGTGTTCGCAGACCCTCGGAAGCGTACTCTTCAAGATGTCGGAGCGTGACTTCGACATGGGGATTCTGGTCATTGAGGCGCTCCAGAATAACAGTGTCGGCACCCTTGCAGTAGCATCGAATCTTGCCGTCGGGGCATCGATAGATAGTTGACATTCGCTTTCTGGTTGAGTTGAATTCACAAACAGCAAGGAGTTCGTACTCGAGTTCCTGGCCATTGGCATCGATAATAACCGACTTAGGCTTTCGAGCAGTGAACTTGAAACCGAGATCCAGGGCACCAGCGACCAAAGCACCTTCGTCAGGGGAAGCGGCTTGGTACTTGATACCGCCCTTTTCATCCATTTCCGGGATAACAGTATGACACGTTGCGAGCAGTGACAAGAAATGGTCAATTGCAGGAGCGGTCTCGTGTCCATTGGCGAGATTAGACTTGAGAGCCTTGTAATCGAAAAGTCCGACTTCAACGCCATCAATCATGGTTGGTCGACGGTCCTCCGGTACATCCTCAGAGTATTGGATTCCAGCGATTGAACATTGCTTGAACTCCATCTGATTGCAGGTGAGTGTTCCAGTCTTGTCTGAGAAAACGTATTCTACCATTCCCAACTCTTCCACCAAGCTTGAAGTTCGGCAGGTAGCAGGTGTGTCGTTCTTGTCGTAGTACATATCAAGGTCGTCGTTGATCAAAATTGCGTGCCAGTACTTCACCATCTCGACGGTGACGAAGAGGGAGATAGGAACCAGAGCCGAAAACAGAACCCAATATGTGACCATATCCTTGAGGAACGTCTGGGTGATCTGTCCAGCAGTGTTCGTAGGTTCCAGATAAAGGTATGAAAGAGCATTTCCTTCGACCTTTCGTTGAATCAAATCTCCGACAGTACACACGATACTCAACACCAGCAAAATTCCGACCAGCAAGAGGACGAGCCAGTTGAGTTTTCTCTCGACCTTGGTACGCTTGATGGGAGCCGCAGTAGCGTTTCGCATTAGCTTTGTTTCATGGCCGGTGAACACTACGACACCATGGACCCAGGGAGTGTTTCGGAGTGTAGCACCTCTGAGAAGCAATTGCTCGGGGTTGAGAGCGTATTCCTTCTCGCCACCTCCCATCTGCATCGTCAGAGTTGCCTCGTATGTGTAAAGACTGCTGTTGGGTTGTTCCGACTTGATGCGTCCACCTAGCCTGCTAAGCTCATTCGGCGAAACCATAGACGAAGTTTCCGGCAGCGCTTGCTTGATCTTGAGGTTAGTCTCACCATCCAGGTTCGCAGTTTCGATATAACAGAGACCTTCGGGTTCGGAACTAGCCAAAAGGACCAAATCAGCAGGGAAAGGCTCTTCTGATTCAACTCTGATGATGTCTCCAATGGCCACATTAATCCATTTAGTTTCCTCGAAATTCGAGCCTCGGAGCACGCGAGCTTTAGAGGTATTAAGAGCGTTATCGGCTTGTTTTCTGCGATAATCCTCAACCAATTCTTTTCCGGCAGAAATAATCAGCACCACGGTGAGGGGAGCAATGGTTGTATACGGGTTCGTCGGAGACAGGTTGGGAATTTGCTGTAGCGCGGCAGTGAACAAGAAGAAGATGTTGGCGAACTTGGAAAACTGTTCGTAAAGGAATTTAGGCAAGAATGTCGCGACATTGTACTTGGCGGTTGAGATGTGGTTGTCGACGTATTTGTTGGCAGCGTTGGCGGGTGGGTTGTTCAGGTAGATAACTCTTGGTCCGAGGGTTGAGGGGTCCGGTTTCGATCCTCCAAATCCAAACTTGAAGTTGCCCATGTCGAATCTACCCTTCTGGCCCTGCTGGGGAGGTAGCTGAGATTGTCCTCCAACAGAATCCCCTCGCTCGTGGCCGGGCTCCGTTAAAGGCAGATCCATCTCTGAGTAACCTTGTCCCATGCCAAGCCTGTTCTTAACTTTACCTATAAAGCCTCCACCCATGCTCAAGACGCTGTTTCGATTCCGCGCATTATTCCTACCCAAGCCGGGTGTGCTTTCGTCAACTCTCGCGCCTCCGTCGTGGTGGTAGTAGGAATCGCCTTCGACGGGGTAATCGTCGAAATCGTCAGCGTATCGCTGATAATTGCCAAGTTCGGAGGTCTGGCTGTATTGTCTCGTAAGGTAAGGATTCGAGCCTGGGCCGGATCCAGGAACACCTAAAGCACCCGGGGGATGCGAAGACGAAGCATTATTCGCATCTCGAGCGCCAACAAAGTCGTCATAGGACACTGAGGTTCTTCCTGGTGGGGGGTCTTGATTTTGTTCGTGGAAGCGCATCAGGTCGTCGTCATTAAGGTTGGAGCGTTGGCCGCCGCCGTAAACAGGTTGGTCATTGTCGAGGTCGAGCAGGAGGTCGTCGCGATTATTCGAGTATCCCGTATTGAAACCTCCTCCAGGCGGTCGCCCAGCCATGGCGGCGGGTATTTGAGTGTCAGACTATCGATTCGCAAAGGCGACTGCCGGCATACGGATTGGATGATGCGACGGTGCGCAATAAACTGATAGGAGAAATTGAAGGATGATAAGTTAATGGTATTGTAACGGATGTAGGATGCAAACGCTGTCGATGCGATGAGGTTCGGGCGATGTGGGAGGACAAAATGCCAAGCAGAACGACAAGCTGACGGCAGTGGAATAGGTAAAGGTACGGACGGATAGAATGGGACCGTGTCGTCAAGTCGTTAATTCTTAGCGGCCAAGCGAGACCAGGACCTGGACGTAAGCACTGTAAGAAGAAACGGATTGGATCCAATGTCTCTGAATGAATCCTTCCTCGTGTGGCTGGACCAGGTTGGGGTTTGCTTTTGCTTGGCTCTGGTCTGGTTTGTTGCTTTCCTTTCCTTTGCTGGGAATGGAGTGACGACCACGGATTGCGGGCACAGCCTCCTTTCCTTTTAGACTGACTGCGCAAGCTTTCTTGAAGAGGTATAGGTATAGAAGCTCGATTGGAGACTGGACTGGACCGTGCGGTACGACGTTAGACGAGGCTCAAAAAAAGACTGTGGCCAGCTTGTCGTCATTGATTGGTTAGATCAACAGCTGAACATGGAAGAAATCAATTTGGTTTTTACTGTACTGTAAATTGAGAGAAGAGAAGGATCGTTTTTAGAGAAATGTCAAAGAATGTCAAAGCAAGGTGGGTGGGTGCATTGCATTACAGTAAAGCACTGTACAGTACAATACAGTATTCAGTTGATGGGTACTGTAGATTTGGGGGGCTGGCGTTGTCGTGTTGGGTCAGATTTAGGGATTCATCCACAGTGCTTAAACCCCAGCGCTTCAGGGGATACGATGGATAGGAGTCTTATTACTATTATCAAGCACCCTGTCAATTGTAAAAAAAAGGATCAACACGGGCATTCAATGGATACATGCTACTCTCTACACTCGCCTTACCCTGATTTGCGTTGACGCATTCTGCCCTAAGAGGCCAAAGGGTCTTTCGGCTATAATGCTCCACGTCCGCTTAACAACTCTAGTCAAAGTTTTGTTTCTATTCATGGCTGCATCTGATCTGGGCTGAGTTATCTATGGCTATGGCTATGAATGGATGTCAGCGGCCAGACAAGCCACAATATCCTGCCATCAAAGAATTGGAACGCCCGGGGATACAGTTGCGGAGTAGGTCAAAGTACCTGTCAAGCATTCTCGAAGTACACATCCATCCATTCTACACGCATAATCTACGTTCGGGACGCTCTCAATCATCTCAAGGTACATAAGCAGGGGGAATTCTTCACCCCAAGCCCCTTACACGTCGTCAGCCTGACCCTGACGGATCCAGTAAGTTAAACTAACAGAATAAAATCCCCACCTTAGAACAAACGCGTACGTTCGTTTCAATCTTCATATCGTCGCTGCTCGTATTTTATTTGCTCTCTATGATATCCACATCTGGAGGCAGGTAATTTTACTGCTTTGTCCCTGCAACGTCCAATCCGACACCATGTGAGTTACATGTGAACGCCTAAACGGCACTTCTGAACACATATAGCCGACCTGCAGGACCGTTGGATTATGCATGGACTGGCTTAGGTACTTGAATAAGGTATACTTCCTGACCAGATGACTACCCTATATCAACATGTTTCTTGGTTGAATCAAGTATTGCAGGAGTAAACAGCTGCAAGGGCAAATGGTTCTTCTGGTTTCTACCTGTTTCAAAGTCACAGATCTACAGCGAGTCGAGTCTTTACAGATTATCATGACCATTTCTTATTTTCATTGACGTTCATTTATATAAACCTTGACTTCCGAATCTCTTTTACAAAGATGCCTTGGCCTTCAGCGCACCGTCCAGTACGCCGTCAAGCCACTTTGTAAGATGCTGGTTAACAGCATCAGCAGCCTGCCACAAAGCCCAGTGAGAGGCTTTGACTTCCGCGCGAGCCAGGCTCTCAAAGCTGGCGTCCATACCCGCCGACATGGAAGGCGGCAGAGCAGAATCGTCGCTCGCAGTGATCATCATGGCGGGCATCTGGAACTTGTGACCACCTTTCTTGGCGATCTCCAGGTCGTCGCGGTAGTTGAGCTCCTGGGTACGGTAGTAGTTGAGAGGACCGCGCAGCTCGGGAGCTGGGTGTGAGCAGTACTCCTTGACGTAATAGTCAATCTCGTCCTTGCTGGCAAGGGGCGAAGGGCCCAGCTTGGATAGGTTGTCGAACAGAATACCATCCTTGGAGGAGAAACCGAGCTCTCCCTCGGGTGTGCGGCCGCCATACAAAGCGTTCAAGAACTGTCGAACCCCCTCCTCGCCTTGAAGACGGGATTGAACATCAGGTCCCTTGAACTGCAGCTGGTAGCTAAAGTTGGTCAAGTGACCGCCTGCAATGAGGGCTTCAAGAGGGATGAATTGTTCCCTGGGCTGCATGTATGGTGTGCAGACGCTGAAGACGCACTTGATCAACTCGGGGTACCAGGTAGAGACCTTCCAAACGATCATGCCACCCCAGTCGTGGCCGCCAAGGACGATCTGGCCCTTCTCGCCGACATACTTTCGAGCCAGCTCGTTAATGTCTGCTGAGAGGCTCTTGTATGTGTACTCCTCGAGGGACTCGGGAGCGTCAGAGCCTCCGTATCCTGTCATATCAGGGACGATGACTCGGAAACCCAGAGACATGAAGTGAGGGACCTGGTAGCGCCAGCCAAATCCAAGATCAGGGAAGCCATGGATCAGAACCATGGTTTCCAGAGGGGTACCCTCGGGTTCACCGACAATGTACTTGTAGGTTTTACCCCGAATCTGTGCCGTCTCTTGCTTGACACGAGGGTCATTTGGCACGAGCTTGTCGGGAGCCATTTTGAATAGATTTGAGGTAATGTCCTCTCTTTTGTGAAGTAATATGAGCTTTGAAGATGTTAGTCGATCGTTAATTGGAAAAGCAATGATGGAAATAAAGTTCCATCGTCTATAGTGGGGATGATGGCTCGAGCTATAGAGTTACATCATGTTTGAGCACTTACCTCTCTTGTTCCAAGCAGTTACAGATTGGTTTCGCCAAGACTTTGGCAAGAAGCAATAATATATCACAGCAAAAGATAGCAGAGGTTGAGGTTTGGACTCGGCCTACCTTATATACTGTACGACAGACTCTTGAGGTACGTGCGTAGGTTATTCCAGCACTCCCGTCATCGTACCTATTAGTACTTAAAATCCGACGGCAAATTGGGGACTAAGCAGACCGAGGCACAGGCGGGAGCACTTCCTATTTTAGGATAATGGAGACGTCAATCGCGGCTAGAGAACTTGCCTCTGTAGGCTTCTTCTCCTCATGATTTCTGTCGTGGAACCTTATCAACGAACGAAACATAAGCCCATTCTCGGCTTGTTACATAACGTAGTGTATATGGATAGTGGGTGTTGGGTGGATGCTTTGAGGCGGTCTGCCCGGATGCCGAGGACTTGATGTATGTATTCTTCTTCGATATACATACTATGCATAAAGAACAACATGTTGATAGGGTATCAGATAGAATTAACGCTTGAGTGACTCCAAGCCAATAACAACAACCCTCATACAGGGTACCTTGACCAACTCCAGTTCCCATCTTGCTAACCACAAACTTGAACAAAATCGCAGAGATTCATACTTTGAAAACCCACCATCGCGATCACAACATTAGTATGTGCATCAATCAGATGAATGCATCTGGAGATGGCGCTCAGTAAATCACCATATCCTCATCAGCTTCCTCCAATACATCAGCCGCCTCATCGTGATCATGCTGATGCTGATCACTTTCACCACCTTTAAATTGTGCTTTCCCTAAATGTTCTGAATCATCCGCAGTCTTAGACGCAGGGGCTGATTCCTCGTTTGAGGGCACGGTTGCCTCTTCTCGTACTGAAGATCGTCGGGTTTGATTCGTCTGTCGCTCTCTCCTTGCGTTAAATGCTTCTACTTCGCGCGCTATCGCTGTTTTTGTGTGTCGCAACTGCTCATCGATCGTTTCTTCTTGTTCTTCCGTGAGCCTCCAGGGGAGATAATACTAATCGTTGTTAGCAGATCTCATGAAAGATGAATCTACCTCAACTCACAATCTGTGGTTCTGATGTTGTCCGTAAGTATTGAGCGACTGCAAGCATCTTTTTATGTTTGTTTCGCATCTATGACGAAATATTAGCACCAGTCCATAGTATGCCATGTGATTTGGGCCAACTTACAACTTCCTCATCAAACACATTCTGATCACCCTTTCGAGCCTGCATCGCCTTTGCTCTCTTTTCCTCGCGAAGCTTGCTATCTTCGACACTTTGCTTGCGCATTCGTTCCTGTTGCCTGCGCTCTATTTCCATACGTTTCTTCTGGGTTGAACCACCACTCGTCTGACTCAAGGTACTTAGAAGCCCACCGAACAAGCGTTTCCCGCGCTTCTTCTCTTCTTGAGTCGCATGTTGTCGGCGACCAGCATCGATGGCAGCAGAGCCACCATAGGAGCTCCGACGCTCCTGTGATGAACCCCGCCTTGGTCGTTCGCTCGTGGCTTCGCGGAAATGGTCATCGTGTTTTATGCGTTTCGGAGAAAATTCGTCTGCATCTACCGGCGCCTTTCTTTTCGACGGTTCCATATCTGAAACATTTTGGGGCAATGAGTTATCATGTTGCTCTTTCAGTTGGACGTCATCCGCGGGACGGAAACTGGGATCAAGTCAGTAAGATGATGTATATGATAAAGAAGAATTTAAGCGCACTCATGTTCGGTCGTCATTTTAGATGAAAGACACAATGCGCTGCATTTACCGAAAGTTATATGATATAATATGGCATCTGTTGTGTTGTACAAAAGATATCGCGAAAGGTGAAGGTTGAAGATGTTCCCTTGAAGCTTGTCAAGGCTGAGGAAGGTGGGACTCTGAAGCTTATGGCAGCTACGACGCCCCACTTATTCGATTGGTCTGCAACTCTGTCGCCCCTCGAAGCTGTCAGAACGCTACGGCAAGGCTGAGAAATCTCCAATGCTAAACTCTCCAACATTTATCACAAGTTTCTGATCTTTCAACCTCCTCAACTCACCTTCTGGTTATCGCACATTCCACATAGTGATTTGCTTTCGCTCAGCCTTGCGCCGTCGCCATCATGTCTCGCCATCATCCGTAAGTTTATTATCACCTTATACTTCGCAATGAGTACAGCAACTAACCTGTGCACAGCGATCTCGTTATGTGTCGCAAGCAGCCCGGTATCGCTATCGGCCGTCTCTGCGACAAGTGCGACGGCAAATGCCCAGTCTGCGATTCCTACGTTCGACCTACGACCCTTGTGCGCATTTGCGACGAGTGCAGCTTCGGAAACTACCAGAACAAGTGTGTTGTATGCGGCGGTGAGGGCATCTCCGACGCTTTCTACTGTTTCGAGTGCACGCGCCTCGAAAAGGATCGTGACGGGTGCCCCAAGATTATAAACCTTGGTAGTTCGAGAACAGACGTGAGTAGCCTGGACACTTTACCTCACACCGACTGGATGCTGACTTTGCTCTTTAGTTATTCTACCAAAAGAAAACGAATCGGACAACGCAATACTAGCAGAGCTGAGGCCTGGGCTGGGCCTTGGATTGAGGTATTTCGTGCTTGGAAGTGCATCTTCAAAACTGGCATTATGGGTGTTTATGGCGCAAATTAGAATGTGTAAAAATTCTGGTTTTTGGATTGAGTGGCAGCTATCTAGTAATTACAATGCTGACCGGCTTTGTTCTTTATTCAACTTCTGTAGAATTTACCTTTGAATGACACCTAGGCTGAAAAACAAAGAAAAGCAAAAGAAAAAAGTGTCACCCAGAGACTCCTCGTAACACATAAGACACTGAATAATACAGTCGAGAATGCCAATCATATATAGCTGACCTTGACCCCCATTCCTGCTGTGCCCTTGACTTTAGCCCAGAAGACAGAAAGTATCCTCTTCACTCGCTCGCGCAGCTGGGCATTGCCTAGCATAAGCAGCAAACCCATGATAAACGCCATAAACTTGAACAAAAAGGCGGGGTTCGCATTGAGCGATGCCTTTAGCTGGTCAAACATAGCACCCAAACGTGAGATGACCATAGAAGCGCGTGATGATAGAGTTGGAGAACGGGAGACTGCTTTGTCGTTCGCCTTCGAACCCGCCTTCGAACCCGCCCTTGAGCCCGCCTTTGATCCTGCCTGTGATCCCACCTGCGATTCAGCTACTGATGCAGCCTTGTTTGTGCTCTGTGGCTTGGACTGCTTGGACACTCTCGATGACGAAGACGACGGAGCTCTGGTCTTCTTCTGAGGTCGAGTTGATCCGCTGTGACTGGCAGTGTCGTCGATGCCGTAGTCAACTTCGCTTCCCTCACGCTTTGCGCGCTCCTCTTCTATTCGTTTTCTTTCCCTCTCCTCGTTCTCCGCTCGCAGCTTCTTGGCTTCCTCGATCTCTTTCTGTAACTCCTCCTCTTGTCTCTGACGCTCCTCGTTCTCTAGCTTTTCTTGCTCCTGTTGCTCCTCATGAAGACTCTGCAATGCTTGCAGGAAGGCCTCGCGCCGTTCTTCGTCTAGGACGGAACTGACACTAATAAATTCACGAGCATAGTCCCATTCGTTATTGCGCAAAAGTACATGCAGTGTGTACAACTCGAGGATCTTGACTCGAGCGTTCAGATCTCTAGGTGTATTGGCACCACTGGCTCCTTTGGCAGGAGATCGGTAACGATTTGAAACGGGCGAGCTTGCCGATTCAGCAAGGCGCCCAGCGACGTCAAGATTGGGGGTGTTAGAGGCAGCTAGGTAGGCCTCAAGCTTATGCTGGTTTAACTTTTGGTCACGAGCATGTGCCAACAATATCGTCGCGCTGGTCGAGTTAGTTCGAAGTCTTGAAGCAACGCACAAGTGACTTACAGGTTAATAACAACATCTGAATCGACATCGCCCTCAACGCCGTGGTAGCCATTCGCGACAATCTCGTCCCAAATTTCTCCATCACGGACCTTGGTGCACAAGGCTCTCCATTCCTGGTTTCCAAATGCATCCTTGCCCTCCTCAGGCTCTAACTCGATAATACCATTGAGAATCGTAAGGTATAAGCTCCATACTTTAATTCGTGTCGTCCTTGATGCACGCGCAACTGGCGCAGGCTCGCCTTCATCGACATGTTCGGGTGGAGTAATCAATGGCAATAACGTCGTCAGCGCCTCGGGTAGACGACGCGTGAGGAATAACGTGGAAGCCTGGCGGTAGGTTTTCGATATTTGCGACGGATGGCGCGTAGATGGTGAAGATGATAGAGAGGTTATAGATGTTGAGAGGAGGTTGTTGGAAAGTCCAACAGGCGCAGTTGTTGACGATGACATAGTTGCCGAACCGTAAGAGTTATGTCCTTTGAAAGACATGGCGATGGCTAGGTGTATACAATGGGTTCAATCGCTAATGGAGAAGTTCGTGAGACGATTGGCGATCAAAGATAAACGGTTGCGACGATTACTAGATGTGGTTGGTCGTCGAGGAGAGGCGGTATGTGATGGAAAGCTCGGGTTGAATATGGAGGCGGAGACGGGGAGTTAAGAGATGAACAGGGCGAGGGTGAGGCGAGCGGAATATAGATCTAAATCACCCCAGATTCATGATTGAATGGAATGTTACGTAGAGGAAATCAAATCAAAGAGACAAAAATACGGGGAAAGACTAAAAAGACAAAAGGGACAGGAACAAATCTCGGGAACTCACGCGTCAGGACCGAATTCAGTTAAGAAGGCCTTGACATGTGAGGTGAGGTTGCAAATGTAAGGACCAGAGCAGAACAACAGGAAAGCTGAGCTGGACCAACCAAAAGAAAACAGAAGACAGAAGGTTCTCCAGTATTTTAGCCTCGGTAGCTCCAGGTGGGGGACCGTGCTTTAGTCTAGGTCCAGTTGCTCTTTCCCCGGGCCAGTTGTCGTTCAGTGAGCCGACAACGGCGGGAACGCCTGACCGAGGTTGACAGGACATTGACATTGACTGACTGACAGCTCATCTCATGTCCTCCACTGAACAAATACGTGTATGACCTTACTTGGAAGATACTCTATCAGACCGACTTTAGCGAAGAAGCAGATACATAGTCAATATGAGTCAAATACAGTACAGCAAGAAAATCCTTCATGTTCGTTCATCACCGCTTCTTCGTTTTGTCTTGTCCAAAATTGGATGTCTTCATTTCCCATTGATCCAATGACCTACGTAGTCTCGGCACAGATATCCCCATCCGACGTGCATTATGCTTCACTATTACTGCTTGGCCCGGGCTGCATTGCACCATGGAATGTAAACACGAAATAGGTAGGTATTTACAAATTACAAACAACACTAATAAATAATCATTTGACGTGTTTTTAATATCGTCAGGAAACATTAAGCGTAGTCTACAGTCCAGTTTATCTCTCATTACAGCACTTACACGTGATCGGACTTTTACGGGCTTCTCACCTATCAAGCACTAACAAGAACCTGGCATCGGTATCTGTCTTAGACAATGTAAATCTTCTACAACGGACAAGCCAAGAGGAAAATAGAAGACAACCCATGTAAAGGGCTAGCTGCGAACATGTTCTTACACCAAAGACTCAACGTACAGCTACACCATGAATACCATCATCACCACCAATAACAACAAGTTTCCCAATCAAGGCATTGGAAAGCAAAGTTTACCAACAATACGAGTAAATTAACTCTAAATAAACAAACGCGATGTATGCTCCAAGCTGCATATTGCCAATACTAAAACAATCCGTGGTATCACAAACGCCTTATTCAAATGCCTCCTAACACATGCTCCAGACCAATTCTACAAAACAAACATTCCACATATTTTCTGAATCATCGCCTGCGTGTCGACCTTCTTGCTGGCACTGGCTCTTGGCTCACCTCCTTGACCTCTTCTCGTGGAGCAATGATGCTATCTTCCCGCTCGACAAGCGACTCCTCTGCCCCATTTAGCTGCTCCTGGCGGATCCAGCCAGCTTCGACAGCAAAGCAAACCACGTCAGCAGCGCAACCGAAGCATGGCACGTCCTCTCCAGCGTCTGGATCGAGATACTCCCACAGTTCTTCTGTTTCTTTCTTGAATCGCTCGAGCTCTTTCTTATCACCCTTGAAGTGACTAGTAAGGTACTCGTACAGATACGCTAGCCAGAGCACATTTGTGTACGGCGCGTAGGCATCCCATGATAGTGGCCCGTCAATTCCCTTGGCATAAGGTGTATCGTGGGCTTCTGGCGGTAGACATGTGCGGTCTGCGCGCAGGAGAAAAGACCTCATCTGGCGGTAGACTTTACATTGTTCTGCGTGTGTGCTTGTGAAAAGGCTAAGATCTCTCTCAAGATCGAAAGCTACAGGCTTTGCATCGTCAATGGAAAGATCTTCTCCACGAGATAGACCATAGTCTAAGATGGTGATATCCAGACCCGAATAGCCAAAGAACCCTGCCGATGGAGGACCCATCTTTCGAGGTGACTTGACTTGGCGGATACATAAATTACCTTCGTGAAGGTCGCGATGCTATTCGAGTTAGCAACAGGTGTGCAGGTAAGTAACTTGAATTTAAACTCACCTCAAACATAACAAGATCCTCAGCTCTTGCCAGAGCAATAGCCTGCAAGAAAAAGATATCCCAAAGTTGGCTTTCACTGGTCAACTTCCAATCTTCCAAAGATGTTCCCGCATCACCAAGCTCTACAACCAAAAATCGGGTGTCGTCCAAGTATCGACTTGGCGAAGGGTAAAACTGAGCTCGGTCAGGATCCTGTCGCTTCATCTTCTTCTGGAATGCCTGATGTGTCTCGAGAAGCTGCTTTGATGTCTTGCCCTGAACAACATAGCGCTCCTTGTAAACGACAAATCCTGGGATGTCCGCTAGCCATTCCGAGATCTGCAGTTCGCCTTGGACGTCTTCCTCGGGGTGCGGCTCTTCATCGACCAAGCCGGATCGAACTTGAGCTTTGGTCTGTGGCTTGATGGGTGATGGAAGGCGAATGACTTTGATGATGCTTGTTCCGCGGTCGTTGGTGACTCGATACACCTCAGCGTAAGAAGCTTCGGCAATCTTGATGATCTTGTCTCCAGAGGGGCAGACATCGTCCCAGGTGAGAGTGCGTAGTTGTGGTGGTTGATGTGCAGCTTCCTCCTCGGCTATCTGAGCCTGGAGTAGTTTTGAAATCTCGGCAGAATCATCTTCGTCTATTGAGGAGCTTGAGGGGATCACCTCTTCAAGGCTGGGCTCAGGTTCGACTTTTTCAAGTTCAGGTTCGAGCTTCTCAGGCTCAGACTCAGGGGTGACCTCCTTAGGTACTTCAAGACTTTTGCTGTCCTTGTCCTCTGGAATCTCAACCAATGTTTCTTGAACAGATTCTTTAACCCTTCTTGATGATCGTGCTTTTCGCTTGGTAGTTGTTTCTTCTTCTTCGATATTTATTGCTGATACTTTCTCTGTGATAAGAGAGATAGAGTCCTTCTGTTCTCCTTTTGGTGGTAGTCGTACTGGGCTTTGAGGCAGCTCAGCGAACAGGCGCTCTGCCTTGGAACGCTTTGCCTGCTTGCCATATTTCTTAACAGTTGTGGTTCGTGACATTTTAACATCCAAAGAAAATTCTATAATTTGTGATAATGAATTGAGAGTCGGTTTGATGGGTTATCATGAGGTCGATTTGTATTGAAATTGGGTTGGCGGGGCAACAGGTCAACCCTGGACTTGGGCCCATCCGTCATTGTCTGTGGTCTTATGCGCTATGTTTCTAGAATGTTTCTATTATTGACTGACATTTATCACAAAATGAGGCTGTTGCTGCACATCGAATGACGAAATGTAACGTAAAGCATACACTGGTATGTTATTTACCTGGTATATGAGCTGAGGGCATGGTGCTGTATGCCATGGGTTAAATACCTGTGTTAGATTTCTCGTATTGCCATGGCTACACTGAGTTCTATGAGGTCAATTGAGTTATTCAAGAATAGACGAACTTATATAAATCATAATGTTTGAATAAATGTGATATACATGTCTGGTTTAATGATCTGACATGGAGCTTTACTCATGAACCGTAGTGGTTATCACGACAATAGGTAGACAAGCACACAGACCTCGACAATCTAACTCGCTAAGGGTTTCTAAAGCTTAAATAGCCACTGAAGTACAGCAACGTTTATACCAATTAACAGTGACATTCTGTAGTCATATTTCAAATATAATTTGACAGCAACCATAAAGAGGCTAATTTGATTTCAGATGCCCTTTCAAGCTTAGTTGCAGGATCCAGATGCCATCAATTTCGTCTCCACATTTGCCAAGCTAAGCTCTCCGCATCTCATCCAACCTGGCCAACCCAGCCAACGGTCCATTTCTTTTGCCTCTCGTGGCCTCTTCTTTCCTCTCTTCTTATCCTCCTCCCCTCCTCCCATCTTCCCAATTGATCCATTGGAAAATGGCCTCTTTCTTCAAGAACGCCTTTGGAGGCGAAAAGGCCCCCGCGGCCGCGAATCCAGACTCGGGTAAGTAAGACAGCTTGTCCCCTCTCAATTGCGCAATATTGCGAGGCGCATAGAGGGGATATCAGAGCACTATCATCATGACTTGGTTTGGCTGATACGCGATCTATCAAATAGATTTCGCCGACTTCGCCGAAGCTCCTAGTCCAGCTCCTGAGGTCGGTACTCAGGATGCGACAGCTGGAAGTGCTGCTGCTGCTGCTGCCACTCAGGTTCCTTACACCAAGTGGTACAATGTCCACGAACGTCATTCCATCTCCGAGTTCAAGATGGAGGGCATCATCCTTCTCATCTCGAGTGTCATCTTCTTCCTCCACATGGTTGGCGCTCGTCGCAACCGCTCCAGGGCCAAGGGCTGGATCCGTGCTCACGCTCCCATCCTCCAGAAGGAGTACGCTCTCGTCGGCTTCGGTGGCGTCCCCACTGTCGATAACGAGGACCTCAACCCCGATAAGCTGATCAAGGAGAAGTCCCTCTTTGAGTTCGCAACCTACGCTACCGGCCGACAGAACACGGCTTTTACCGATGTCAAGCTCACTCTGACCAAGAAGTTCAACCCCATTGTCAACACCTTCGAGCATCTCGCTGGCTTCTTCGTCGAGTCTGTTCCCGCACCCAAGGATGCCGTCGAGGTCCTGACTTACCCCTTCGATGGCAAGGAGAACCTTACCGTTCCCTCTGTTCCTGGTGCCGCTGAGATTCGTGCCAAGGATGGCAAGAGCACTTACGATGGTTTCGTTTGGGGTGTTGTCCACAAGGACGTCATGCGCCGAGTCCGCGACGAGCGATACGACATTTCTCTTACTTTCACCAAGGACAACCCTAAGCTTCCTGCTTGGCTCACTGTCATGAGCGAGAGCGCCGAAATCACCGATACCCTTCTTACTCCTGAGCTCATTGCCGCTATCGAAGCCGCCGGTGACCACTTCGAGTACATGATCATCTCTGACCAGCCCGTCGACAAGCCTCTCACCCTCGAGGAGACCGCTCCTCGCAAGCGCCTCTTCCTCAAGTACTCTCTTCCCTCCAACGGAATCTACGACACTCTTCTGCCTCTCTTCTCGCACTACCTCCAGCTTCCCGATCTCCTTGTCAAGGTTGCCCACTTCCGCCCTGAGGTCAGCAAGAAGGTTCGTACCATCCGTGAGAGCGCCATTGCCGAGATCAAGAAGTCCGCCGAGAGTCAGCGCCAAGAAGAACTTCTTCTCGAGAAGGAGAAGGCCCGTAAGGCTAAGCGTGATGCTGAACTCAAGGGTCTTGACGCCAAGGCTCAAAAGCGATACCTCGAGAAGGAGAGGGAAAAGGAGATGCGCAAGAACCAAAAGCGACAGACACAGCGTGCTTAGAGCAGCTGCTAGAGCTATAATATGTGTATGGATAGGCTTGGATAGTGAGCAGTGGAAGTCTGCAACGTCATGGCTGTATAGTGTAGGAGTGAGGATCTGTATTAGTAGTATTTAACAGCCTAATCTACGATGATGCCTGTTTTGATGCCCCTTAAATCTTTCGTTTATATATCACCTAATGTTGCGGAGGTATACTGGCTTGTCTTGGCTAACTGAAGCAGCTAATAAGGAATAAATAGTATTATGATATAGTCTTTGTTTTATTTTCGAACACGGAAACGTGCCGCGGTAACGTATTTTCTCATTCCCTTCGTGACTTTCGTTCTCTGGTTAAGCCCAAAGGCCTTTCAAACAGTTTCAAGCGGTAGATGCCGAAGTGTTTTGATTCCCACGCTCAACCGACAACCAGATATTTTCAACAAAAAAACGACTAGACTTTTCGAGAACAGGGGGAAAGGAATGAACAACTGCATATTTCTCCCACTTTTGAGCAGTCGAACATCGGGGTATATCTCCTATTTTACTTCCATCTCTTTCGATTACCAATGGGATTGGCATGACGCAGCATCTTCTCGAAATTCTGCTTTACCCTTAAGATAGATCATCTCCTACTGAGGCACTCTATTGCGTGGGCAATGGCCTCGGATGGTCCGGACGAACCGGGGAACCCAGAGCTGACTCGGCATACTGGTTCAGTAGCCAAATCTCGAGAACACGCAGAAGGGGCTATTGATATCGTCTCTCCCATCTGAAGAGAACGAAGTCCTATACTTGACGAAGTGTAGGCGATCGCTCAAGGCCCCATCCACATGCCACCATTGGCAGTGCCGCCCATGTTTTCAGGGCTTGGCCCAAATCCGTATCCAAATAACGTTGAAAATTCATCCATCACTTGAGGCACGGACGGAAAGTTGGTATCCATCCCAACAAATGGACTCGGGGCATGCATCGCTGGCATACCAGGTCGTGCAGCCGTACCTGTACTCCCTCTCCAGAAGTTGTTTGGGTTTTGCTGCATGGGCATCGAGTTCTCGGGTGATTCTTCTGGCCTAAAATCTTGAATGGGAGCATCGTTCTTCCACAACAATTCCCACTTTTTGAATCGCGAATAATCAGTCTCACGGCCAGACGAATCGACGGTGGCATCAAGTCTGGTTATAGCACGCTCAAAAACCTCAATAAGCGAGGCTTCTGATCGGGCTGATTCTCCGCCTGCCGACATCTCCTTGATCATAGCCATACCAGTGCGCAGAGCATCACGCAATCTGTCTGTCTTCCTTTGTAAGCACTGAGTAATAATGACAAGCAGAGCAGCACGGCAAGAACTGAATTCGGTATAAGAGGCGCGCGCAAGGCCAATGGTGCTCTGCAGGAGGTGACACGTATCGATAATGGTCAACGCGGCCTCGACGCAGTCGGCTACCAGGATCGAACGAGGATTCGACTTATGTGGAGTGTTGGGGCGTGGGTTGTTAGAATCGGCTGGTGAGCTAGACGTGCTTCCGTTACCACGGACGACTTCGCGAGGTAAAATGAATGGTCGTCCAGCATACATCCGCAAAAGACAATACTCTAGCTTCAGATGGGTGTCTGCTCGAGAGATTGGGTTTTGAGGGTTCACCTCGTCGTGGTATGCGGTTTCTGGCAGGGAGTCCCACCACCTTCGAAGCTCCTCTTTCATGTCAATAACCCGTTGTAGACCCTCATTCATTCCATGCTTTTGTGAGGTTCGAAGCACCGAGCTGTTACATTGTCAGCTTGACACTATGGTTTAGTATTGAACAAATCACATACATCTCATGTGCGATCTTCCCAAGAGCTTGGTTCAGTCGCAAAGTTGCGAGCATGTGCGCGACATTCGTGGCATTAGATGGCATGATGTCCGGTCGATCAACGGGCATATCCGCATCCACATCCTTACTCTGAATAGACAAGGGTCGTCCATGGTAGATACCAACTCGCCTGTCGAGCAGTTAGTATTGTGAAGTCAGATCATATGGTAAAGTCACGTACTTCTCCGTGGTATAAGCTGTCCACCAGACACGATTCCTCGTTTCGCGAACGTAAGGGTCAAGTCCCTCGGCGGGCCACTTTCTATGCATGCCGTTCTGTATAGCAAGCTTCACCGCGAGATTGAGATATATGTATGACAACCCTGATGCATCCAGTGGTAGGGTGTAGATGCCCATGAGCAGAATAGCCTGAACACTTTCAAGTGATGCCACAGTAATAACATCGGGAACAAGTTTGCAGGCTTGCTGATAGAACATGACACCAATCGTATCCTCGGAGAAAGGGCTCGAGTCATCCGACTTTCCGTGTGCATCTCTGCCTGTGACTGAATCCAGATATGCATATTGAGTACCGATCGCAAAGATGATCCATATCATGCAGAGAGTGCCGACTTCACGTCGAGATAAGGCACCAGGATTCTGGTAGATGAGTTCAATCTGTTCAGTGAGCCACCCGCGTTCAACGTAGAAATAGTTGGTTTCAGCATGCTTATAAAATGCCTGAACCAGAAACTCGGCGACATATCGAGGCGGCAAGGCTGAAAGGGATGCCGCTGTGTTATTAGCTGATTGTAATTCCTCAGCGCGGTAATACTCTTTGAAGCTCAGAGGACCCGGCGCATCCTAAGGAATGTCAACTTCAATCGTCTCAGGAAAAGAGGGAAGGGACATACGTGACGTTCTGGGACACACTGCTCGATCCACTGCTTAATTCGCATTGAGAAGTTCCAATGAGAGAACTCGCCTGAGTAGTCTACCAATGCTATTTAGCAAGCTGCAAGATACCATCAGCAGTAAGACTTACGTGTAGTGTTGTTGTCCAATGGCTGCACGGTATAATTCTCATCATCCGCCCCTAGATAATCTGAGCATGGAGAGTCCATGATCTGAGCTTGTCGCTGAAACTGGGACGCATCAAATGTCTTGTTATCGATCGCCACAGACATAGCTTTTAGCGATTCTGTATCAAGGGCAACATTTCCGGCATAATGGGTGATGATCTTTTCCATGCAGGAGATGCGCTGAAGAAGCTCAGTGTTGTTTGCACCATTTCGGTTCCTACACATCATGAGTCAACAACCCTGAAAGTATTCAGAACATGAAAAGACAGGTTCAAGGCCTACCTTCCAGAGCCATCGCCACCTTCACCATCTCGAGCAGTTGGACCTAGAAATTCGCATTGTCGATGTAGGCGCGTGCACCTTCGGCATGGTACACCTCCGTCACATTTTTCCTTTTGACGTCTGCATCCATCGCATGCTCGGAGGGCTCGCTTGCGCTCTCTCTCAGCTTGGCGCTGTCTGTTCTTTTGCAGGCTCTGTTGTTGCTTGTCCATTTCCCCGTCACGAAGAGTTGCGCCAGGTACTGTAGCGCGGGGCCCGGTTGCGAGTTGCGACACTGTCGGAGCTAAAGGGACTCCTGGGACCTCGAGCGCCGGGAAGCCCGTAGATCCCAGCAAAATGCGTTGAAAACTGAAGAGCGCAGTGAGGCGACAAAGGAGCGACGTATGACGGTTTTGGAGAAGTCGGTGGTAATTGGAGTTGACAGTTAAGTTGAGCGGATCGAAGGTGGTTTTACGGCCCACGGATAGGTAGACGTAGATCAAGGCTAGGCTAGCTGGAGGCTTGGAAAGCGAATGGTTCCATCCAGGACCCTTGTGAGTGGATGCGCAAACCAGCACAGCGCAGTGACTGGACGTCAGCCAACGTAATTGGTAAGAGTCAACTTTTCAGAAGCACCTCTTGCAAAGAACAAGGGGTCAATTCAAGGTTCGGTGGTGTCAAGCTAGGCGAATTTGCTGTGCTTTCTTTTTGCTTCTTCCTTCGCTGTACTTTGGTGGAGGTGGAAATGAACGATTATCGAAGGATCGGGCAGGCCGGCTGGGATCGAATTGACTGAAGTAATGTCGTATAATTGATTGTTTGAAGAGGTAAATTAAGAATGAAGCTGAGTGAGAGACAGAAGGAGGAAGTAAAGTCAGGTACAGAGAGGAAGGAGCCAGGGAAAGTCAGACGCGGGGAGCAATAAAACTAGCGTCAAGCCTAGTCTAGTCCTATTAGCGGAACCGAAGAGTTGGATTCACTATGTTTGATCTTCAATAATGAACCGCAAATAGAAGGATGTATAGGTTTAAAGATATAATGACTATAATGACAATGTAAAAGGTAGAACATGAACAGATTGAGGCAATAGGCCGGGGCTCGTCCTCAATATCAATAGTATATACCATCCGCAGCTGAGAACTTGCAGGCTGAACCTTTGATGTTTAGGGACTTGAGAATAGCGCTAAATAAACTATGCAAGGTCACAAGTCACACTGCACTGATTCTGACCCTGATAGAAGCTTGCAGCTGTTGATATCGTTACAAGGAAGCTAAGCTGGTTGGTGCGGGAGGTCGATTGCCTGCAAATATGACTTTGCTTTTTCTTCGAGGTGATAGAAGGTCTCGGCTTCGGCTTCTTCAGGAAATTTTGTCCCTATGTACCTTGTCGTCCGCTTCCGCTTGCATGCGGTTGGGTTGGCGGTTGATCCCGATGGCTTGATAGTGTTAGTGTGGCATGGTGCATACAGCGGAGAAGCTCTTCGTGCTTGGGGTCACCAGTCAGATCACATAATATGCCATCTCCTTGGCAATGAAAATTTTCACAATCCCTAGAAAGCTTGCTGTTACGGATGAAAGGAAGCTATTCGGTACCTGGGTACTATATGAACCGCATATATGATCCCTAGAGCTGCTCATATGCAGCAGGTATGCAGTTGGTATCTGTCAAGTTGTGATAGGATATCTTCAGGACCTATTTCACCCAAGCTGTAAGTAGATCTCAGGGATAAAAGGTAAACTCAAGATATCTGCAGTCAAACAACAAGACGAGACACAAGGTAACTGCATAGACAGCTGAGGACCTGCAAGAGGTGCAGATGACAAGGGAAATCTACTGCAAGGATCATCTTGAGCTTTGGCTTCCTACTTCTACCGGGGCGGGGCGGAACGAGTCAAACGAATCGCAAGCTGTCAGTCAGCATCTGTAGGTTCCTGAGACAATTCTCGGTAATGTTGAATCGTAAGATCGAGACCTTGCTTCAAAAGAAAAGGTTGTCTTGGTCCTTAACCAGCCGAGCCCACTGGGTTTCTGAAATGCACGAATGATATTGCACGCTTTGAACCTGGGGGGAAACACCACATGGAACAAGCAAGGGTAGAGTTATGGGGAACTTGAAGGGACCAACGCTCTGGTATTACTCTACTGGTTGGTGGGTTTTAGAATAACAAAGACATCTCGATATTGCTTCAAAGACACAGCGTTAAGCGCGGCTATCCTAGTTAACATCAAGTAGGCTATGGAGAAGAGCTAAATGTTCCATGTATGAGCTAGCTAAAAGGGCGTATTATCAGAGGCATTAACGTATTGGCTTACAACTGCCTACCTAGGTGTTCAACCAAGCCTCACACAATGCCGTACATCTCGCAACTCACAGACCACCAACGCCTCACTTGATTTAGAAACTGCATGTCAAAGCGACAAGGAAAAGCCTTATAGACCATATCCCGGCATTTGTGGGGTTGAGCGCTAATCGAGCATTGAGCACGGTGCCCAATCTGCAAGATCTCATGGCGTGTTGCTCTTCGTTCTGATGAGAGATCTGGGCTCAAACTCCTGGAAAGACTTTACGTGTATTGAAGCCAATGCGGTCAGATCTTATATCTTGTCTCATTTTGTTCTCTCTTTGGTACCCCAGTGAACCATGGTCACGGGGCTTGTCGGTTCCGAGTAACATCATTAGCGGTTCTGGCGACAACTTCATATGCCGTCTATCAACGGCATGAGACAAGATGACATGCACCCCAGACTGCACCAACAGACAATCTATTCGGTAATCCGAGCTCTGCTAACTCGGACCCGACAATAACTGCTCGCTTACAGCTGTTGTCAATGGCCTGCATAACTTCTTCAGCTGCACAACCACACCATCCTCTTCCAAGCTGTCTCAGACTTGCATATTCGAACACCAACGCTTCTCTTACCAATTCTTTCCAAAGAGGCAGAAACCCGGTCCGCAGCCAATGAAGTAAGCCTGGTCACCCTCTCGAAGGAGCTAACCTGCCGGGGCTGAGGAAAAAAATAAATCTGCGTGTTGAGATTGCATCTTGCATGCTGTGCATACACCAAACACACTTAGTCGGAGCTTTCCCTCAGCCGACCAAATCCGATATGGAAATCTTCTTATTGCATCATCCTTGGCGTCTCTGCTGCTTCTGCTACAATACGCGGACATCAATCTGCCGCTCCTGACAAATGCATGTGTTCCTCTTATTGCTTGCTACTGCAAGCCACTGCAGGCATCGCAAGCCATCTATCCCTTGTTCAACTGCACATTGCAATAACACACCAGAGCAGAGCGCATCTGGACCTCTAGCTCAACGGCAGGCTTACTCCAGTAGCTTCAAACACACTCAATCGTGTCGCAGTATGATGGGCTCGATGATCAACAAGATATCTCCCTGTAACGCTGCAGTAGATCGAAGAGTGAGAGGACTGCCGAGCAGAACGCCATGCATCGGTAACGATCGGTTCTTGGAGCGATACCCAACCTGCCTTTTCGTGCAGCTCTTTGTAATACTCGCAGTAGTAAGTCAGTCAATCAATGTCTATCGCCTATACGGCACCAGAGCAGTCCATTTGTTCCCAATTAGTCAAATTTCACATATACTCAAAGACTCAGCTGGAAGTAATGGTAATTTTATAATTCATAATACCTATCCAAAAGTACGCCGTGTGTAGATCCAGTCCATCTCATTTGACGCCTGTTTCACTGTATTATCCAGTTCAACAATTTTGGTATCCCACTCCTTTTGGTTCCTTTGAAGCGTTCCTCATCAGGCCGCTCGTATATATAAAACAGTAAATGACAATGCAACGCTAGTAGTGAATATGATGCTTAAATCTCCGTTCCTTTTTGACAACCAAATTCATAGCCTGTTTACATAGCACCAATGACCTTGTCAAAGGCACCAACGAGCAGAGGGATGTGCTCCTCGTTGAAGATGAGCATGGGTCGGAGGCGGACAGTGTTCTTGCCGCAGGTACCGATGTTGACTCCGATGTGGCGCATGGAGCGGACGAGACCAGCAGGGTCCTTGGTGTCGAAGGCAATGAAGGTACCCTGATCCTTTCCTCGGAGGTTCTGAATGTGCTCAGGGTACTTGGCAGCGAGGCGCTCAATCTCAGCGTACAGCTGGGTGCCGATGCGGGCGGTCTGCTCAACCAGCTTCTTGTCGAGAATCTCCTGGATGACAGCCTTGCACATGATGACACGGGCTGGGTCACCAATCCAGGTGTTGAACTGACGGTAGGCCTTATCGGGAATAAGCATCTCGTTTCCGAAGAAGTAGCCAGCAGTCTGAGCCTTCTTGGAGAAGGTGACCATATCGGGAGGAGAGCTCAGGTTCCAGTGGTCATGTCCCCAGAAGGAACCGGTGGCACCGAAACCGGTCTGGACCTCATCAGCAATGAGGACACATCCGTGCTTCTTGGTGATGTCACGGAGACCCTGGAAGAAAGAAGGGGAAGCGTGGTTGTCACCACCCTCGGATTGGATAGGCTCAACGATGAGACCGGCAACGGGGCAGTGCCATGTGGTCATGATGCGCTCGACCTCCTCGAGGCATCGCTTCTCCTCAGCAGCGTTCTCCTCGGCGTGGTCCTGAAGAGGGTACTTGAGAGCAGGGAAAGGAGCCTGGGGCCAGTTGAAGCTAGGGATATCGAGCTTGTGAACGGCCTTTGAGCGGGTGGTGGAGAGAGAGCCGAAACCTCGGCCGTGGAAAGAGTTCTTGAAGCTCATGATGGCAAGCTCGGGGGAGCCAGGCTTGGAGTTCTCCATGCAAGAGTTGATCTCCTCCTCGTTCCACTCAGCATCACCACGCTTGCGGCGGCTGTAGAGCATGAAGGCGGCCTTGTAGGCCAGCTCGTTGGCCTCGGAACCGGACTGAGCAGTGAAGATGTAGCTGAGACCCTTAGGGGCAACCTTCATGAGGCCGTTGCGGAGGATGTCGACCCACTGGTCGGAGGGGAAGTTGCCAATGGCGGGTCGGTTGACCAGAGCGGAGATCATCTCGGGGGACTTGGCGGCCTCGATGAGGGTGTTGTTGTTGTAGCCAACAGGGATGGAGGCGATCTGAGCGTAGACATCGAGGTACTTGTTGCCGTCAACGTCGACGATGCTGCAATGTATTAGTGCCTTGCTTTGTAGATGTCCGCTTTCTTAGTACTTACTAGTTGTCGTGAGACTTGTCATAGTCAACAACGAAGTGGACAGCACGGGCGTCGAAGATGGTATCAAGACGCTTGGAGCTGGCCTTGGAGACAGGGCCAGGGATCTCCGTGCGAACGGCGTTCTCAACAAAGGAAGGCATTGTGAAGGTAGTAATTTAATGAAGGGTGTTTTCCTCTGGGTATCTTAAAGTGGGTATGTGAGGAAAGAAAGTCAAGATGTCCTGAGGAGATTCGAGATCGATTGAAGAAAGCTGGGGGAGGGAGCTATTATAGGTAACAAGCAGCTCCAGCTTTCGGAGCGTGGTGGCACTAAAACCGTAGCCATTGTTTAGAAAATGTTGATGGATGGCCTCGATATGCTTGTGCCTCCCTGCTGATTGCCAATTGTTTGCGGCTCATGGAGACATCGTGGGGCCGGAGTACAGAGACCGACCGGCTCAGAGCCGGAGCGACGTCTCACGGGACCTGTGTAAGGCTCGGACGCCACCTTGAATGGAGTACTTCCAAAACCTAGTAATTAGTGCAAAATTGGCGAGTACCGTTTTGATGGCTGGAGTATTGCATGGAAAATCACCGCTCAAGCAGCTATGCGTTGATATGGATGGATGTTGAGATGTAAAGTTATCCTGCTTCACTGATGATTTAGATGGCTTTGAAGTTGCTCCTGCCAATGCCTTTATGGTTCAGATGGAAGGAAGGTACGCTGTAACTTAGGTATGCCTTCCTTCACCTTTACCCCATCATTTTTCAGAAATTCCCCAGAGCTTAAGATTCTCGGTGACCTCTCTAGAAAAGAGACGATGGGATGTCGGCACTTGCTCCGTTCACCCTCGTGAGTGTTTGTTCTGTCTGTGCGTTAGCGGTTGAAGCGCCAGAAGCTTCCCATTTCTCAATGGTGTCCAAGTCTCTCTGTATTCGTGGGGTTTAGCTTGTCGGCTCCCATCCTTCCCCGCCGGTTCTGACTGTCGGTTCCGAGACATCCACCAAAACTACCCCCCACCTCCACCTTCTCCGCTGTACCACTTCCCCTCATAAACACCCTCAACTCTATCATACACGCCCCTACCGGGCCGGCTCCCAAAATGTCCACGGGACCCGGATCATGGAGATCAAGGTCCAATAGAGACGCGACAATGTAACGCAGCGTCACTGTTGCACGTAATGCAGCAGAGCTACGGCAGTTACCAAGCTCGGTCAAATTCTTATCATGTTGTCACCATTGTGCAAGATCGTTACCGGAAGCAACGCGGGGATCCAAAAGAATTGTAAGCAAAGATATTAGACTAAGCTCCTCATTGACAACCCATCGGTACCATATGAAAGACTTGCCGTCTCCTCCATCATAGCTTTCTTCTACATTTGAAATCTCAACTTGTCTTATACCTACAGACTTTCTCTCACTAGTAAAGCGATAACAGACTGACAAGCATCATGACCTCTCCAAAGGTGTGTGACATTCTCACTTTATGCAGCTCATCTGCATCCCAACAAATTCGAGACCAGCATTGCTGACATATATTTTTTCTTAATCATATAGCTTAACGACCCTTCACTTATCAAGAACGCATGCTACGTCAATGGTCAATGGGTAGCTGCAAAGTCTGGCAAGGACTTTTCTGTCGAGAGTAGGCGCTCCAACCAACCCCGGACGTTATCTTCATGGCTGCAGATATCCTGACGTTGTTTTTTTTGTAGACCCTTCAACCCTTGAACAGCTTGGAACCTGTCCCGAGTTCGACGCAAACGACACCGAAGCCGCCATCGCCGCCGCTGATGCCGCATACAAGACATACCGTAAGACACCGGCACGCCAACGGGCCCGGTACCTCCGCCGCTGGTATGACCTCATGATGGAAAATGCGGAAGACATCGCTCGGCTCATTACTCTCGAGAACGGAAAGGTCTTGTCAGATGCCAAAACAGAGGCCGTCTACGCTGCCAATTTCTTCGAATGGTTTTCTGAAGAGGCCCCTCGAATCTATGGCGAGACTATCGAGGCCTCGAACCCATCATGCCGTCTATCTACTATGAAGCAGCCCGTCGGCGTCTGTGGTCTCATTGCGCCTTGGAACTTCCCCGCTGCCATGATTACTCGCAAAGCTGGACCTGCGCTTGCCGCCGGTTGCACTGTTGTTATCAAAGCTCCTGCCGAGGCTCCTCTGACAGCTCTTGTACTCGCTGAGCTGGCGCATCGTGCTGGCATTCCTGCCGGAGTTGTTAATGTTATCACCGCGTTGGATAACACTGCTGAAGTTGGCAAAGTCCTGACGACCCATCCCAAGGTCAAGAAGGTTTCTTTCACTGGATCAACAGGCGTTGGTCGACTTCTTATGAACCAATCTTCGTCAACCATCAAGAAGCTGTCTTTTGAGCTTGGTGGAAATGCTCCTTTCATCGTTTTTGAGGACGCGGATTTGGAAAAGGCTGTCAAGGGAATTATCGCTTGCAAGTTCCGAAATTCGGGCCAGACATGTGTTTGCGCCAACCGCATTTTTGTGCATCGCAGTGTTTACGACAAGTTTGTCCAGATGGTCCTCGACGTGGTCAAGACCTTTGTCGTTGGCGATGGTCTCGGTGAGAAGACAACCCACGGCCCTCTTATTCACGGTCGCGCAGTAGCCAAGACTGCTGAACATGTTGAAGATGCTATTTCCAAGGGAGCCAAGCTTATTCATGGTGGAGAACGTCTGCCGGATCTTGGTCCCAACTTCTTTGGCCTCACGATGTTGACCGATATGAAGCCTGGCATGAAGATCTGCAGCGAGGAGACCTTTGGCCCAGTGGCAGCTTTCTTTGCATTTGATACCGAAGAGGAGGTTATTGAGCTGGCCAACGACAGTGAAGTTGGTCTCGGAGGCTACTTCTACAGTGAGAATGTCAACCGGTGTTACAGAGTAGCCGAGGCTTTGGAAGTTGGCATGGTTGGCGTCAACTGCGGTAAGTTTTTCCATTCAATAGGTGACAACAATTTTCTAATATGATATTCTAGGTGTGCTTAGTGATCCTGCTGCACCTTTCGGCGGCATCAAGCAGAGTGGATTCGGAAGAGAAGGAAGCAAGTACGGCATTGATGAGTTTACAGTCACCAAGATGGTCATGACGAACATCGATCCTTAATTGTTCTGCTTTTAAGAAAGAAAATTTGGTTGGCATAAGACGGAGATGAAAATACCCAGGTGAGAGTTATATACGGGGCAATGAACCCCTAGGAAACAATACACAAATTTGTTAATGCCGTGATGGCCTCCTACGCATGTGAGAATCAACTGTGCACGGGCTCAGAAACCTGTACCAGGCTGTTTGGTCTACTAGACTCCTTGAGCGGGTTCGTCTTAACCGGATCTAGGATGGATGGGTGTGGTGTCAGGGCATTGCAGGCAAGGGGTCAAGCTGGATGGCCATAGTAACACAACACCAAGGACTACAGGGGCTTAGAGCGCACATTCTGATGATAGAGCTTCATGTATACTTGGACAGGATGATCAAAAACAGGGGGGATGAGACGAACATAGGGTCGAAATTGAGTCGGTACACAGATCACTAAGACGCAGTGTAAGTGGAAAGAGGTTATGATATGGCACTTTTATCTGGCCCTTCCTGATCGTGTGAAAAAGCATACCACAAACAGCACGGCTTTTTGATGATTTCTTGTTGCCAGGTTGCAAATGTCTCAATGACCATCCTGAGGCGATGAAGCTATCGCCACAGCTAAACCCACGCTTCTGCCCCCGGTCCGTGGTGTTCTGGGTGGCGTCCCGCTCCGCTGCAGGGCAATCTATGATCGAGCGTTCGCATTCGGCAATTAAACGGGCAAAGATCTTGAATGGCCGGTCCGGTCCGGCCAAAAAGAAGCAGATAGATAATACAGAGAGGGTGTACATTGGAATAGAACGTCACAATGTGGGGAAGGAAGGGAAGGGACGTTGACCGGGAACAAATGCCGGCCCCACAGAGATCTGGAAGCTTAGGTCAAGGTCATGATAGCTAGAAGCATCTGCGATAATATCAAAGAAACTAGAATGATGAATATTGATTGAGATAAGGTCTTTGGGTTGTCATTGGCTCTACCTATCAAAGATGGTGTTCTTTGGAACATCTGGAGCTTGATCTAGACAATTCTATTTGCACCACGATACTGATTACAAGTACTTCGACTAGGTACTCAAGATCAATGGATCAAAGTACGTTCTACCAAGACATTGCTCAATGAAGTACATATGTAGTAGTCAATGGAAAACAATGTCCGGCAACATATCGCATAGCCCAAGATGGGTAACGGCATTGACGTATATGTCATCTTTCCAAATCCAAGAATGACAATAAGAATGGCCCATGAACTGTAGTGTATCAATCCAAAGAGGGTCAATTCAACGGCGGCCAAAAAGTCTTGTCATCGGAACCGATAAAACCGGCTCCTTGGTCGGGAGCCGAAACGTGCAAAATATTTGCCCAGAATCGCTTAGACCGATCTCGGGGTACGTACCACTCCTCCATGCCGATGACAGCTCCGGTTCCAAGGTGAAGCTGCCCGTTGATGCCCGGCATGAAGCTCTGTTTTTAGTAATTTGTTCGGTCATGAGCTGGTATAAAGTAATAGAATCTGGAAGTGCTAGAATATTCCGTTAGGCATGACGATGTTGCCGGTGGACGGATACCCATGACAAGTCCGGAGGCTATCAGCTCCGTGACGGGAGGACCGGGGTTTCAGCCTCAAATACAGATTCGACGGTGGCCGGAAGACTTCAGGTAAGACTTTGTTGTTAGTGCTTTGTAGACCTGATAGGCTAGGTGACTTGAAATCTTGAATATGGTCAAGGAAGGATATCTCAGTCTGTGAGAGACTCAACACTGGCGTCGCAGAGTAGAGAACTAATTAATAATAGTCACATTAGGAGTTCAATATCGACTTCATAAACTGTCTTGATGGAATTTTTATGGCTTGATACCGTCTTCTATGGGTTGTAAATAATAGCAAGCCTTATCCCATGGTCCTAGGTATTCCATCTATTTGGACTCGCCAGCCAGAATGTTTTCCACCCTCTTAACCTTATCCTCAGCAGTCTGCTTCTTATCCGTTCTTGAACACTTCGTTAACATCATACAACAAGAATGAGGTCATTGAACTTACCGGCTACCAACTCTCATAGAAGACTGAATCCTCACGACACCGCGACGGTGCACAACGGCATGAGCCTTTCCTACGGCTGCCATCACCTCATCCCAGGAGCCCTCTATAGATTAAGTGTCAGTCATCTTTCCTGTTCGCCGTGACAAGGTGAGGGCATATAGTTGAGAAGATATGGTAAAATGACGCACCGACTGTGGTACCAGCAGAGTGAAGAGTATACTTCAGTCCACTCGCCTTGAGAACCTTTTGAACTTCTGCGATATCCTCTGCAACAGAGACGCTTCCTGTTCCGAGCTGTTCAATGTTAATATCAGTCCATCTGAGCATACAGACCTATATGGGCATGAGCGGGGAGTCGTTACTCACAGGAAGAAGACAGAAGTCGACGTAGCACGACTCTGGCGTGGCAATGCTTTCGTAGTCCATGATGAACTGTTTAGAGAGGGTTTGCTGAAGGTTGTGAGGTGATGTTGAGGTTGAAGGTGGAATGGGATGATACTATTAAAGGCTATGGGTCTGAGAGTTGGAGGAGCTAAATCTCGCTGCTTATTGGCTGAGAACATCACGAAAATCAATTCATGAGCAACTTCATGATGCATAAATTACTGATGATCACTGATTAATGTGTACCTATTAAATATGATGCAAAGAGTACTTCGCTAAAACATTTATCACGATTGGGGTTTAAAACTTGCTTTACAAGCGGCTTTATGCCTTTTTATTCAGAGTCTATAGAGATGAGTATGTATCATACCATATGTCTATGGGCCATTCTTTTCCAACTCTATCATGTGTAGCCCTCAGATCCGTCTATCAAACAGATTCTATGCTTATCTCGAAAAGCAATTCATCCAAATGCAAGCTTGCTGATCCCAGAAACGCCTCGCTATATGCCCAAAATGACCGCAGCCCGATTAAACGGCAGGGTCGTGTCGAACCTGTGTAAGGAATGGTGGTATTTGTCGAAGAATGAATACAAAAGGGAATGTGTTTTTTAATGTTCGGTGACATTCTGATAAGGTGATGTCGTTTACACCAAGAGCACGGCGGCAGCGACAAAGGCTGTCAGTGCTACCATGCCAACTTGTCTATCGTTGGTGGTGCCCAAGGACTCATCTGTCGAGACTTGTTCGCGGCCACTGGCATCAGAGACACCGTTCATCTTGTCAGTCGCAGCAAGGACCTGACCCTTCTCGAAGAAATCGACCAGGACAAAGTTGGGGGCGGCACCCCATTCCTGCTGACACTCCTGGAGGTGCTTGCCCAACTCGCCATCCTTGCTGGTACCTTCGCTGTTCACAGTGTCGATGTTCTCAGTATCAGGAACAAAAAGTTCGCTGTTGGTGGCGAGGTTCTGGTACTTGAAGTGGTTGACCAGGCTCATCATGCCGTTGGACAGGGCGGTAGCGCCATCCTTGACCTTGGAGGGGCGGTTGACGGTGCAGTTAAAGCCATTTAGCTCAGGGACCTCGAAAGCTGTCTCGAAAACGTGGTCAAACTCGGGTAGCAAGTAGGGGTATTCAGTCGAAGCATCGATGTTGGTGACAAAGGTAACTAGGCGCGTCTTGTCGTCGATCATGGCCTTGAGAGTTGGCCACTCCGTGGTTGCATTCTGACCAGACGGCGCATAAGCCAACTCGGCAATCCCAGAACCGTTGATAGCCTTTCCAAAGTCTGCAGCAGAGGCCTTGGCAGAGTTGACAAGCAACAGAGTAACGACCTCATTAGTGTTGGCCTCCATCCAAGCGTTGATCTTGCTCAACCAACTTTCAAGCGTTCCAGCGTCGAGAATATCGCACGAGGTGTGACATAGGTGAAGAGCATTGTTTTCCTCATGAATCTGGGCCTGGAGAAGGCGAATACCAGCGTCGAGGGCATCTGTGGCGTTGTAGTTCTGGTTTCCTGCTGCTGAAAGACCGTCGTTGCCGTCTCTTAGGAAGGAGCTTCCGTGGGCTCCCATGTGTGTGATGTTGTTGTAGTTGCGGTCGCAAAGATCGGCAAAGTTGTTGCATGCTGTTGAAGAACCTGATCCTGATCCTGAATCTGAGTTGGATTGTGGAAGAGCATAGACAGCTGAAGTGGCAGCGAGGACTCCAGCCACCACGGAGCGAAGTGAAGAGTGAAGCATTTTGATATGTGTTTATTTCCTTTTGGTTAATAGAAATAGAAATCTATGTGAAATAGGAAATGAAATGAAATGAAAATGAGGAAAGAAACAATATGGAGAAGGAACAAGGAGATTGAATAAAGTACAAAACAAAAAGAGAAAGAGCACCTCATTGAATTGAAAGGTACGTAAGTCTAAAGGGGACCCCCTGCACTTTTAGAAGCTGACGTCGCCCCCCGGTCCAACCTTTTTGGTGGTTGGGGCCTTGAAATGATCGTCAAACGAAGCGAAAAGCCAAGTCGAAAAGTCCAAGAGAAAGGCTCCAGGGGTCTTGGGCTTGCTGCGCCCCTTGAAACGTCAGCAGTGGAGATTTCCCATTGGTTACCAGCGCTTCAAAACATCAACGAGACAGCCCAGAACTGAGGCTAGCAGTAGCCTCAGGTAGTGGAGGCTAAGAAAAGATTATTTTAGCTGAGCTATAGTCGAGTCGGGTGCTACCATATCGTAAACACAGCGTTTGAGGTACAGTTTGAGATTGTTCAGTTTAAAGCAAAGCATTTTGTTCATCTTTCAATGTCAATCAATTCATGCTTTGATTTTTAATACTACTACGACACGCGTCATGCCTTTAGTAAGAAGTTGGCTGGCCAGCGAGAGTTTACAAGATCGACAGTGACCCAACCATCTATTTTCCACTCTTTTTGCTACAGCAAGAATGGGCATTGTCGATGGCAAAATACGGAGTACGTTGATACGTATAGCGTCTAGATGAGATATTACGGTGACTCTCAACTGCCAAGCAAATAGTAGACGAAATGCGGGAGCCGAGACCGCGTCTCGTCTCGGGAACAAGACATGCCATGCCATGCCATGCCACATCCCGGGGGTCATCAACAAAAAACGCCTTGCCATTAAATAACAAGATTGAGTTGAATCTCGTTTGTTTACTTACATCCGTGTTAATCTCAAACCCTAGAAATTCAATTTACTCCTTTAAAGGATTTTATTCATGAATAATGTGAATTTTATCCAACCTTTTCTTCTTTCAATTCTTTGACGATCTCTGCATATTGGATGCTGATCTTTCCATGCATATGACATGTGCTGCTGCTGGTGGCGGCGGGAGGCTGAGCATAAAACGTTGGTGGTATCCACTTCTATTTTTATCAATCTTTAATGCCCGTTTCCCGCGCTGTAGCCTGTCACAAGGCGGCTCAAAATCGTGAATGAATGAATGACCACATCAAGAACAGTTCGCATCGTGTCAACCCACTCAACACGATGTTTCTGCATATAGATTTGCCACGAGGCCTGCTCTCTTTTCTTGGCCTCGGCCAAGCAGAAATCTAGAACAATCATAGACTTTTAATCTGCAAAGCCAAGGTTTAAGCGTAAAGTCATTAATACTTGCAGGGCAACTTCGATAGTCGGGTGAATAGTTATGTATGATCTCTAGACGAGTCCAAACCATAGGTTGGGGTATAATAGCATACTTTGTTTTTATAAAATAATGTCCTAGCGTGGCGAGGCTTCATCCGATCTTCTCCGTGCCGGTGTCACTTCTTTAAATCCTATGTATCTCTCTCGCTGCCAAGCCGCAAGGGTTCTTCCCCATTTCACTCAATACGATCTGGTGCTATCCATGCTCATGTCCGTACTCTGGTCCTACTCAGGGTCTCCGTACTCTTCCTTCTTCTCCGATGCAGCCGCAGCCTCGATGTCCTTCAGCTGCTTCTTGCCCTCGTCCGTAGTCGCATCAATAATTTGCTCTTCCAAACTAAGGATGTTGGCCTATCACCCCGCCGTTAGCAAAATGTCGCAACTCTGTTTTAGGTTCTGGTGACTTACCTCGCCAAAGAGACCCACGAGTTCCTCAGCCTCGTCGATCGGCATCTCGCCCAGCACCTTGTTCACCTCGTCTAGATTACCCGTCTCCAGAGCTTTGCGCATCTCGGGCGCAAAATGTTCAAAGATCTCGCGTGCTTCCTGCTCCTCAGGGTCCTCGCTATCGGCCTTGGGAACCTTGATATTGATGACCGTGCCGGGCTCCACAGCGTGCAACTGGATTTGCTCGACACCTTCTGTTTGGCCTTCCTTGGCTCGCTCGGCTAGGATCTCTTTGGAACGGGTCTTGATCTTCATGTAAGTCTCTTGGACATCCTTGTAGAACACCTCCTGCGCTTGGTGTCCCTTGGTCATGATACGCTTGAAGAAGAGTCCGACACCATCCTTTCCGAGAGCTCGGCAGTACTGCAGAAGTAGGCCTTGGTGCACGTATTGTCGCGAAAGATCATCCTTGCCCTCCAGAGCAGCATCAAAGGCCTGGACGAGAAGGCCGTCTGTCTCCTTCTCAACCAACAGTTGGGGGTTCTGTAGCAGGAACTGAAGACTGGTCTGGTAATCATTTGCCTTGATAGTACCAAACTTCTTTCCGGCCGGTGAGGATTCGATATCGCTATCGTCGTCGACCTTGACTTCTTGCTTCTCGGCTCCCGAGCTCGATGGCGATCCTCCCGCAGCGCCAGGGTTCAAAAGTTCCACCTGCGTAGTCTCCTTCTTCTTATCTTCAGGTGTTGACTTGGCGACATGCGAGCTATCGAAACCGGTATGGATTCCTTCGCTGGTAATCTTTCGTCCCTCCTCCTTCTCAAGCTCTGCAAGCTTAATTTCCAGCTCTTTCTGCAGACCGGTAACCTTGTCCTCATGTTCCTGAATCTCAGCAATCATAGCCTCGTATCTGTTCTCCGGCTTCTTCTCGTCCAAAGCCTTGTTAACTTGATCCAGGAGAGTAGCCATCATCTTGGTGTATGATGGCTGCTCCTTCTCGTGGGTGTACACTCCCTCAGGTGGTACAGGGGGCTTGTCATCCTTGGGGTTGCCAGCTGACTCCATGACAGCTTGGAATGCAACCTCTGCCGGGTTTCGGGTGGCAGCCTCAGAGGCATGAGCTCGAAGTGACGCCAAGAGGCCTGAAATGCGCTTGATCAAGCCATCGTTGACTACACGCTCATACTTATAAGTTTCGATCTGGAGTCTTCGTTGTTGACGCTCCTGATGAATCTGGTTCTGTTTCGCGCGGATGAATGATCGCTTATCAACGTTGGGGTGCACCTCGATATCGGAATCGTCACTGAGCTCCAGCGCGTCCTAGCATAGTAGAGTTAGCGACTGCTTGTTGCCTGTTGACCTTGCCTGCTTACCCATTTACTATAATCAACAGGCATTTTGTTTGATTTATGTCTATCTCGCAAATATTTCAAAATGCGAAAGGATATGTAGGAGAAACGAAGTCTAGGATTCTAGGAGTGGTTCGAATGGAAGTTTCTGGACTGCTTGAGAGCTAAACCATGATGGCGGGGTGGTTGTGATCACCCCACTACAAGATCGTGGCTAGTGTGTGGCACCACAGCCACAGGTTATCTCATCAATAGACTACCAACTATCACGACTCACAGGAATGATGCTATTAAAGGCGGGGAAATGATAAAAGAGACAGTAGTCTTGCATAGCGAGTTGCCTATGCTTTCCGCGATAATAAATACAGTTCAATGATATATCCTGACGCCATGGTATCATCCCTTTGCCAGCTCCCTAAATAGAGGAGCTCGCAGCAACTTTACAAGTGCCCATGCCTTCAGATCCGATCCTACCAACCCATGAATTTACAATGCTTGTATGCCTCACTTCTTGATACCGCGAGCGCTAACCTCGCCTTTCTCTCCGATATTAAGTTTCACCCGACACTCGGGGCAATACCATTTGGTTGTACGTGCGGGCACCTCCGTAAGGTCAACGCACTCGAGATGGAACCATTCTTGCTTACACTGTCTATTCGTCAGTTTCTCGTCCACTTGTTTTTGACGGAGCAAAGAGCCACATACCTCAGAGTTTTCGCAGGCAATCATCGTGCCAAAGCTGACTCTATTGCAGAGACAGTACCTGGCCTCGTCAGGATCGATTGGGTTTCCATCATCATCCACATCCTCCAGTTCAACCTCTGCAGACCCTCTGTCCTTCTTTGGGCGAGCCTTCTTCTTTGGTGGCGCCTTTCTCTTGCCAACAGCGCTGTTGCCGCCGCTTTTGGTGGTGCTAACAATTCCAGGAGCTGGCCGCTTAGTTCGCTTTGGTGGTCGAGGCTCAGGGGCAGGGGTGTTGCGAGCGGTGCTGGCTCGTCTAGGGCGATCTGCAGCTAACGAGAGCTGCGGCTCTTGACTCGCAGCTTTACCTCGAGAACTTGGTCGACGTATGGCAAGACCCTCGGGGCCGGGGGTAATCCGAGGAGTGGGTGCGCGGGAAGAGGTCTGTTTGATGGCTGGTTCAGGAGCTTGAGGTGGTGGAGGGGGAGGAGGGGACTGTGGAGGAGCAAGAGCAATTTGCACGGTTGCGGTTTGGAGCAACGGTGATGTCTTGGGTTCAGATTTGAGGGTTTCTTCTTCAGACACCTCGGGAATCGGCTGGATCACTTGAGGGGGTGGTTCTGTCTGCTGTTGCTGTGCCTGCTGCGTCCTCTTCGCTGCATCACCTCGGGTTTCTCTTTTAGTGTTCTCCCGTACTGGAGGCAGTACTGGGGTTACCGATTTCCGTCGTTCAGAGAACGGTAAAGGAACCGGAGTCTCATGAGGAGGGGGTTTAGTAGGTCCTGTATTGGATGCGGCAGCAGGGTTGGGCGTTGGAGACTTTGCTGAAGCCCTGGTAGCCATGGCAGGAATAGGGATAGGAACAGGTGTTTCGGCATGCGAGACTACAGGATGATCTCCAGGTGCTGCTGCCGACGCAGGTGCTGGATTCTCAGGACTTGGGCCCTTACTTAATGTGAGTTGCGGAGGCGGAGGGACCGGCGTTTCGGTTTTGGTTCGTTTGACTTGAGGTCGGCTCTCGTTCTTTTCAGCACTCCCGTTGACATTCGTGGGTTCTTCGGGCTCTGGTTCTCTTTTGCGCTTGGTTGATCGCGATGCTGCTCGGGTTTTGTTGGGCTTGGGGGTTTCTTTAACAGGCGTCTCTGATGTGGGGGTCTTTGGCGTGCCATTACTCCCGTTATTGGTGTTACCGTTGCTGTTGTTGCTTGCATTTGCATTACTTGTGTTTGCATTGCTTGTGTTTCCATTGTTTGCGTTTGAATTGCCATTGCCATTGCTGTTGCCGTTTCCATTCCCATTCCCATTTCCATTTCCGAGAAATAATTTGGCAGCCTCGTTCATTTTCCTAGCTGATTCCTCTGCTTCTTCTGCGGCCATTTTGGCAAGAGCTTCTCGTTTCAATTTCTTCGCCTCGTTGAGTTTCATGCCACGATTACTAGTGGCAACTTCTTCAGCTGATAACGTGTCAGGACTCAAAGCGCCAGCTGGCAGCTGCTTCTCGCCAGATTTGGTGTCCACGATCGCTTGTGGAACTACAGGCTCAAAACGCTCCCCTTTCTCTTTCGCGTCTTTCTTGGCCTCGTGATATGCGTCGGGGCCACGACCGAGAGCTTTTAGTTCGCGGGCAATCATGGTCTCGCTTGGAGTCCATGTCGCATTTTTCTTCATGCGTTTTCGCAACTTGGCGAGCTCGTAGTGAGTAAGTTGCAACCATGGGGCATCGGGACTACCGACAACAGCATCGTCAGGAGGGGGCTGGAGTAGAGCAGCATTGTTGGCAGCAGCTGCTTCACTCAGTGCGGGTGTCGCATAGGTGACTGGACGAGCCAGACGGCTAGGCGTCTTTGGTGGTTTGTTCGATACCAGCTTGATCCGTGGTGCTGGTCCAGGCGTTCTTCGATTTGGCGCTGGCGTATCGGAGTCATCGTCGGAGCTTACATCACTTTCGTCTGTGAACGTATCCTGATCAACGTCGTAGGGCGCCTGTACCTCGCCAGGCACGATAATTCTAGGACCTTGCGGTCTCCGAGGTTTCTGGCCACCGTCTCCCCCGGCCTTAAGTGCTTTGCTCCTGGCAGCCTGCGGTGATCTTGTTTGGACTGGACTCTTCGGTTCCTCTGTCGGATAGTTCTCTCTCATCTTCTTCAACTTCGAAAGCAAGACCTTAGCCTTGTTATAATGTCTATTAATATTATCGGACATTCTGATAGCTTCAGCGTGCGCAAAGGTACGAGAATTGACGGCTTGGTCGAGCTGCTCAGAAATATCCGCCCGGAGCTGTAGTGGCGCCGGACGCTCCTCTGCGCTGATTGTTGGTAGTCGACCCCATATTGTAGTCAAGTCGTTGACCTTGAGTGAAGCGTTCGCGTATCTCTCGTCGAGTTTGCCGATAAGAATCAGGGATCGCACGACGTCGGAGGGTAGATAATCGGTAAAATCGAGGAAGTCGGTGACAGTTGTTTGGGCATCTGGATCTACACGCGATTCCATGGACGCGAGGCTGTCGATGCGCTCTAGTGTGGGAGCTCTGAATGATAGGTGGTTCTTGGGCGAGATGGCCTCCATGGTGGTGTCGCCATCGGGATCTGCTACTGGGGCCATCGCGACGCCTGAGCTTCTAGCTCCTCGGGCGCGTATGAACAAGCCGGTCGTGTATCAAGCAAGACTCTTGAATTTACTATGCATAATTTGGTGATGCCATCTGATGATATGTGGTTGATCGCGTTTGCTGTATCTGTATCTGGTCGGGCGCGATAGGTACGTCAATCAAGTCAAGTCGCGAAAGGTGGAAAGTGCGCTAGTAGGTCTGTCCCCGGTCAAGTGCGCCCCGCCATAACGCGACCGGGTCTAGTGGCTGGGGTGCCTGTGGCTGTGAACGATCATGTGATGCTTGGATGTCAAGGATATCAACGACCTGCATATCAAATCGATGTAGGACTGCCTGGTCAGGCTGCAACTTCAACTTTAGAGACAAATATTTGAAACGATTTCGATTTTCTGCAAGTCATTTCACCTGTTCTTAGGTAGTTTAGTTCAAAAAGGTTACTGCAAGTTACTCTCCGCATCGAGCCGGGGTCAAGGCATATTCGTGACCCACAGGATGGATGCCTTGCATTAAGAGTCATCATGATAGGACTGACTACTCATGATGAAACGGTTTTGTCCTAGTAACATGGCGCAACATTTGGTATTTGAGAATCAAGTACGCCTTGGGCCTGAAAATCCACTAAAGAATAAGATTCATTAGGATCCTTCAACCAATGGCTCAAATATTGCTCGGGATATCCGGTTGGAGGCCAAAGTAAGACAAGATTAACCAATAAAGATATTTCGAGAAATCTGTTAGCCGTCAATACTAACTTACAGTCTGAGAACAACTCATCCTCAAACATCCCTTCTTATCAGTGGCTCTACTGTAGATACGTTTCAAATATCGTATACTGACATGGTTTAATCAATTAGGTCGGCCATCACTTTAGGGTAGTCTTGACGATCTGGTCCTTTTCAACTGTGTCTTTCAATTTCAACCTCTTTCATGTATCTGCCTAATCCCAAGACAAGCGTCCTCCCACTCTAATAATCTAGTAAAACTGTCCAAAGCAACCCAAATACAACGCTAAAGTGATATCACAAGTCTAACTCATATCCTTCCATCATCAACCATGAACCAATGTTCTGACCCAATTACATGCCTGTCATAACCTCATGACCATCGAAGATCGTGGTTCCCCCAAGAAGAAACTCCCCTCAGGTGATTTGACTAGTATTCCCAATCAGGCTCAGCCTCTCTCATCATGACTCTTCCAGCGACTTGCTCGGTTTGCTCGACATAGTAGCTTGATTCGCTTCCTATCAACGTCACATTTCCATATGCGACAAGACTTCTGCATCTCCTGCTCCTTGTTAGTTTCATACTCAAACCAATGAAGGTCAGTATACATACAGGTGGCCGTTGATAGTGATGTTTCCATAAATCTCCAAGTCTGTTCCCTCCAGTGTTCCCACGACCTTGAGCTTTCCACGGCCCTTGATCTTCTCATTGGCAACTGTATAACCATTCACTGAGATGGTTCCATAAGCTTGGACTTTGCCGCTGTTGACATGTCAATCATTGTTATAACTATAGCATGATAACATATACTTACTCGCATCTGATGCTTCCGTTAAGGCCAATGGATCCGTAGGCGTCAAGCTTCTCGCGAATGATCACATCGCCGTTCAAGTTGATGCTGCTGCCAGACTTGACGGATCCAGCAACTTCAACTGGGCCATTGAGAGTCACCTCATGGTCACTCTTGACGCTCTTTGACCTCTTGTAGGCCGGCTGGGTGGAGTAGGCGGTGTTGTAGTAGGCGGACATATTGAAGTTGTTGTTTGGTGTATTGAAGTGTTGTAAAAGATCGAGTTTGTTCTTTGAAGTAACGATGGGTATTCTGTATATCTCAAGTTGTTTTGATAAAGACAGTAGTGAAGATGGAATTATAGAATGCATTCCTGAGGAAGAAGTCTGTTCTCTTATACCTGCGATTTTCAACCCATTTGCGCAGAAGGTTGAAACTGAGAGTAGGCATACTGGAGCCTCAAGACTCACTCACCCCATACTAAGCTAGCCCCATCCATAAGGCATATCCTGCAGGACAATATGATTCCTTGATACTAAAGTAGGCACGGGACCTATCGGTATCCATTGTCGGGCACTGCAGTGCAAAGACGCATCGCCTTGTTACGGTCGGGATATTTGCATGGAGGCTCATTGGACGAGTTGATCAGCATATGCAGGTCGAGATGGGGAGGATGATAGGGCTTGCAGTAGTTTGAGATTTGTCTCTTGGTGGTTGATCATAACGTCGATGTAAGTCATGGTTGGCTTCAATCCGTCTCTTATGATTTCAATTACTCTACCGTGGCATTGACTCTTCTGAGAACCAATATTATCTCGAGAAATACACATGTTTACTATCGAATTAGTAAATTGACACAGAAATGTATCTTTAAAGCAGACGTTTGAGACAGACTCGCAAGGCATTCTAGGCAGTCTTGTGGATCTCCACAGCCTAGAGTGAGAAGGCAAGATATCCAATAGTCTAACACGACAAGGGTTCATTCAGAGTCCGAACAGTCCTATCAAGGACGCCAAACGCCTTGTTTCTCCCATGAACACCACCGTTTCGCGCTCTTCACTTTACTTCACATAAGAAGGACTGGCTGTTCTTCTCATGCAAGCCATGCACATGCCCCAATGCGGTCATAATGGATCCAGAAGTTGGGGAACAGCAGGCAGGGGTTGTCAGCTTGGGACTGGCTATCTTTCGCTGTTTGCCTTGGGTAGAAAGGTCCTGTTGAGTATACCGAATTGTCGATCAACCTGCATCTAATTCTGCTGCCTTGAACCCTCGGGCGTTTCTTGACTTTAACATTGTGAAAATCCTTGTTCATGCTAGGAATCGCCCGAGGCTGTACAGCCCCTGCCTCTAGTCCTACCTAGGTAGTCTACGGAACGCTTCCCGTTTGCCCATGATCATGGTCATGGTTGCATCGCCTCAGCCCTATGAAGTATCCTACAGTATAGAAAAGCCACTTGACTTTCTCATTGACCTGCAATTCGCTCTTTGATGGGTTCCCCCGTCTGCAAGCGCACACCACCCTTGTTTCTTCTAGAAAACGCCAAGTCCTTCGCCCAGAATGCCCGATCTGTTCAATGGATGCCTGCCTAATAGGCATATCAGACAAACTGACTCACTGGAATATTGAGACTAGAAGATAGGTGCTTTCACGACGCTGGTGGCTTGTGACTCATGCTAATCAACTAGCAATTGTAGACTATATGCTCAAAATACCGGTATTCATACATTATCAAAACAAACCTAGCACAATATAATAGAGAAAACAATATAAACAAGAAACATAGCCACTTGATGATCTCTCAATGGCATCATCATGTGACCACCCCGAATCCTTCTGACTCCGATCGATATAGGAAAACCGGGGTGTCCATCCATCCATCTACCCATTTGCCAATCTCGAAACAAGGATGCTATCAACATCCTTTTTGGCCCCCAACATACCCTGCACAAGGCCCTGCACCCAAGGCTGACCTCAGTCTTCCAGAACGTAGCGTTTCTGGGCACTTAATCTCCGCCAACGAATCCCAAACCAATACCACTGCAGATGGCGGCAAATGTCCAGACGCCTGCATATGCAGCAGCTCCAATGGCATCAACCCGATACATGGTCTTGTAGGAGGCAAGGAACGTGTTGACCGCAGTAACAAAGGCAATCATGGCTGTTCGACGAATAACGACCTTGGTCTTGACAGTGTAACCCCACACATTCCACCAGACGGTCTCTCCGAGAGACGCAGCCACAGGATCAAATTCGGTGATCTTGTCATCCTCCTTGGCAGGTGCCGTTGTCGCGAAGGGCGCAAAGATAAAAATGCTGGCGGCAATACCGAACAAGGTTGTCACGGGGAGAATAGCAGCGTACGAAGCGTTGTAGGCAGGCTCGAGAGTGCTAACTCCGGAGTAGTTGACAACCAGGATGCGAGGCAGGACGAAACGCAGAGCCAGGTTCAGGACCACACTGTAGATGCCTGTTGCCATGGCAGTCGTGTACATCTGAAGCCAGGGGTCGAGGAGCTCGCGGTTAGGCAGGCCTGCAGCGGCGGCAGACGAAGACGTGTGGTAGGTAGAAAGCGGGCGAAGTAGGTAAAAGGGCACGGCGACCGAGACAACGTCAATAGCGAGTGCCGAGATTGCTGTGGTCCAGTTGAGACCGTAGAAAGTCGTGAGCAAGTAGTACTTTGATAAGTCAGCTTTGAGCAGGTTCTAGCTTCGAGAAGTGGGTTAAACTGACGTGAGGACCGTGAGATAGTAGATCCATCATGGCAACATCCAAGCTGTCCAACTTGCCATACCATCCAAAGGCCAACTCAACACTGCGATCACATTAGTATGTCTTCGTCTCTGCATGGAACGTCTTTACTGACATTCTGAAACCAGCCAGAAGGGCAACCTCTTCCCATGTATCCTGAGTTCTGCTGAGGGCAGCGAGCTCGCCGTTGGTAAGCTCATTCATCAAGCTGTATCCCAATGATGCCATCGCAAAACTTGTCGCGATCGCGAGAGGGAACTTCGCCTTACGAGGAACCATGGCGCGGAATGATCGCGGTGCTCGCTGCACTTCCTTTGGTGATGATGGAGTTGTCGTCAACGCCGTGTCGTCGCTGGCCACGGCGGCGCTTCGTCTTGTGGCCATTTTGTTGTTGTTTTGGTGAGTTGAGACAAAGAATTGTCTAGGATTCGGGTTCACGCCACTTGTCTAGGACAAGGCAAGACCAAAAATACCAGAAATGTGCGACCTTAGTACAGGTAGCAACCGAGATGTTTTTTTGTGTTTGCGATCAAGTGAAGGCAAGACTGGGTGAAGATTGGGTAGGATGCGCTGAACAGGAACAGAGGTTAGTAGGTAGGCTACAGTGGGGAACTGGACAATCAGTGACGTCGCTGCCCGGGCAACCTCCATCAGATGGACCTTCAACGGCATTTCGCAACCTCGAGTTCCCCACTGCACACCTACTGGACTGGGTTAGTAGCTGTTTTGCCAGCCGACATGGGAAGATGAAGGGTTTTTTTTGCTCTCTTTTCGACCTTTTGATTTTCTTCTTCTTCTCTCATTCCTCAAGCAAGCATTAATTGATACAATCAATTATTGCCGACTGAAAGAGATGATCCTCAATCATCCTGAATCGTCTCATCTTGTTCGTCTATCTGTCCTTTTCGCTCGACGAGGCTGGCTGCTCTTCCGTGACCTTGTCTGAATCGCACCGTGATTGATGTCTCATCACGACGATGTTCTTTTCATTACTCTTCATCAATTGATTTTATCTCAATTATTCATTCACTCTTCATCTCGTGGTGATTCAATGTTGTAACACGGCAATGTGGTTTCAATATTTGATTTCCATTTGGTAGGTATTTATTTGGGCGTCCAACTCGACGCCTGTCCGAATCCTCACTTTAACCTCGTGGCGATGCAATCTCATCTAGTTTTCTCACCAGACGGGCCCTCCACTCTTCGGTGCTGGGAATCGGCAGCGGAGATCTGGTCCACCTTATGATAACACGCTGTATGTGATACAGAAGATATAAAAAAAAGAAGAAGACGATAACGCGCTTATCCATCGACGTCATCAGATAATCCAACTCCAGAGCCTTCATGCCTGACCCAAGAGATATATACTCCGTCCCAATCGTTACCCATTATAGATGCATCCAAAAATCATTCCTCCATACGACCGAAAACACCGTCATCATCATCCTCGCTTCGACCCCGCGAACGCATCTCGAAATCGTCATCGTCCATGACCGAATCGCCGCTGCCGTCCATTCTGACGTCTTCGCTAGGACGTCTCATCTCACCACGAGTAAAACTCTCGGGCTGTCGACGTGGAAAGCTGTTAATGAAGCTTGCTGTTGACAGCGACGTCGCCTGGTCCAAGTACTGAGCGGGCAGTGGAGGAACAGGGGGTGCATCCGCAGGAGTCATGGCGGGACGGGATCCGTTGTTGCTACCAAAGCTACAGCTCAGAAGCTCAACTGCAGCAGCCAAATCCCGGTCGTCTTCTCCAGTGGCATTGCGACCAGAAGAGCCTGGACGGTGGTGGTCATTGCTTGGCTGACGGTAGTGGCCAAAGCCCGAGCCATATGGCACACTGCCTGCTCCAAAAGAAGCAGCCGACTGGTAGCTTCTCGCATACCCGCCGTTGCTGCTGTAACGCTTGTTGCGGTAGGAAGTGCCGTTAACACTAACACCTTCGGCGAGCGGAGGTGGAGTAGTATCGGCAGAGCTCTGTCGCTCCGCATGGTCGGAGTATCCAGAGGCTGCAGGAGAGGATGACCCGGCCTCACTTTGGAAGTCCTTGGTAGACTCGGGAGGAGTAGCAGCGTTGCCGTCGATGCCGTTCATGGTTACAAGAACCGAAGCAGCTTCAAGCAGCTGGACTTGTTGATGCTTCGAAATGAGCAGCTTCGAAGTCAAGGCCCACTCAGGTGTGTGTTCCCACCTAGAAACAGTCAGTGACACATATTCATGAGTACGCAACGTTGCACGCCAAAAACAGCTCTTGTCTAAAGACAAAGCTTCCTGTGCTGGGGCAAGTCATTGGGAGGAGGGGAACCAACAAGTGCTTAGTCAAGCAGCTGCTATGCTTGTAGCCTTTGCCGCACTTGTCACAGCGAACCTCAACCCTGTTGCTCTTCTTGCTCTCCTTGAGAGTCTGACCGTCGCTTGCACGGCGTTGACGAGCCTTCTGGAACTTGGTAGTTCCCTCGTCAGCCGAGCCTTCATTCATGTCATCCTCAATGGCGCTACCATTGAGTTCTTGCTTCGTTTCGGGTATCGTCTTGTGGTTCGGGAGGCTGGCAGGAGGGGAGGGAAGGCTACCGGCGATGGCAGCTCGAGCAGCGGCGCTCTTGGACATTCGGCGGCCGCTGTTGATGGGCAGGGCGGAGGAGGAACGTTCACTTTCCCGAAGGGCCGCGGCGATCGCGTTCACGTTCGCATTCGGGTTCGTGACGGACTTGCGTCGAGTCACTCTATGGTTGGCGTTAAGAGCGCCTGTGAGCAGCGAGTGCGAGCTCGTCCGAGCGTGAGATTGACGACCGGGGAGGGCCGACGACGTGGACGACATCGGAGAACGGGTCTGAGTCAATGGCCTCGAGGACTGCTGCATTTCCTGAAGAGGACGAAGGAGATCAGCAAATCTGGCCTTGGTAGGTTGTTATGCCATCTGGCAAGTCGTGGGAAAGATCATGACAGGGCTCGGGTTCGGTCCCTCCGAGGGTTGAGGGCAGCGTACTTTGGATGAGGCCATTGCCGGCGACTTGGTATATGTTCAGGATTCGACCGACTGCAGTCGTGTCGATCACGAACTAGACGTTTGGAAGGTGTTGGTAGATAGACTTGAACCTGGAAGATGTTGGACTGGTGTTGGCAGAAGGAAGAGAAGTGGTGAGAGGAGAAAGATGTTGCCAGCAGGAGTCCCAGAACAGACGAGAAATAATATTTTGGGAAGCAGCACCCAAGCCCAGGGTGTGTGTGTGGCCAGGAGCGGGGCGTATGTAGCAGTATGGTGTCTGAATTGGATGTCTGAATTGATGCCTGTGCGATTACTATCGAGACTTGCTCAGTTCAGTGAAAGCGCACCCGGCTGGTCACCTATTCACTAGCACCTTTGAGCCACCAAACATGGCCTTGTGCCTTGGAAGTCAAGAGGGGGCTCAACCACAGGGAGCCAAGGCCCTGGGCCGGGTTCCAACGACTTCCACCAGGCGCTCCGTACTGCCATTTGCACTGGTGTTTAGGGGGGCAGTTCAGCCATTCAGTGGCCACAGGTGGAGAAGATACGACATGTCGATTGGATGGTCGGCACCCTGGTCAAGCATCCGAACTGAGTTGCAGCAGGGAAAGAGAGCCCGTGAGAGGGAGAAAGCCTGGGAGGGAGCGAGGGGGTTAGGCGGTGGTCCGCGGAAGGGTGTGGCGTTAAGGCGTGGGTGTGTCATGCGCCCAAAGTCGCAATCGGCCGGCGAACGGGGGCTGAGCAATCGATGGCTCTATCCCATTCCCTTGTTCTTGACCTGAATGGAACGGACAGATATCCTGAGCTGATAAAAGACACGAGACAAATTATGCTCGGCTGCATTTGCTGGCATTAAAGCGAGTTGTTGCTTCCATCAACAATCGTGTTATCAACGGTTGATGTTGATAAAGTTAATGGGACATAAAGGTCAGTGTACAGTACAGTACAAAGGCATGTATCCCCTCAATTCCCCTCCCGTCGTGCATGAGGCGCTGTGCTTTTGCACTGGTCCATGATTGGATTCCCCTCACAAACTGGTACCAGTCTTTGCTTGATAAGGTATAAATTGGTGAATTAGCTCTTTTTGTGCACCCTCATAAGTTGAAGTGCAGACGTGCCAGGGTCTTCCTTCCGCTGCACAACGTTGTAGCCAGGGGATTAAACTAAACCGTTTCCACTGTTCCTGGAGGTTATCTGCTCTGAGAAAGCCAGGTCCCGTTTGCACAAAACGTTGCCCGGCGAAGGGAGGAGCATCATCTCAACAATCGTGATGGGTCGGGGATGTATGTGATGCTCGGATTTCTCGTCACTCGGTTTGGTTTTCCTGTTTGGAATCCATTAGCAGCAGTCTTTGTTATGCTCGCTTGATTCTGGGCTGATTCGTCACCCGACGCGTCCATGTCCTCATTGCATTTGCCTGGGCTCCGTCGCACATACATAATACAGTTTTGTACAGTACAGACGGTACTCGCAGCGAGTATAAGAATACCGACTTTAATTTATCACATTGCAGCTGGCTCTCCATTTCCCCAACTTCCGAGACGGGTAGAGTGGACGGTGGCCCCGTGGCCTGGCCTGTAGCTTGTAGCCCTGCCCGGCCTGGGCGGCCCAGTCGCCAGTGCCCAGACTTAATCGAGATGGAGATAGACTCGCACTGGGCGGGGAGCTGAGTTGGTTCAATGGGATGGGCGAGTAGACGAGCTAGTGCGTGAGGAGTTGATGCTGAAGGGAAGACTGATTTTGGGGACCGAGTGGAGTGAAATCTGGGGGATGTTTCTCTTTGTTGTTTTTCGCACTGTAAGTGATACTGTACATGGAGAGTGCAGTACCTGGAGGCATCAAAGAGATGTTGCTTGATGGCGTTTGGTACCAAACCGATGTCGATGGGTTGAGGACACAAAAACAATAGTTTGATGCACATCGAGAGCATGCCATTATTTGCTACCGTAATCATCTGCGGTGATGGCGAGATTGTCAGATTCTCGGGTCGAGATTTTGTTTTAAGTTTTCTTGAACAAGTGGTGGATTCATCTTGCATCGGTTTTGTAGCGAGCCATCTAACAGGTATCGACCATGACCTGGTTCTGGCTTTGACTTGATGCCAGTGCTGAGACCGATACCACGGCAATTGTCGTATGCAACAGATTGCTTTGTCTTGTGGTGCCTTGAATCTCGTCTCCCTGGGATATTCTCTCGGGCTCATGGTTGGAGCCTGGAGGCATTAATAATCGGGGAGACAAAGAAAGACCCGACGCCATCAGCTCCAGGTGACGAGGCAGAGGCAGAGGCAGAGGCTCTAATGTTTCTCGCTAATTGTACCAGCTTGAGACGCGTTTAATGAGACGTCTGACCAAGGGATCGAATGGATCTGTTTCGAGCCCTGGAGTGTGGATGTTTTGGAAAACCTGTTTCTGTAACTTTTTGCAACGCGTAATGCTCTTCTTTTTTTTAAAAAAAGGCTATTTATGTGATTTTATGCCTGAAGTTTAATTATGCAGTTCCATTGAATGTCGATGGTTAATGGAATTGGAATTTAAGCGCGAACGCGACAGGGCTGACATCAGCGTCCTTCTACCGCTTTCAGTAACAGCAACTCGATAGATGAGCGGCAAAGCAACAGTTCATGACCACTCGTTTAAAAGACTCACTCATCCCTACTTGAACAGTAATCTCCTGCTTTCCATCTTACTATCGAAATGTGAATCGTCTGCCTGTCCTGTCCTCTTACACGTGGTGATAATCCATGCTCTTTCAACTCAAACCTAACCCTTGCCCTGGCCCTGAATGCTGAAGTAACCTTAATGGGTTAATCCAGCCCAGTCCCAGCCAAGTCCAATATGATCAAACGGTGATCTGATCTGATAACGCTACGTACTGTAACTGACTGTTCGGTCAATTGATTTGCTGGCCTGACTTATTGGCCTGATGTTTAATACTCCGACCCAGCTGGTTAGACGAAAAGTCAGACGGAGGAAGGGACTTCTTATTCGGCAATGGCTTGAAATTGGGTGCTCTAAGAAAAAAAAGTTGAGACCCCTTCTTTTTCCAACTTTTTTTTTTGTTTGGTCGATCTTCAGCGATCGATGAGCCATCCATGTAACCAGCTTGTGAGAACCACATATTCCATGTAGCCTCGAGGGATACTGCATTGATCGTGTAGCAACTTGTTACTTAATATCAAATAATCGCTTGCCAGAGGGAATGTTCTCGTATCTCAGAAGAGAGATGAGTCTGTCTCTTCAACAAAATGTTTTAATTTACAGCTCCCTAAAAAGGTTAGGGCGTGTAGTTAATCAATTGATGCATACCCCTCATTCTTAGCTTCTCGATACAGAAGTCGATCCACCACCTCCAGGAGTCGTCAGTCGTCAGCTCCTCAAACTGTATTGTACTGTACAAGCTACAGCACGCCAAAGCTAGCATCACATCACTAGCAACGCCATCGGCGGTGTCGCCTTTGGCCTTGTTTAGAAACAGGAAAGGAGAGGCCCTGAATTTAGCTGCCACCGTAATTTTAGGCTGCAAGTGGCCAAGGGGGCATGGTTTAAGGGACTGACTGACTGACAGGCGCTGAGAAGAGGGCGGAGGCTCGCTAATGATATTGAGAGTTGTTGATGCTAAAAGGGGGAAGCGAAGTAAGTGTCCTCATTGGTCTTTTCGTTACGGCATCAATTGAACCAGATTACTGTATGAACCGAGATTCTTTTAATGTGCAGTACTCAACAAAGGAGGCGGGTGCGAGTTCAAATCATTGTGGCTGATATACTGTCCTCATCCTGTCCAACGTGTCAAGCTCAAGCTCAATTTATGTGATATGTAGAATATTATGTGCATCAGCGGTATCTTATGCGGCACTTGCTTGATTGCTGCAAGCATTGTCGAATCCAAGATATCTATCCAAAAGCCATAGAAACATACTGTCCTGTAGCATGATGGACAGCCAGGTTAGTCTAGATACGTACTATACTGTACCCATTTACCCCTCAAATTGCTAATCCCTTCTTGGAAGATCACTGATCACAAGCACTTTCACCTGACCTAGCTGCTGCACTCCCGTCTTGCCGTCAGTTGTGTCTGGTCACAAGGAGTTTCTTGAAGAGGTATCGTAGTATCGTGAGAATTTGGAATAGAAGGATTTGATCCAACCCAACCTCTACAGGTAAAAGGTGGCCTGTGCTGCTGCTGTGTAATGTAATTGTGGAAGGTGCAACGTCAGTCCGTCTTGATCGCCACTACCAATCGATCAGACAAACTGCCTGCTCAATGAACCATCATGATCTCTGGTTCCTTCCTTCAGTATCATCATCACTGCACATTCTTGTGTCTTGAAAGTATAAACGTCGAGGACAAATGTTCTTAGCATGATAGTCACTACACGTTCCTGACTATCCTACGGGGCACTTCCGTCTTAAGATAAAACACGACGATCCCCTATATAAATCCCAGCTCCCGTCGGAAAAAAGTCTACCAATAACAATAGGCCCTCCAGCGCCAATTTTCCTAGTGATCGAGGTTCAACACGTGGAGTTTATGCTCTGAAGATCAATCTGAATGGTTACTGTGCAGTCGTTGCATTCCTTGCTATACTTTATCGAATTGGCTTTGAGATTCGGGAACAGCATTTCAAGTTTTGTGATCGTAACGACGTCATCGGAGTCTCCTCCCCTGGCTAGAAGGTAAACGAGTTTCTTTCAAGCATTATGCCCTGCATTTCCTTTTGTTCCTTCTTCTTCTGTCAGAAATCGATTGCACATTGACTTTTCGAATTTTCAAACTCAATGATGTAATCCTGACACGAATATGAGCAAATAACTACCAACTGATAGTTACGGCTGGTGTTGAAAGAAAATTATGGATTCCGTTTACCACAAAGACTCCATCAGAGTGGAATTCTTCGGACAAGCCCACAAAGGCCACCGACCGCATTGGGGGTGCTTTGAGCTTACATGGACCAAAGCCAATCAGACTCGACAAGCATTCCTCCACATTCTGTCAATCTCGATCCTGTCTTGAGA